GGTGCCCAGTGAGATTCGTGACCTCATCACCGTGGCACCGATACCGAGCATTGTCCATCCCGAGCACAATCGTGGTAGGCGACGGGCTAGAGCTGCCACTCTTCTCAAGCAGATTCACAGTGAGGAGCACGGCGTCAGCTTTGTCGACGCGGCAGCGTACCGTGGGAGCCGCGCTTTCTCCGCAGTCGTCGTCGACTCCAAACAACAAATCACCAACTGCGCATCGGTTCACACTGACGATCCGACGGTTGCCGAGCAAGTGGCCATCGCCCTGGCCATCCTGGAAGGTGAAAGGGAGGGCATCTATAGTGACTCTAGGTCAGCTATTCGTGCTATCGAGCGCGGTGTAATCTCCAAGAAAGCCCTGCGCGTGCTCCAAAGTGGTGGCCGCGACGGCATCAAGCACCACGTACTGATTTGGTTTCCTGCACATGTTGTACAGGTCCAAGGCGCTCCCCCCTACCTCAACGAGTCTGCCCACGAGGCCGCGCGCGCACTAACCGACCGCGCGGGTTTCGGGCAACGATTCGGGGCCAACGGGATTGCGGAAAACAGGGACGCGCCTGCCACGTACAACGAAATAACAAAATATTTTTACCTCGCGCGGAGACTATATCCACTCCCTCATCCAAATCTTAATAGGCCACAGGCCCTTTCGCTCAGACTACTGCAGACCGACACGTACCCTAACCTGAGATCCCTTCACGTTATTTATCCTGACGTGTTTCCCAATGACGCTTGCCCCGCATGTGGGGATGTATCCACGCTGGTACACATGCTCTGGGAGTGCAAGGCAATGTACACTAACCCCAACACTACATCGGTCAGGTGGGAGGCGGCCCTACGCAGCTCCCTCTTGGCCGACCAACTTTGGGCCGTCCAGCAGGCCCGTGGAGCGGCCGATAGGCTTGGCCTAACGGTCCCGACGTGGGAGTCGCCCGCTGCGCGCCCACGCGCGCCTTGCAGGACCTCAATAAAGTTTCGCAACCAACACGTATATGTGTTTCGCGGTGTTCGCGAATGAGTAGATAACCGAAGTTGTCGTTGCTGCGTCCACGCATTGCGAGTAGAAAGCCCACAAACGGGACGCGTCCGCGCGTTCGTACGGAGACGCGCTCGCTAGTCTGAACTGTTGCCACGCTTGCGTTCGTGTCAGCGTAACCTCAGTATTAGGGAGTTTTAGTGCTGGGTACGCAGGCGGCTTGCGTACGTAGGACGATGGGGCGGCGGTATTGCGCATGCGCGAAGCCCCAAAGAGATGCGTCGCAAGATTGCTGGGGCGATGCGTCTGTGCGGCCATAAACAACGCTGCCACCACTGGCCTCCTAGCGGAGATAAGCTGCCGTGGCGCACATGCTGGCGCATCATGTTACCTTGACGGCGAGCAAAGCTGAGGCTGGCCTGAGCCACCACTTTGACTTTTAAGTTTTAAGCGCAAATATTATAGTGGCTAGCCACTATACGAATAGCATGACACAAAGTCGCGAAATCTCGGACAGCATGGATCGGCCGCCTTGTAAGGTCCACCTTCGCGAAAATTCACGGTATCCGCACTGCGGATACTCTTGCCGTCGAGTTAAAATAAGCCAAAGTGCGATCACTTATAGCGATTACACGGTTTCAGCCAGATTTCCACAGCTAGAATGGCCTGGAACATAGAACTAAAAATTTGCCATCTTCCGACCAGCTGACTAGGTGGCGCCATCTAGCGAGGTCATAGTGAAACAGACAACCACACTTTTGTTATTGCAGAAACATTGTGCATGGTACATCTGGTGCAAAAACTCCGCAGCGACAATATTACAAATGAGTAACGATTTTATTCATTTTCACCTCAGAAACATTACGCGTAAGCTAACATGTTCATGACTGTGGTTGCACGAAGTGTCACAAGATGTCGACACTGCCGTTACATTAACTTTGTCTTTTCACTTTTTTGCGTATACCAGGATACTGTACACAATAAAAAGTGTCCTGATCACTATGTATGTTTAATTTAACATTTTAAATCATAAAAATACCTAAATAATACTTACGCAACAAGACGCTATGGCGCTGCGAGCGCGTGTGACCTTCGTGCGGCTTGCGTTTGCGTGCGTGCCACCGTGGTGCCAACTAAAAGGAATTCCGGTTGGGTATGGGTTGGACACGCAACGCCGCACGCTCCCAAGCCCGCAAGGCCCCAAGAGAATGCGTACCCAGCACTAAAACTCCCTATTATGTCGCAAGTGTTTGTGTGTGGGCTGCGAATTTCTTCGTGCGCTCACTTTGAGAACTGGGTCGCTTACACGACCCTGAGAACCGCCGCTGTCAAAAGCCCAGGTGTTGTGTGTTGGCTGGCTCTAAAATGGCGGCGCACAGAAAACTATGCTGAATTTGGTGGAAGCTGGCAACAGCGTGCCCCGTTGCCCGCTGGTTTTGGCTGAGTTTCTTGAAGGCACTTATTAAGATGTCTCCACCCTAAAAACGGCCGTTCATGTAGGCTCCCTATTTCCCGTCTGACTGCAGCGCCAGAACGCATAGCCTGGCGGATAAAAACGCAACATTGAGACGAAAGTGGAACGCAATGCGCGCGACTCGCGCCTAGCATCAATGGGCGGATTGTGGCCGGACTATCATAGCGGGCTGCGCGGGGGACGCGTCTATTTTCTGCGTGCCCCTAACGGCCTATATCAGCCACTTTGAGACGAGGCAGCGCGAGAAACGCAGCTCCCTCTGTCCAGTGGTCGGTGCATTATGCTTGAAGTTTTGACGCCACGTGTCATTCCGTAAGCACTGTGGTGTGTGTACACAACTATAGATCACAGAAACTGGAACGCTATTTGCCGACCACCGCGAAAAATGATGTCGCCGTACAATGCAACAACCACTTAGGCTACTCACCATTCTACCTTGTCTATGGCCACTAATTCGCCTTCGTTCTTGACATCTCTCTTCTCCGCACAACTGTCAATCCATCGCCATTCTGCGGCGAAAATGTGTCTTGTCTCGTCCATTATCTCCAGATCAACTGCACCGACGTCAAAGCCAACGGGACTTTAAAAATCACTGACGCATATCGTCGCGTCGTCGCCGTGTCCTTCAGCTTGGCGCTGGACACCAAGATGCTGCACTCTGCAGCGACAAGTTAATCCATCATGCACTGCGATAACGCCTAGCGTACTGATCCCGCCGATAACGTGGGCGGACTGTCATTACTTACTACTGGGAAAGACATCCGAGCGAGCGGCCGCGATCACGTACACCACCAACGACTTTTTATCTGCATGATTTGATTGATATGTGGGGTTTAACGTCCCAAAACCACCACATGATTATGAGAGACGCCTCTCTTTTTTCTATCTGCACATGATGCATCTTCGCTGCAGTTTGTGCTAGCTGGGTCCTTCGCCACGACCTAGGGGCGGAAGTGGAATGCTCGACTGTAGCTACAGCTTGACGACAGCATATTCATTTACACCTTTTTTTGCGCTTATGCTAGAGTGTGTGTGGTGGTGGATAAAGTACAGAACTTATGTAAAGGGAGCTTACAACAATGGTGGCGGCACCGTTCGTCTATAATTGCGCTCAACGAAGCTGCCTTCGGCGTCTTGTTAAAGACACTGCAACCATCTTCCTCGCACTGCAACTTATTTTGGGCGCAACTGCAACAGCCCACAACCGCACAATACACCGTGGTGCCGGCAGCACGTGGCGAGAGCTTCGTGCTTCTTCGATCGCCGGCTCGGCTGGGTATGACAACAAGATGGCCGCCCACCCCACAGCCGCCGTTCGTGGAAGTTCCCTAGAATTTTCCGAGGATGGTTGTGTTTCATGACGTACTCTAATATGTTGCTATCGCCACAAATGTTGTGCTTTTTTTTTTGCTGCGCCCTCTGGGTAGAGTAACCTATAGACTCAAAGCCGCGAGTTGGCGAGCGCACGTGGCACTTGCTTTCCGCGGTAGTTACCTATATCCCTCGAAAAGCTTGGTTTCAACCACGGCATTTATTACAACATACAGGCATGATAGAGTGGTTGTTGAGGAACTTGAGTAGGCGAGAGAGAACCGTTTCAGAGAGGACTGCCGCTCTCTTTTGGCCTGGTCTGTTTACCAGTCAGCAGTGGCGCTGCTGGGGTTGGCATACCGCACCCTCTCTTTCCTCCCCTCCACGAACAAAATTTCTGTCTACATTATCCCTGCCACACAGTACTAGACTCCACATACCACTTAAACCAGGAAAACGAGAAACTTAAAGCCTCTACTCTAACCGCGGAGTAGTACTAGCAAGTGCTGTCGCAAGACAGAGCACGAGTGTCACACAATAATGAGCACCCTTCTAGGTAATGTCCAGTGGAGGCGGAGTTATCTGTACATAACCGTACACAGTTCATTTTTTTTAAGGAAACAAGCAAGCGCGTGGCCTGCGCTCTGACAAGGCTGCCCACAGCATCATAAACCGACAGGTAAAGAAAGCGCGTCCGCTTTTCGCGTCATCTGTTAGCAAATAAAGCGAGTCATGACCGTTGGACAAGCAGTGCTAGACCGCGCTCCAGCTCCGCTCTCGCAACAGGCGATGCCACCAAAAGCGGACGCGCCTTCTATATCAGTTGTCGATGATGAGTGCAGGCTACACGCTCGCGTGTTCCCTTTCACAAAAGTGGTCACTGTACATGCCACTAACATACGGGGCTTTCCCGGTGGCACAGTTGCTTTGTCAACATTGGTATTTGAATATCCGCGCAAAAGAAATAGCTTGTTGCTAATGGAGTCTGCTCCTACAATATTGAATTTAGAGCCTAAACAACAGCAGTTGCTTTCCCTTGAGTATTCCCGTCCAGCTAAGGAGCACAGCTATTTTTTTTTGCAAAATAAATTTACCTATTTATTTTTTGCTATTCTTAGATTTTTCAATCGCACAAGCCATTAATTTCAATGCTTACAGTTCAACAGAAACTGCAGCATTTTAGTAGAACTTTGATCACTATTCTGACCCAAATATAGACACGAACACAGAGGCCAGTGTGGCGAGAACATATTTATTAAAAACGTAAATTTAAGAGTTGGTATACCAACTTCAGTGGGAATAATACACTGCGCAATTCTAATTTTGATCTGGCTGGCCTTGTACCCTGCTGTGTTAAAGACAAAAAGTATGATAACATTAAAACGTCTTATTTCTAACGCACATTCGCAAAAACTTATTTCTAACGAAACTTATTTCTAACGCACATTCGCATGACTAGACACCAATGCCACTGTAATTTAGCATGGTGTTAGCCTTCCTTCAGAAAGTGAAAATAATTTTCAGCAAGTTCATACCATGACATCTTAGCACATTTTCTTCTCAAACTGTATGAGGCAGACACATCTTTTGTGATTTAAACAAATTATTCGTTGTAACGATCTTACAAACCAGCATACCACGCTTCTCTCATAGTTAATGCTTCGAACTCGAGGAGGAGAGACATTGCTGTTGACAGTGTCAAAGTCAATTTGTCACAACACTAATGACATCTGTATTCACTATGCCTAAAATGCTGCACCACCTCATAAGTCCGGGCTGTACATTCCAAATCCACCGTGAATGTCATGCACGTCCAAAAACAATACTTTCCCATTCCTATTTACATTCCCTTGCATAAAAAACGTGCACAAAGGCCTCATTCGTATTAACATTAGTGTCAAACCCACCGCCATCACAACAGTCGTCCAGGTGCGTTAAAATAACCTATAAGTAGAAATATGTACAATTGGCATCCCCTTCACAATGATTAGAGGAAGCAAGAAAGCAGAACATATTGCATGAAATGCGATCACATTAGTGCTGTTAGTTGAAGGAATAGAGAAGAACCTTTATACACATTTCCGCAAAACTCGCGTCACGTTAAAGCCTGGTAAAATCACTTATGCACTTGTTCCTGCGAGACCGTAGAGAAACAACAGTACACAACTCCCACCGCCCTGTAATGGTAAGTGCAGCAGTGCCTCCCCTCTGTTTCGAATGCAAAAAAAGTGCAGCAAGAATGTTGCTTTCGGCTCGCAACCCGTTTAACACGTTATGCAGACACTAGACATAACACAGCGAAAACGGCACATTCTCTGTGTCCCACGTTGATACCCCAAAATCTAAATGTGGCTGACTGAAACTCATGCCAGCCTACGTCGAAATTCACTTCTCTGACTTGGAAGCAGGAAGGTACGCTGCTTTGTCCGTGCTGTAGTGAATGCAAACCTTGCAATCCTATGCCAAGTTGTGTGCTGTTGTAATGAGACCATGTGGCAGAAAATAAATCCCCCCCCCCCCCCCGCCAATAACACTTACAACCACAACCCAAGTCTGAGGGTGCCTGCACAGACATCATCAGCAGCAACAACAACAACAGTCAGTGATGATTTCGATTCACAAGTAAGCAGTCCTCGAGTTTCTCTAACCACAGGGAGCTCAGTGGTGAACTGGGACCTGCGCACCGTGTCCTGCACCTCCTGGTGCAGCCGGTGCTGCAGCTCCTTGTGCTCCAGCTGTTGGAACTTGTGCTTGCTGATGCTGTGGCGGCTGTTGACTTGAGCCCTGTTGACGAAAACACAGCCACCCGTAAGCAGTCTTGGAAACAGTCTTTTGCTGCACTACACTACAAGCCCTTTCAGAAGTTGACTTCAGGTTCAACATGAACAGCCCATGCCATGTTCCGCAAAGAGCGACATAATTTGGCAATGTTCAAAGTAACAAGTTGCTTCAGATCAATTCTTGCACAAAGGCAGGAAAGGTAGAAAGGCTGGCCCACGTGGTTAAGTTTCAGCACACTACTCCACACAGGAAAGGGCCTTGGTGGAAGTGAGAAAGACCAAAAAGAAATGTGATAAAAACTGTACGTGAATAGGACAGGATGTGGCCTCTCCTTCTTTCAATAAGACTTCAATGCTCATCTTCACACAAACGCCCCACCAACTCACCCTGCAAATCATGATTGTAAGCAGCTGAGGAATGTCGCCTAATCTACAAGAGGGAAATTGTGACATGCGACACTAGTAGAGTGTTTCCAAATAGCGTACACTAAGTTAGCGGGCATTGTGGGCGTAGCATTTCTGTACGGGCACCATATGACTTTTGAATAGCGTTTGCACCTTCAAAGCATGATCTCCTCGAAGTGACTGGTAACTTTTGTCTCTGCAAAGAGGCTTTGCGGGCCACAAAAAATTCCAGATTTTCAGCGGGCGAACCGCAAACGCTAACAGCGGTCAGAATTATGACGCATGCACGGTGGCAGCGCCTACAACGAATAGTGCACGCAAAGCTTTGCTTATGCTAATCAAAAACCCCCTAGGAACACAAGTGCCTGTCGATTTCTCGAGTGTACGAAAGTGCTGCTTATACCTGAGGAATGACAACGCCAGAAGCCACCTGGGCCGCTGGCTGCACACCAGCCGGTTGTTGTGCATAATGACCCGCAACCTGCTGTTGGACGGCTGGTTGCTGCTGGCCCGTTGCAGCGTGCTGCGGCTGCGGAACATGTTGCTGTACCACATGCTGCTGAGCCAAGTTGGGTTGCTGAGCAAATTGCTGCTGCTGGGCCAGGTGCTGTTGAGTCATTTGATGGTGGGCCATTTGCTGCTGAACCATCTGCTGCTGAGCTGCATGATGCTGGGCAGCATACTGCTGTGCAGCGGCATGATCAACCTGAGGCATGCCACCACTTGCTGGATGGAACTGCTGCTGCTGCTGTGGGTGCCCAGGTTGCGGCTGGAATTGACCATGCTGAGTCTGGTACTGTCCTTGCTGCTGCTGGAACTGACCCTGCTGATGCTGCAGCTGGCCTTGGTGCTGCTGAGGCGGCACTCCTTGGTGGCTTGGAAGACCTGGAACAAGGAACAAGAATGTGAAGTGCCACATGTCAAGAAGGCAATGCGCACAGGGCCCAATCACGCTGTCGCTTTCTCTTCTTGAAGTGCCGCTCAAGCGTCTTCCAGAATTTTTTTTGCAATTTTTGTCTCTTTTTTCCCTCTTACGGGCTTATAAATCTACCAAGCATGAACTAATGCTTTCAGTTGCCAGTCAGTCAGAGCTTCACCAAGAGTTCTTGTTGACTAGCCCCATTTTCAGTTTCCAATCAAACAAAACAATATCAATAATAACTGGTCCTTTTTTTTTCTCTTAGTTATCATTAATGTTATGTATAACAAAGAAAATATTAATCCCTTAGAATTCACCTTCTTTCTTTCAACTAAAGGAGGCTTTTCAAGTATGGAAATCGTGCTCTAAAGATAGGCTACACATGCAAGCCACTTGGAGTAACAATAATATACACTCAAACCTCGACATAAAGAAATATTGGTTATAATGAAGTAAATTGAGAATAATCTTGCAATAAATATAGTAAGAAGATATTTTTTAACGAATTATTGGATGTAACAAACATATTTTGCTGTAAGATGCAACTTTGTTATAATGAGGTTTGAGCGTAAAACAAATTTTTATGCCATCCCACTGACTTCGCTTTAACGAGGGTTTACTGTAAAAGCCTCAGACAAGACTTTATAGCCTTGCATACCATTGTAGAAGATCATCATCATCAGCCTGACTACGTCCACTGCAGGCAAAGGCCTCTCCCATGTTTCACCAGTTAACCCGGTCCTGTGCTTGCTGCTGCCAATTTATACCCGCAAACTTCTTAATCTCATCTGCCCACCTAACCTTCTGTCTCCCCCTAACCCGCTTTCCGTCTCTGGGAATCCAGTTAGTTACCCTTAACAACCAGCAGTTATCCTGTCTACGCGCTATATGCCCGGCTTATGTCCATTTCTTCTTCTTGATTTCAGCTATGATATCCTTAACCCCCGTTTGTTCTCTAATCCACTCTGCTCTCTTCTTGTCCCTAAAGTTACACCTACAAGTTACTGCCAACATGTCTAAGAAACTCGACTCATTTACTTGCATAAATATACGCAACTTTCACAGATGATGGCGTCGTCATGCAGCATCCGTCATAACTGTCATTTGGGGGATGTCCACGCAGACAGCCCTTGCAATCGTTCAGTCAGCCTCACTTTGGCGGTTTGCTGGTGCTTGATATTTTGTCGCTGGCAATTTCTACTACGGTTATTCTGAAGTCAGACAGGTATTGCGAGTCATGATAGCAATGATTTACTCTTTATGGTTTGCTTGCTGAGCTAAAAGAATCGCGAAATATGTTGGATGCCGCTGTGCAGTCAAAGGCGAGGTTTCCTGCTTTGCTCGAGCACGGCCGCTCGATCTTCCCCGGCCGTGGCACGAGCAGCGTTCACAAAGCTGTACGTGCATTTCTTCACACCACAGCAGACGATGTGCCCGGCGTTCAAAACTTCTTTTCCTTCAATATACGCCACACACCCGTTTCTCAACACGCAGTGTCGAATATAATACATGCTAGAGTCAATGACCTTCTCAGCAAAGCCTTGACAACATGGTGGCTGCAGCCAAAAATACTATGCAGTTCGGAGTGATGGGCACACCAGCGGCGGCTGCCAGCATGCTGGCTGCACGATCCCCCAAACGACAGCCATGTTGGGCTTGCACTAGCGCCTCCTCTAGGCGCTGAAATATGCGAATAGACCTCAGTTAGCATTAACTGAAACTGAGAGACCTTCACAACAGCTCAACAACTCACTGAACTCAGTATTCAACAAAACGCAAAAGTACACAGAGTAGGCCTTGAATGATAAGATCTAGTACTTTGTTTAAACTCTGATTTTTACAAAGAACAAACAAGACACTAAAAATCCATCAGAATGTTTTGTGATCTATAAACTAAAATGTCCCCATTTTTAAAGGTAACACTTCTTAAATATCACACAGTTTATGGTTTTTTGAGTGTATCAACTATATATACATTATTGTCTGTTAGATCTCATTATTATTTTGTAAAAATACGTAAAAACGAGCCCTTAGGTATGCACTTCTTTCCCTTTTATATATATATATATATATATATATATATATATATATATATATATATATATTTAGCAGACAGTTCACTAATTGACTTTGAAGACCACCTGCTTTTATTCTATAAAGTTATTGAAATCGTTTTCCACCCTACATCCACAAGTTTCCCTGTTACTGATTCAACACAAATGAACATGATGGCTATTGGTAGAACTCCCTTGAACATCGCTAATTAAACAATGAGATCAACTATTGCAAAACAACTATACCATTACATCGCACACACACTCGTGGACAAGTTTATCGCACTCGCGAAATGCACGGCGGACGACGCATCGTTGTTTCCCTAACTCTGAGACACAGTCTCTTAATTGCACAGCAGGGCACACAGCAGGAGAACGCGCCCGGCACTTCTGGAACACTCGTTTTACATTCATTTTGTTAATAAAAACAGCCAACGTAGCTCACGCACTCGCAAAATGCACGGCGGACGACACCAAACCCTCACAAAGAAGCCACAACTACAGGGGCAAATTTATCCACTAAATTTGGTGGCAGTCTGGCAACAGCCACCCCAGTCTGACAGCTGACTTTTGAAACTACAAACAGAACCTTGCCCGAAGCACTTCGTAGAGCGAAGCCACCGCATTTTTTTTTCTTCTTTGCATCAGTTATGGAGGTTGTGAGTACGTCGCGTGTCAAAACAGTTCCTTCCATCTAAATAAGGAATGCTTGCATTTAAATTAGTAAATTTACGGCATTAGCATAGTGATGCCCGCTTTCAGATCACAGAAACAATGATAGGCACGTTCAGCTAGACTTGGTACATGACATGTAGATGTGGCAAGTTCAGTGTGCTATCATTATGCGGGGAAAGAAAAAGTCAAATTTAGACGACAAAATTTAGGGGTACGATCATTATGCGAGTGCGATCATTACGCGAGTAAATACGGTATGGGTAGTGCACAAATTTACTTGTTCTTCGTACTTTACGTTCCTTCTGGCTTCGCATGGCTTGAAGCTACTTTGTCACAAAACAACAATCGGTAAATATTCGGCAGTTGCGCTTCACCCAGTTTACCTTTTAGGATCCCCATTTCAAATCAACTCATGAAGTTCGAAACTGTTTGTTCTTTTGTTCTAAACAAAACCAAATCACAACAATAAACAAAGCCACAAGCGCAATTTGCCGCCCTCAAGCACGAAGACTACGCAAATCCATGTCATATCCATAATTCCCATGGTCCCTGAATGATCGCAGCGCTAGAGTCCTCTCTAATTAGCTTTAGAAAACTCTATGCCCAAAGCTAGGCGATGTGATAAAAGGATATTGCTTCCCCATTAAGCAGACCATGCCAAAACCAAAGCTGGACAGCAGCGCAGTGGACAGCAGCACAGTGGGAGCCATCCACATTGAACACAACCTTCTCATGCAGTAAGAACAATCAGCATGATCAGAAAGTTACAAACCTTTGCCAGCAGTAGCTGCACTTGTGACTGGTGTTAGCCCCACTAACACAAGGCTAACTTATATACATTTTAACGAGAAAAAATCACATGGTGCTTCTTGATACAAGATGTACTTCTCACTTTTAGACTAAAACGCCTTCATCAAAGTTTCTCGCATCTGCTAGTAAGTGTGACCCAAACCGTTCTTTTTCTGACCTTGGTACTGAGCTCCCTGCGGTGGCATGTGCTGGTACTGTGGCATCTGCTGTCCCTGGTACTGAGGGGGCATGGGACCACCATGGTACTGCTGGTACGGGTACTGCAGCTGAAGGTCTGGGTGCTGCTGCTGGTACTGGCGCAACTCGTCCTCCGAGTACACCTGCTGTTCATCCAGGCCCTGCAAGCAGAAGAGAAGAAATACCCGGCAACGCCTCCTCAGCAGATGTTTCATAACAGCGCAGAGCAGCCACAAAAGCAGAACATCCATGCAAATGTTTGCAACGGCAGCCGCTCACTCAACAAACCTTTATCAGTGAGTCCATTTCGTAACCAGGAGCAACAATAAATGGTAACCTTATTACTATGCTAAACTTAAAGCAGAAACAATTTTCTGCTGTTACCAGTGCAACTAGTATTCCACGGCACAAGCTTTGCTAATGTGCAATGTAGCTTGTCAGATTATTTACAAGATACAGGGGACGTTAATAGAAGTAACTGTAATGTAATTATGAAGAAAGAAAAGTGCACGAAAAGATAACTAGCCACCGGCAGAGACCGGTCTTACCGGTGGCAAGGCATCTTTTCGTCTGCTCTTCTTTCTTGACATTTGCATTACAATTACTTCTAATAACATCCCCTATACTTTCCTTGGCATTACTGTCTGTTAGTTCTCACTAATATTGTGTCTAAGAAATAAAATTAGCCCTTAAACTTCGACTTTCCTGTTTACAAGATGCGCATACGTGTTGCCTCCACTAGATCCTTTCTAGCGCTTCATATGCCTTGAAATCACCCATCTGCGCTGCCCTTTTGAACAGCTTTTTCAAAATGATTCTGACCTAAATGTGCCTTGACTTTATCAAAAAAAAAAAAAAAAACATCGATGGTAGGTTAGAATGAGTATGACTACACTAGAACTGTCACAGCTTTTCATCCCCATTCTCGCTGTACTCAATACAGTTTCGATTGCAGATTGTTGCAATATGCTCATTCACTTTGCAACTCTCTCAGCTTAAAAAAAATTTGCTCCCCAAAAGACACATAATATATGTATATGTTATGTTTTAAAATTTGTATAATAGAAAAATAACTTTGTATTTGAAATTGGCACACTATTATACATAGAACTCAACAAGTTTCATAAAAATTAATCAAGAAATAAAAAAGTGTAAGAGGGATGTATGGCATAACAAAATAACAAGCGTTGGAGAATGACTGAAAATTCATACAGTTAAACTATCAAAGAAACTGCAGTGGTTGCATGAACTTTGTAACACGATAAAACATGTGTGTGCCTCTGTGATAGCCAATAGCAATAGAATGACTCACTTATTGCCTTGACAAAGTTTTGAGCTAGGGAAGTGAGCACAAGTAATTCATTACGTTGCCGAGCCCAATTATGAGACACAAGGGTGCAGGACGCACCCTTATTCTTTCGTCCTATGTCTCCTGTTCGCACCGATTACCCTAAGAAACATTCTCTCGAGCTTGCTAAACGAAGTAATAGCTGGGCCACCTAAAAATTGTGTTGGCAACATCAGGGAGATGACAATGCATTTTCATCTCAAAGGCCGATGCACGTCAAAGGTGGAGTCTAGAGCACATCCTCTAAACCGACATCAGAAACCATGTTGTCTGTGATTCCACCATCAGAGAACATTACCAGGTACATGAGAGGAACAGTTTTTTTTTTTTTTTTTAATCCTAGAGGCAATCGGCTGCCACATTTTGGTCACTCAAGCAGGACCACTCCTGCCTTGAGTCAAGTTCATTCATCTGATTTTCACAAACTAACAAGATTATCAAGTTATTCAGTGAGTCTGATTAAAGAATAAGCAAAATATTACACAACTGCTTAGTTGGGCAGAATTTGATAAGTGTGAAAACCATACCAAGCTTTATCCACAGCCAGATTTAATGGCTTCAAAGTGGAGTTGCTAATAGAACCAAATGACCAGTCAATCAGTTGCAGTGTGCCCATAACAATTCATTAATTAAAAGAAAAGGAAAATGCACTTATCAGTAGTACAAACTACACTCAACCGGGATATTATTGAGAACTAATAGACAACGATACCAAGAGTATGTTGGTATTATTGTCCATTTGTTTTCATTAATATTGTGTCGAACAATAAAAACAAGCCCCTAAATTCACACTTCTTTTCTTCACCAAGGAAGCGTGCCAAGCCTACCACTGCTTTCAAATAAATGTCAGGTAGTGCTATTCGGTAAGCCTAAACTAAGTGAAAAACTCGACTTACCTTCCATCCTTCATCCTTCTCAAAATCGCGCCGGTGGGTCATGTCCAAAAACTCCTGGTGGCTTAACAGGCCATCCTTGTTCGAGTCTCCCTGGATTAAAAAGGCAAGCAAACACAAAGCTTTGCATTAGCCAAGTACTACTTGGCTTAGCCAAGTAACGCAGTTGCGCAAACAGAAGCTGTGCAGCCATTGCAAACTTTTACATGTGGTTAGTCAGTGGATGGTGAAGCTAAAACAAAAGCAGTTCAATGTTATGAAGGCCATTTGCAAATAAAATGAACAGTTAGACATTTTATTTAAGTCTCAGAAGCTATCTATCAAGGCTACCTTATACAATGTTTAAGTTAGACAATACAATGGACTACCAAGCTAGTAACAGCCACTGCTCATCGAATTCCACATCTGAAGCCAGCCAAAGTATCTGCGTCATAAAGACAGGATATAAAAGAGAGAGAAAAAATAAAGATGCACGCTACATTGAATGCCCGAACAAGACGGCCACTCGGCAGTAGCCTAGGACCTAGCTGACAGAAAGATGTACTTATCCTTCTCACGTGATTGATGTAAGGTGCACCAAGTTTTTTTGGGGGGGGGTCAAGACACAGAGTCTTATGGCATATTTGGTTGGGTGTTTACGAGCACTCTGAAAAGTGGCTGCCCCTTCGGTTGGTAGAATTCGAGCACTCGGACTACCTTCGGTTGGTTCTTTCAGAACGTCAGCCTCTGACTTGGAGCGCTCCTAACAACTCTGACTTCGAAGTGAGAGCGCGGTGCGATCTGACCGGGAGAACAGATCACGTGACATAGGCCGGCCAATGACGTGGCCGCCGACAGGTGGTGAACAAGGTGAGGTACGCTAGAGTTTCAGTATATGCTAGCACATAGAGTAACTGTAAGGGGCGCGAGTGTGCATCTTGGAAGGGGGCATCCGGTGCGTAACACTTCTTGTACGTGCATTGTTAGTGGCGTTTTTGAGCGTGTGTGGGGCGAATTCACATCCACGAAGCCATATATGCACCATGTCACTAAGGAGGCGACTAGTGAAGGTATAGAAAACTTCCTCGCTATTTGCCCCGAAGATAGCAGCCAGGATAAGGATGATCGCCAGATTTATGTGCCGAGCTCAGAAGGCTTTCGCTACATCCAGACATGTCGGAGAGAGAGAGAAAGAATATAAGAAATTTCATACATATCAAGGATATCCATCCAGTGAACTGATCGGCACCATTTGTTGAAGCCGCGCAGGTGTAGCTCTGTTAACCGGGCAGCTTTCTGCGCTCGCTTCACGGTGGCGCTACAGGTATGCAGCTCTGGGCGATTCGAGAATGCCGATGTATTCGGTTGGTACACTATCTCTCGCGCTCTGATTGTAAGCTGCCTCTGCATCTGACGATTTCGCGCCAGAGGACCAGAGCGGTCAAACGAATACGCCATTAAAAAACACCATGTAATTTTCTGGGTGTTATCTTGCCGATGCAGGGTGGCATAATGTTATACAGACACTATCGGTCACTCGAAGCTGTATTTTTTACTCTAAATGTGGACAGTCCAGATTTGAAACACACTCCCAAAATAACTTTGTGTTTCTCTACACTGTTCCTTAATTGACAAAAAAAACCTCACCTCCTGAAGAACATGCTCCCGCATGCGCTCTACCTCTTCGTTCCTCTCCACTGGATCAGTGCCATTGTCATCAGGCCGGTACATTTTCTTTACCTAGAAGGCAATACATACCACTCGTTACAGAACAAGAGGCAGAAAGAGGACAGATTACAGAAGAACTAAGCCCACCTCCAAGTTCAGAACAGCAGCGATTTCATCTGGATCGAGGTACCCATCTCCATTAAGGTCTGCAACAAAGGTAGAATAGGACGAGTTGAAGTTCACAATGACATGTAGTAGCAAGAAACGTGTATAGATGCTTATTTCCGTAGCCATTTTCTGTTTCCTCATTCCAAGAAGTGAATGAATAGTGTAGATAGCATTGTAACATAGTTGCCAAATTGGGCAAGTCTTTTAGTTTCATAAGGGCATGACATGGCAATGTGACTAATTCAAAGTATTGTTCTTTCTTTAGTGAGACTGTTATATAGTAAATAGTCAGTGAAAACAGTCATAATCTTTTCTGAATTTTACTACTTCAAGTTAATAAGGTATTAACATACTATGTGCACATGATGAATTTAGCCAAAGAGAACTTTCGTTGCATTTGGCTTTCATAAAAGGAGCACTGATGTAAACTTTACACATTGTTTTTTTTTTCTATTTCAATAAACAGTTAACGACTCACTCATCACAGCTGGAAACCTCATGGGCTTGAGTTTTTTTAGAGATGGTTTAATAGCATCCAGCTGCAGTTTCATCTTTTAGTGTGCCATGTGAGGTGGCAACGAGCATGGTTTTTGTACGCAGCTGGCAACTTGAGCACACAAAACTGCGCACACGTAAGCACCACTCTGGCAACAATCACCTCTGGGATGTCGCAAATATGCGTGACCTCCCATAAATGCACTGCCGAGGAAGGGATGTAAGCCCTCGTACTCCTGTGCAAGTATGCTTCCCGCTTTCAGTTCAAAAGGTCCACAAAGAAGGAACACTCCCAAGGATCGTGGCAGCCAACACAAACTCGTGACACAGGTGGCAGTTGGTTGTGTACATGAAAACTAAAGGCACGTTTCACTAGCAATGACACGACACGCACTTTAAGAGCGATTTGAAATAGCATGTTCTAGGCTATATTAATCATTGATACTTTGCAGATGACACACGCGTGTGCATACAAACCTATCCCACAAGTTATCTTGCCTTCGAAATTTAGTTAGTGCTCCTTTAACTTCACCTGACCATATGATATTTATAGCAACTCATGAATAGCCAATTTGATGCCCTAGCAGAATTACTCAAAGTACTTTGGCTGACAGTAATGCCTAGATCCTATTTCATCCTGACCGGGTATAAGTTCCAATCTTTGTGGTGGCTTCTAAACATGAACTGAAAAGCTATCTGAACATCAGAGCTGCTTATATAGGCAAGGCTCAAGATTCAATGTTTTTTAAGAACATCGAGCACTGTTCGCCTCCCTCACTTTTTTTTTCATTAAGGCTATTCACTATCTGCTGCTAGAACTGATTCAATCCGTGTTTTTGTTTTTTTATTCAGCATAGAAGACAATTAGAAGAACTTAAATTGAATTCTGAGGAAGTCATTATTGCCGATTATGAATCTTTTTATGCTAAAAATGGAGGGTTTGCAGCAGAAACCCCACAACTTCTTTCTCTACTTCCCTCCCCCCCCCCCCCCAAAAATAAATACCGTATTTACTCGATTTTACCGCGCCCTCGATTGCAATGTGCACCCGATTTCCACCGCGAAAAAAAAAAAACGTAACACATTGATTGCAACGCGCACCCATTTTTCTCGCTGGCCCACACGATCACACCACTCGAAAAAACTACTTCTTTCGGGAGCGTCTTCCATTTAAATATGAGGTACGGGCGAAGCTTGTGCTCATCTGACGTCTAAAAGAGCATTGCCGTCACTGTAGTTTTACCGTGGACCGATGTCAGCACGCGAACTTGCTTCACCCCCTTCTTCTCGACAGTTGTGGTGCCAAGCATGTCGAAGTAAAAAGGCGTCTGATCGGCATTCCCGATTTGCCCAAGCAGGTAGCCGTTGTTGCGCCGCAAGTTTAGGACGAACCTCTGAAAACTGTGGAGCTTTTCATCGTACTCCTCCGCAAAACTTTTCCCATATGCATGTTCCCCTTCGGAGGGAAAAGCTTTTCCTCTTCATAAAGTTAGTTAGCCAGCACCTGCTCGCTTTAAACTGGCTCCGCATTAGACCTTTTTCTAAGACTAATTGCATAGCCCGCACTTGGAGCAGTTCTGTCGTCACGGGCCGCTGTGCCGCTCGCTGCTCAAGCACATACTCGCCGAGCAGCTCTTTAGTTTGCGGATACCGACCCTGCTGTGGTCCACTGAAGCCATTGCGTGAAGCTTTGCTGTCAACAATCTTCTGCTTTTGTTTCCGCCGGTCCCGCATGCACGTTTCGGGTACTCCGAACGACCGCGATGCGGCCCGTTTTCCGTCCGTTTCTGCACACGCGATGACTTTTCCTTTAAAAGCGGCATCGTGGTGCACTCGAGTTTTTGGAGTCGGCCCTTCCACGCCGTCGACGCTAATGCACTACTGGATGACGAACTCCTCAGCACACGCACGAAGTGCCGCACATGGGAAACACATAGGCAGAAATGGCCAACGCGCCATGCCGACGCACGTAGGGGGCGGCCATTTTGGAATTGCCAATGGCAATAGATTGACCGTAATTTTTTTTTTTTCGTACTCGATTCTAACGCGCATGCAATTTACGAGCTCGCTTAACCGGAAAAAAGGTGCGCGTTAGATTCGAGTAATTACGGTAGGTGTCCTGCGTGAATGGCAGCGGTAGGTGCATCACATACCATGCATGGCAAAGAAGGTGTTGGGATTGAAGTCATCGGGATCCATGTGGTCCTGCTCTTGCCACACTTCCTGCAGTTGTGGCTTGCTTCCCTACAAAAACCCCAAAACACACACAAAATTAAACACCACTTTAAAAAAAAGCACAAAATCAAGCTGACCTGATGCACCCTAATTACAGAACATAAGCAACAGTGATGTTACACTAACAAGATTACCAATAATTGTAGAAGAAACAAAGGCAAACGTTGCATTTTGTTTAGTTACAATTATTTTACACAAGGACTCGAGAGCTGTAACGTCAGCGCGATTTCAAATATTTCCCACTTTATCTCGTTTCAAACTTTGTGGCATACTAGATGTCATGTTCCAAAGAATAACCCCTGAGCGCACAGGACAGGAAACAGGACATAAGATGGGACACACAGAAAGACTGAGTGTAGATGTTTGCCTCTACCCGTATAGTGCCCAGTTTCCCGATTTTTGCAATTAACAATCAGTCATTAGAGTGAACCAACTAAACTGATTTTTCACTTGTTATGCTCAGTTTTTAACTTTCCAGAATTTAGTAGGAAGCCCTCAGTCCTCCCTCTCTCGTCGTCAGGGTAAGAAAGAAGCAGATTAAAGGGGCCCTGAAACACTTTTTCAAGTGACCATGGAATGAATTCACTGGAAGACCTTGTTGCCTCGCGAATTCAACGCCGCAAAAATGTCAAGAATCCGTCCGGTGCGAGTGAAGTTACAAAGGTTTGTCGCATGCAGCAATTGCATTCTTTTTGCTCTCGTCCCGACGAGAGCGCTGCAAACTAAGCTAAGCTAAGCGCCTTGTGACCTGGAGCACTTCTTTTTTTTTTTCTTCAAGTGCGCGGATTTTTTAGTGTGATCGCGCGCGCACGCTTGGACAAGTAGCGGCCTCCTGCGTTGATCTCTGTAGCTGAGTGAGCACGCCATGTTCAAATCAGCCAATGGCTGATAGATGGGCTTACTACGATTGATTTTCGGGCTTGTTCCGTGATTTGTCGCGAGAAGAGAAAGTAATTTTGGGCTTTGATAATTTGTTGTGAATTCCAGGCCGGTTGCTGCACTATAATTATAATATTTGGCTCACGTGTTGTTGGGGGCCTTCTACTACCGATCGGCAGCATTTTCTGACCACGCTCAAAAAGTGTTGCAGGGCCCCTTTAAGAGGACCTTCGGTGTCGACACCGTGTGCACAGCATACCGGCTCGTGAACGGCGGGGTGTTCCTTGTGGTGCTTGATGGTCTCGTTGTGCTGCTGCTCCACTTGAGCCGCTCCTCGGCCGTCATGTTCTCCAGGCTCTTTCGGTACTCGAGCTCCTTGCGCATCTCGTACTCCTTGAACTCGGCCTTGCGCTGCTCGTCGAGGGCCTCCAAGTCCTTCGTTGCCTGCGCACAAAACAAGGATCGGCACACTTTTCACAACCGCCCTGTGCTTCCCCGGAACTGCAGCAGGTTCTCAACCAGTGTTGGTAACTATAAGTAGAATAACCTTTTTTCAAAAGAGACACCGAGAAAAATTATTTTTCTCGTATCTGCAAATTACTCTTTCACAATACACAAAACACCATGCTTTGTGCAGGATGTGCAAAACACACGAAAAGAAAACGCGGGCCGCAATGCCACATTGTAGTTCCTACACCAGTCACAATGACATAATTTTGACAGCGTCTTCTAAAGCCCTGTAGTTTTTACAGTGAAATACGCTGTCTTACAAGGAACCTAAATACTCAACTTTTGAAATTTCCGAAAATTTTGTTGAGCAACAATGGCTAAAATAGGAAAAAAAAACATTGTCATGATGGCATCGTAGATTTTGGTTGGAAATTCAGAAGAAATAATTTTTGTATTGATTTTCTCATCAAATAATTAACCTGTGGGAGTAAAATTAATATTACTAGATTTTTCAAAGGAAATTATTTACCATTCTAAACTACTTTACTGTTTCCTTCAAATGTCTCCTTAAAATTCAATTACGTGTATTTAAAGGGACACTAAAGTCAAACAACAATTTACGTCAAAGTGAAAGCTTAATGTATGACAACATTTAAAATGACAATATTAACAACAACAGTGCCCTACTTACCGAGAAATTAAAGTAAATGCACAAGAACACAGGCGCCGCAGTGGGACATTTTCAAAATGATCCCGATGACATCACATGGACTGCCTACACTTAATCACTAGTAGTAATCAATCTAACTGCACTCAATAAAGAACGTTCCGTGCATTAAGAGAGACAATAAAATGCTGTTTGTTCGTTCTATTTGATTCACCGAAAAAAGGATCATCGGACGTTACAATGGGAAGGGCGTGAGTGGTTCAAAAATTCAATTTTCGCATGATTACACAAGACAGGTGGTGCCACCTAGCGGGGTGCAGTTGAAACAAAAGCATCAGCAATCTCGAAGCCAATGGCGGAAAATCAATCAATGGCTGTTGTTGCTGCTGTGGCTCCCGCTGCTTTCGGTCTGCTGCTTACTATTGCAGTAAAGCGGGGCAACGTTGTGCATGGCAACAGTGACGTGAGATGGTCCAGTCGGTCCGCTTCTTGAGGCGGGTAATTTGAAGTGCACAAATCCGATGTGGAGCACTAAAACGCAGTTTTATTTCAAAATAAACCCTTTCTTGGCACAAAAGTAACACTACGAGGCTTCTGGACCGCCATTTCAACAATTAACGTTGACTTAATAGTTGACTTTAGTGTCCTTTTAATGTCCCAAAGCAACACAATTGTTATGAGGATGTGAAACCAGGGTAGTGCTGGAAAATTTTTCATGAGCCAAGGCTTCCTTAGTAAAGAGGCCTTGACATGTTAATCTCACTGTTTTCAATCTACCATTGTAACTGAAAATACAATGTTCAATAAAGGCATGCATGTAAACAACTTTGCTCGAAGCACGTTTCAATCCCACGGGCCATTTGAAAGAACTTCCAATAAATCTCGCCCCCTCACAGCCCTCCCCACTCTGACAATGTGGTAAAAAAAATAAGCAATGTTATCTTTAAGACCCCTGTGACCTTGGGAACACACAGACGCCAACAGAGCCAGAATGGCTGCCAAGCATTCAGACTGTCATGATTAGACCTTAGAGTTTCCTATAAGTACCCTAGAGGGAACTATAGCACTAGTATCAATGGGAGCTGCAATGCACGGCGCTTCAGCCAGCGTGGCTATGATGGGTAGTGCACAAATTTGGCTAATCTTCCTTCTTTTGTATCTGCTCGGCTTTGAGTGGCTTGGACTGGAGCCACTTTGTCACGAGACGAGACAATCAGCAAATGTTATGCATTTACTCTTTCCCACCTCAACCTTTTGCGCTCACCATCAAATCGGGTCACGGGGTTCACAACAGTCAGTTCTTTGATTCAAAACAAAACCGAAATGCAGCGATAAACAAAGCCACAAATGCAAATGTTCTATGGATGAGACAGCATACAAATGGACTGAACCCAGAGGCGTCACGCAATCATGCATGCACAATTGTCATGCACAATTTAAAAATAGAGAGTCATGCACAATTGAAATATGGATGAGTAAGGGCTAACTGAAACACCTTTTTTCACTTTTATTTCCACCCCTACACTCATAATGTTGGCCCAATTTCACAACGCAAGCTTATCGTGGGGCCTAAACGGTCTACCACAATATTGTAATTACCAATGTGAGATTGTGGGCTCCAGATATTGCTCGCACAAGCTGTTCCAACATCTAATTTCTTGTTAGAGCTCAATTTTTCAATAAATGATGACCACCCGGTTATTCACTGTAACTGTCTACCGAATATTCTCAGTAGCAATATCAGTTCGACCAGCTGGGGTTCTTTAAAGTGCACCTATATCTAAATGCATAGGTGTTGTTACATTTCATTTCTGTCAAAACAACCATTGTGGTCAGGAAATAAACGGGCGTCCCTGACTGATCTTATAAATGCGACCCTTAGCACTATGCTACAGTAGCAAGTCGAAAATTGTACAAACACTCCACTCGAATGTTACAGTACTGTGATGCGGGTTCTTGTTGCTGATTTGTTTCTCCCGGGCTGAGCCTCAGAGAGTTTTGTTAATAAGGACAAAGCCGTTCGGTTTCCAAGAAACACACAAAAAGTTTAATTGAAAAGAAAAAAAAAGGCAAAGATTCCTCACAAAACAAAACACTTAATAAACAGTTGACTGGACATGACGAAACACATCTGTAAACACCCAACAAAAACGTTCAAAGTCAGTAACTAAACCTAACGTTCGAAAGGGGCTGAGTGATGGGAGTAGCGCAAGAGTATCGGTGCAGTCTCACCCACAAGTTGGTTTTCGGCGGTGATGAGAAACCGGAACGCCGTGACTCCTGCGTCACTGCGTGGGCTGGACGAGGACGAGGGAACGCTGGCTGCTGGCGACACGTCGAAAAGCCCTACCAAATCGTGATGGTTTCGGCTTGAGGAGCGTGGACACGTCGGAGACGGGAGAACGCAGGCTGGTGGCGACGCGTCCGGGAACTAGGGTCGACCTAGTCAAGCAGCTGGGCGCACAGCTCGGGCCCGGAGCCCGACGGCTGTAGCTCGCCTGCCGGAACCGAAGTCCGCAGGCTCTGGAAAGGAGTTCAGGACCGGATGGCCACGGTCCTTTGGAGCGGGAACCCGACAGCAGGAGGCCCCGGCCGGTGGAAGTCCTGTAGGCTCGGGTCCGGAACCCAACGGCCCATCTTCAGCGCCCGGTCCGGTGACGACCTTCCGCTTGCACTGCCTGCCTCGAATTCCCCTTGCTCTGGTCTCCCCAGGCTCCTGCTTCAGCTCTGGCCCACTTGTCTCGTTCTCATTGGAGATACTACTGTTTCGTGGTGTCAAGCCATTGGGCCTTGAAATCTCCGTGTTCGCTGCCCATTGGATGTTTTACCTTTTGTTTACTTCACGTCCTGCCACGCATCCTCGTGCTTGACGCTCTTTAACGTCGTCATTCTTGTTTAAGCAGCACCGCACGTGCACTCTGGTATTTCTCCTTTTGTTTTTTTTTTTTTCGTGACGCGCACTTTTCGAAGGCGCGCACTTTGAACGCGCACCACACATCACATACGCCCCCCTTTTATTCAAGTTTTTTTTTAGAAAAAAAAAACTGCCGATGAGTGCGCGTTCTGCACTACGTCACAATTAAACCACATATTTGCACCACGCAGTTCAACACATCACCGGGCTACAGTTCGCTACATCGTCCAAATGTCCACACTTAAACTTTAGATTCACCCAATTGCATTTAAAAGTTCTGAAACCCGGAATAAACCTTTTTACTACAAAATCGACTATGGACAAAGCTACTTGTGTCCGCATCTAAAAGTCGAAGTCCAGAAAGAGCTACCGGTTTTCTAACCCTACACTCAGGTTATCGCGTCCCAAACCAGACGCACTGCCCTTCTCGCACGTTTCGAAAGTAACTGTGGCAAACATGCTTTTATGCACTTTCGCTGAAACGCGTGTCTGCGCCCCCGCCGGCCACATGAACGCTTACCGGTCACAGAGGAACAGGGCGCGGTCTCGAGCCGTCGGCGTCGACACGAAACGCACTGAGACACGAATGTCCAAATGCCACAATCTCTCACACAAATGCTTTCTTTTAATTCACCATCTAATGAACACAAGCTCGGGGTGCCCTCAGCAAGCCCAAACGCTCCGACAAGCGTGTGAGGTTCCTGGATTCTTGAGAAGGGATGCCGTTGTGCTCGGTCATTATACAGCTCATCTTGAGTGGACTTAATTATAGGTTCAAAACCAATCACGTTCTCAGGTTCAAGACCCTGTCTGGCATTCTCCATACCTACTATCGAGCCCACCTCCGATTCGATACTGTTTATTTTGAAGAGTGCTTCAGCACTCCCATCGTGTTTTCTCGGACAAATAGCAGTTACGCTATCCTGTGAACTAGAATCCCCTCTCTCTCTGAGTGAGATATACGTATGGTCTAGGACCATTGACGTGGTGCCTGCTGCTACCTCTGTCGGTACAAAACAATCAGTGGCCACTATATCAGAGCCTTCATGGCATTCGCTGCCATCTTCCCAATGACGTTCTAGCGCTCCTTCCATGGAGCTATTGAGAGGTAGCCCTACCCCTTCCCGAAATGTGCTCGGCCTTTGAGACGTTCTGATACACACCTCATTCTGAATGGAACTTCTTTGTTCCCTGCTATCGAAGCTTTGCTCCACCACATTTTCCACAGCTTCTAGGTCGCCCATATCCAGGCGCTCTTCTTCATAGGTGCTTGGCCTCTCAGAGGTCCCCAAGCAGCTAACGGAAGTAATATGTTCCCAGCCAGAGAAGCTTTCCGTCGCTTCAACAAACTCCTCATGACTCCTGCCTTCTTGGCTGTCCACCTCTCTGCCTTCCTCTATCTGAGCTTCTCGCTCCGAAGTAAGGCTGTCGCGAGGCTCGAGGCCAACCTTGCAGGAATCGACTTCCCTCCAGCAAACGCTGCTATCGGAGCAAACATTCACCGCTTGCTCGACCTTCTGCATCGCCAGCTGCCCCCTTTTCGCCATCGCAAGCTCGAGTCGCCGCTCGAAGTCCACCCTCTCTAATTGGAGCTGCTGCTTCAGTATGCATGTCTGACGCTCTAGCAACACTTTATTTTCACGCGTTACGCGCTCTAGCTCCTCCTTCTTAGCTCTAAGCACCAATTCAAGCTTTTCCTTCGCCGCCTTTCGTTCTGCAGCCCGTTGCTCACGCTCCCTCTCCATCCGCTCCTCGTACCATACTCTAAACTCCGCTCCCGTCAGTCCCATTTTATCCGCCAACTCAATTAACTCCCACGTGTTCGTCATCGTGTTAACCGCGTCAAAAAATCTACTGGAAAAACAAACGACTTTGTCCTGTCGCTGCGGACGCCAGTTTGTGATGCGGGGTTCTTGTTGCTGATTTGTTTCTCCCGGGCTGAGCCTCAGAGAGTTTTGTTAATAAGGACAAAGCCGTTCGGTTTCCAAGAAACACACAAAAAGTTTAATTGAAAAGAAAAAAAAAGGCAAAGATTCCTCACAAAACAAAACACTTAATAAACAGTTGACTGGACATGACGAAACACATCTGTAAACACCCAACAAAAACGTTCAAAGTCAGTAACTAAACCTAACGTTCGAAAGGGGCTGAGTGATGGGAGTAGCGCAAGAGTATCGGTGCAGTCTCACCCACAAGTTGGTTTTCGGCGGTGATGAGAAACCGGAACGCCGTGACTCCTGCGTCACTGCGTGGGCTGGACGAGGACGAGGGAACGCTGGCTGCTGGCGACACGTCGAAAAGCCCTACCAAATCGTGATGGTTTCGGCTTGAGGAGCGTGGACACGTCGGAGACGGGAGAACGCAGGCTGGTGGCGACGCGTCCGGGAACTAGGGTCGACCTAGTCAAGCAGCTGGGCGCACAGCTCGGGCCCGGAGCCCGACGGCTGTAGCTCGCCTGCCGGAACCGAAGTCCGCAGGCTCTGGAAAGGAGTTCAGGACCGGATGGCCACGGTCCTTTGGAGCGGGAACCCGACAGCAGGAGGCCCCGGCCGGTGGAAGTCCTGTAGGCTCGGGTCCGGAACCCAACGGCCCATCTTCAGCGCCCGGTCCGGTGACGACCTTCCGCTTGCACTGCCTGCCTCGAATTCCCCTTGCTCTGGTCTCCCCAGGCTCCTGCTTCAGCTCTGGCCCACTTGTCTCGTTCTCATTGGAGATACTACTGTTTCGTGGTGTCAAGCCATTGGGCCTTGAAATCTCCGTGTTCGCTGCCCATTGGATGTTTTACCTTTTGTTTACTTCACGTCCTGCCACGCATCCTCGTGCTTGACGCTCTTTAACGTCGTCATTCTTGTTTAAGCAGCACCGCACGTGCACTCTGGTATTTCTCCTTTTGTTTTTTTTTTTTTTCGTGACGCGCACTTTTCGAAGGCGCGCACTTTGAACGCGCACCACACATCACAAGTACAAGACTAATTTGAAATATTGCCTTCAACGAGAGATTCGTACTGTAAGGAAAGCTCAGAATGACGACCGACTTACTAATAAAATATGAAAATAATCACATTTACGTCTATACCGAGCTACAACTTATCTTGAGATTGAAGCGAAGGCTACGGAGGCAGAGCTTTTGCCCATTCGTGTTGCTGTGCAAGAAGTACAGAAGCTTGTGGGTGATTTTTGGTTCTGCTCGCTCACAACGTTAGCATATTTTGAAAATGTGAATGAATGAAATATTTTGATAACTCGATGTGTATTTCAGAGTCATAATACCAATATATTCTTCTTGGTGAACTAAACAGCGTGTTTGCTGCCACACACTGACCCACCCTGTCATGGATGCTATGTTTACTTTGGAAAACAGGTGTGCTGGAAAGGTGGTGGTGTCCAAAAAATGGAAAGGAAAGCGTTCTTGAAGAGTGAGCGATAACTTTATTTTACCTCAGACTTACTGCAATTGTCAGAGTCTCATAATAACAAAAGCGGCATTTATCTCAGCAAAGCAAATAAGAAAACTGTAAGTAGACTATCTTTTGGCGCAGTAGCAGGCATGCTGGTTCCATAGTGCCCGCAGTGCTGCCAAGAAAAGTCGCCACAGAGTATAGATACATATTTTAGCCTCCTTTCACAATCCTTCTCAATGTTCAAAGTGAAAATGCTCACTTTGAAGCTTCAAGCATTAAAAAAAAAAAACGCTACTTACAGTGACAATCAGCTTCTTCAGGTCTTCAATTTCAAAGGTGTGTGGGTTCTGGTAATCAATGTGGTGGGGCAACTTGACGCTGTTACGGTCCAGGCCTGCTAGGTAAATTAAAAGCATGTAATTCAAGACATAGAGAAAGTAAGGCAAGCAGTAGTAAATTCTGAAACAACCGCTAGTTAAACGCACTTTTCGAAAAAATTGGCAACAAAATTTTGAAATCTGCATCATGTCCGTTTTGCTTAAAATGTGAACTTACAAAAGCTAAAAGAGCACAGTGAGTAAATGCAACAAATACATAGGTGAGATACTACAAGAACGAAAACTATACAACACTGACACTTTACAAAATGAATGAGAATTGTGATGCCAGTTGGGGTGGTGTCTCTATAATGCAGAGTTAGAGTTGTGCCTCAAGTCAAGCCTTCATAATTATTTACACTCAGCACAGCCGTTAAGTATTTATCACCATTTTTTTAAATTTCTTTTTTCTAATCTAAACATTTTACAGTGTTAATGATTCATTTATTGCAGTGTTCAGTTTGTTTACATTTGGCTTCTATATGCTAACTTCGATCACTCATTTATTATAGGACGTCCCCTGTGCAGTACGTTTACTATGATACCTCCGTCTGTATCTGTATAATCCCCCCTTGTAATACTATTAATATGCACAGTAAGAGAACTCTGACATTTAAACTCTGAACTAACTTAATCTATCAATAAAACTGCGTAACTGTAATGACTATCAGTAATACTAATTTTTCACAGAGCCCAACTAGCCTTGAAGGTCACTGGAAACAGCCGTCCCATTAAATGCAAGCAGGCTGCAAATTTTTTTTTTCATTATCATTGCTTCCAAATTACATGTAGCATACGCACAAGAATAAACCTATGCGTTTTGTGTTATATGGCACATTCAGCTACTCATTCACTACATTTTGTCACGAAACTGCACTTTCGCTACATGAGAGCACATGTCTTAGTGCGTGAAAACAAGCTGCTAGTAAGCAATAACTGTTTTCTATATTCTATCATAATACAAAAGAGGCCACTCACACTACAAAACAACACAGAGACAAATGCATTCAGGACTTTTAGAAATAATGCAATTGGGAGCTCTGACTCGACCAAGTTTACATTACAAACTCAACAGATTGGAAGCATCAATTTACCAGCTGAAAACCTAAATGACCAATCTCCAGCAGGGACCTTTAAAAGAAAACTAATGATATATGTGGTTTAACCTCCCAAAACCATGCTACAATGCAAGATGCGGTAGTGGAGAGCTCCGGGAATTTCGACCACCTGAAGTTCCTTGAAGTGCACCTAAATTCAAGTACACAAGCCTCAAGCATTTTGAACTCCATTGAAAATGCGGCCAACGCAACTGGGATTAGCATCCCATGACCTGCGGGTGAGCACTTGAGCATCATAAGAGGAAACTACTTTTTCATGTACCTTGTGTCCACATCACAAGACAACCCTAACATAAGAGCTTTCTTTCTTCAGTTCATATTACTAAAGAGCACTCATTACTAAAGAGATATTATTAAAGAGTTATCAAAGGAAGTCCCTGAAGCTGACGTATCACTTGACACCTTGTATCAGAATATGTCAACAGACAAGATTTGTGACACTTGCAATTCAAAATTAGAGATGCACGTAGAAAAAGACTCACCAAGTTCTTTCTCCTTGGCCTGCACGGTGAGCTTTCGCAACCTGTCCAATTCAATCCTCTTGAGCTCATCCAAGCGGTTCCGGACATCGTGCTTTACAAACTCAAGTTCGTGAGCCACGTTACCAGACTGCCAGAAGAGAACAACAGATTTCCTTGCCGCTGTCTCAAACAAGTTCACACGCGCATTGACAGCTCACACAACCGAATGTATGTCCTAGAGCAGCTTGAATGTTCCATAAAACACAGCCTACTTTTTCTCTTATTTGATCACACACATTGATAATTCAGCTGTATATGTCTGAAATAGCCTAACTGCTGAATTTACGGAGGTAAATTCTTTCTTTATGTCATACTTGTGTCCACTACATTGTTACCAAAGAGTCTCTGTGCAACGTAGTAGCGCATAATGCTGCAATACGTTCCTTGGAGCACATAACTAAGTAAATAGACCATTCGTCTCCACAAGATGCCCACATAATTTCATACCGAGGGTTTGAGTTCATCAATAAAATGAGTGAAATGCATTTCAAGTTCAAAGAAATTAGGTGGCAAGATATCCTACACAACAACAATTGGCTGTGATGCTACTTTTAACTATTGTCACCAAGACCATAGCCCTTAGGAGTCAGTGACTATATTCCACCCTGCCAGATGAATTCAGAGAAGAGAAAACATAACTCCAGCATAGAAATACTATTTTACACCTACCACCACCAATACTGCCTGCGTTTATTTGACCATGCACCAACACAGCTTGTTGCACAAGCTCAATTTGAAAAAAAAAGCCACGATGATAATTTATGCTACATTATTCATGTCACCAGGCAACTTTGATCCTGAAGTTCTAATGAGGAAACCTGCTAGACATCTTGTTTTTGCTAACTCAAATATTTTCAAGTGTACATCTTGCAGGCCTTTGAAACCAGACCAGAGCTTGCAACATCGAAAATTCTTGGTTAAATAATACTTTTTTTTTCAGTTTTTGCATATAATTGGCAACCTATTGTTTTGAAAATTTTACTTCCAGACTACAGCGGTTTTTAGAGAATGTCTGTACAAGGCAACATGTCCTTATTGAATACCTATTTTTCTTATCATGCTCAGGCCTCTCGAAATGCACGAAATTTCCCCCACAATATAATTATTCTGAGCAAATAATGCAGCCCTACACAATGTAGAAAGAGAGAGAGAAAGCTCTTTAATGAAAAACAGAGAATTCTGCCGGCGTGTTCTGTCAGCACAATTAATTATGGTTTCTGCTGCTTGTTTTACTGTGCTTCCTGTAACAGTCATTCAGTTTAACAATTAATTGAAGGTGATTCTGTTAATTGGTTAAGGTGCATCTTTCACCTGAAGTTGGATGTATTCATTCACGAATACAAGCCAACATGATGCCACATCACATCACAAATCAGTACTGTACAATCGCAAAAAATACTGTCAAAATTATTCTTGTGTGGTATTGCACTTTCACTTCAATGATGAGTTCTAGTCATGCAGTCAATGTACACAGCTTTTCTATGATAAGCACTATGAAAACAGGTAAGATTCCAGATATCTCATGCATTGTGTCTGAATAAGAAAATCTTATTTGGAAGCAACAATCTGCATTTTCCATTTTCCTCTGCTGCCCTCAGGCATTTTCGTAGGGGCTGGGAAAACTGGCATTACTGGAACAAAGGCCTTTGAGACCAGGAAGCGTTTCACGACTTTTCCCCTAGGGAAGGGAGCCCGTTCCACAGCATCATGGAAAAAGTAAATTGTTATAATCCTGTCATACACACCTGCTGGCATCTTTGCCACATTTAGATAGATTAAGTGCAATTACATTAATGTAATATTATAAATAAAAACCATTCTTTCTTTTTTTTTTCATATTGCAAACATTTCAAACACAATTAGATAGATTAAGTGCAATTACATTAATGTAATATTATAAATCAAGAACATTCTTTTTTTTTCATATTGCAAGCATTGCTCAACAGAGCTTGCATGACCATATTGATGATCAACAATAAAAACGAATACAAGAAAGTTAAGCACGAGACAACTGTCCTTTTACATGACATTTGTCCGTGAGAACTCTATTGAATGCAAGTAAAAGCCTCACAACAACCCCTAGCACTCACAATAGGTGATCAATCACAATTAGGAGCAATCAGGTCACCACATCGAGTGAACTGAGCTAACTCAAGATCTCTTCTCATGCAAACACCAAGGTGAATCTCCATGTCACATTAACTTAACATGCAGCGAGCATGATACCCCTTCCATCTAGAAAACAAACCATGTTACTTAAGAGTGTACATGTCGCCAAAATCATACAAGATTAGATTGCTTAACAATACTCACCCGAAGAGGTGTCAGCTAATAAACTCAATCTTCCCCTTGTACCAGTAAGTTATCTGACAATCTATACATCCGGTGGTGCACATATGAGAACCACAGTTTTAGTATTGATTTACTTTCAAAGGACGCCATGATTGCAATTCTTGGCATGATCATATGGACTCACACAAGAGACACACAAATCATTATTGTACAAGCTTATGCAATTAAACGAAGGCAGAACAGTACTTCTGATAGTACGATAAATGAAAAGAACAAAATTTGTTAAAGACCTCATGCAAGAGAGTGACAGTAGTGTCACCCAGTCACAAGGAAAGAAAGGTTAGTGCAACGAGGGTGATGCAATCTTATAAATTTGGTTAACTTGGATGCAGCTGAACACAGTACAATAAAATTTTTTAGTGTGAATGTCAGGGATGAACACTGGACAACCATACTAAATTACTTACCCTTATGTCATCGATGTTGACAGCTTTTAGCTTAGAAGAAAAGTCTGGGTCATCCTCAAGCGCTTGAACCACTTCCTGAAGGTAGCGACTGTACTCCAGGCCCTGTTCAATATAATGACATTATCGTTAGTGCGGATGACACTTTTTTTCAGGTGGTCAATGGGCACGTTGTCATGTTAATGACACGTCGTCGTGTGTTCATTATTATCTAAAAGAAAATATACACGAAGAAAAAGGCTGAACGTACAAAATCGGGAGGCTCTTCAACGGTGTTTCCCTTGGCTGGCTCTTCTGGCTTTTTCCTTTTGTCTACCGGCGGTCCGACAACTCCTTGCAATATAAGGAGCAACAGGCAAGCTGCTAGGTGCGCTTTCATGGTCATTCTGAAAACAAGACCTAAAGTAAGTTTCGTGGTTCCTGTGACGAGTGCATATAGGTCACAGGGTCAACAAACGCCTGCGAAATCTGGGAGCATCGCAGTAATGACACGTGTAACGGCGGGATTTGAAGAGCTAATGCGGAAGATTTGCGGTATTGCCACTATCTGAAAACAAGTGACGAAAGGTTTGGCAAGCAGCCGGCGACGGCTGACCAACCGGTGGACACCCACTTACGAGAAAACTTTCAACGGGGACGTGCACTGCAACTAGATAAAAACGTCTCTCGCGACAATCGTCGAGTGACAAGGGAGAAAGTGGGTCTGATGACAGAGCCCAATAAATGCCGGGGCGAAAAAAAAGAAGCAGAAAGGAAGACAGGAGATAACAAACAGGAGTATGATCGCACTCGGATCGATTGATCGCGAACACGCGCATTATAAACCGGTTTTTTTCCGAAGCAAGGGAATCCCCAAGCAGCACCAGACGCTGACGACAGATAGCAATCGCGTTGATTCGGACAAACAGATGCTACGAGCAACAGCTGAAGTTGTGAGAGCTCGGAAAGGTGCGATTATTAGATTACGTCCATACGCACGTCACCTGCGCGAAGACAGCTGTCTAAAAGCACAAGGTACTCACTCTTTAGGTGAACTTTAACGAGGAGCGGGAACGGCGTGCTTTTCAAACAGCCGGCGGGCGTGCACAGGTATCACGACGAGAACCTCATACGCGACGTGGAACTAGCCAGCGTCGTCCTTCGCTAGCCCGCTGGATTCATAGCATGACCTACTACACTCCTGACCTGTTCAGATAGCGGGGTTCCTATGGGAGCGCGTGTCCCCGCTCTCGTTCAATCGCTCGCCGTAGGTGGCGCTACCTATAACCTGTTCGTCTGCTACTTTACGGCTGTTTGGACGGCGCTAGAGTAAGAACGGCTGCATTCCGTGATGAACAGCCGGCATATATGGTGACTATTTTTTCACTTAGATGACTGGTCAAGTAAGCTGTTCAGTGTGACGAAAAATTTATTGCACACTGGTGGACAAATGCGAGAATCCGTAGACTTACATAGTGTAGGACAGCATATGTGATGTTGCGTCCATTTAATTGCAAAGAATTTGTGAATGACTTTTGAAATATTTGTTTCAAAATTATTTTTCATTAGTGCATAATAATTACGCAATATGAGTGCTCTGTTGGCCGAAATATGACCACGAACACTCAAGCTGACGTCAGCGAACAGGTGCTGACTAGCGCCACAGTGCTCCTAAGTTACGGCCCTAGCGGCAGAAGGTATGAACTAGAACGTGGGCGCTGGAAGAGGTGCTCTCTGGGCAGGTCAGGAGTGTAGTAGGTCATGATTCATAGCAGGCAGGTAACCAAGGTAGCCGCTGGGTGTCGCCAACCTCGCAATTTGCGTCAATGTCCGCGGGGCTGCCAGCAAGTCGTAGAGCTTTCGCTGTACTTTTACGCGCATGCGGCGAGGCGGGACGCATAATCTTGTGCTTATAGTCTGATTTTAAGCTCATAATACAAACAGCATACGTACTTAATACGCCCTGAAGTGCATATTGTGTGTTTGAGATTCCACGTACTCAGATGAACTGACGTTAGCCACCGTATTGACGCGCCTGTATCAACGCTAATTGCTTGTGTTTGTAGCACATTATAAAAAAAAAAGAAAGTATAAGATTAATTTTAGAAAGTTCAGACTCTCGCTCGATAACACCTGTGTTGCAGTTTTGCAATATATTATATTGCTACGTGCTAGTGCATAGAGACGAAGAAGAAGACAGGCGCGAGCTAATCTCTGTGGCTAGCGCTGCTCGCTTAACCGGGTGTAAATACATCTCTGACTACCCCTCCGAGTCGGTCTCCTTCTCGTAACTGGTAACTTTTGCGCCGGCCTGCAAAGCCCATGACGAAAAAAAGAAATGGGGAAGGAGAGGGAGGGTGCATTAACAAATGATACGGCCACGTAACCACAAGAAACGTTCGCTTGTGTTACAGTCATAAGCGACTACTCTTCAGGCAAGTTTTGCTCTGGGCTGCAGGTTTCGACTGGGCGTAGCCAACGTAGCGTTGACTGCGGAAAGAAGAATCATTTCTGAACTATTGGTCCGGAGCATAGGAAACTCTATGGTCGGGGGCACAAAGGCCGACTTTACCACAGAGCACCTGACTTCACCGCATAGTGCGCTTGCGTGTCCTCCCAAAGTGCGCCTTGGGGGAACAACAGCCAATGGTGGATTACGGCGGCACCATGGTATGCAACATGGAGGAAGAAAAAAACTGGTATGCACCGGTCTTGTTGACTAAGGCTATTTGAGCGCCGCTATAATCCACCCTTGGCTGTTGTTAATATCATAGTTTCCTAAAAATAATTGTGAGAAACTCCACCGCACTGCCGAGGCTGTAAAGTCAGTGTTTAGTTATTGTGTGAAACTCTGCGGTGCATGCATAAGAACTGATTTAGGGCTTTAATTACTCATAAAGTTAATGTAAATAGCTTAATTTACAGAATGAACAAACAATCCGAATATTAGATGGGGGCACGGAGTAGAAGTGGTGATGTGTTGGTACTCATGTTTCCTCAACATGCGTAGTGTCACATTTTTAGGAAAGCCTCGCCCTATTCTGCCCTGCCATAATTTAACTCTCGGCACCGAATAGAGTTCCAAGTAAGCCCCTATTCCTCATAACTTTTCGCATTTTTTCCAATAGTGCATGTCTATGGCGGCTGCAGTGCTTGATATAAAAAGATGGCAGTCAAAAACAACTCTCACAGCACCAGTGCTGTGAGCAGTAACAGTCATGTTTTGAACAGAGGGGGCGGGGGGGGGGGGGGGGGGTCAACTCTACCTCATGTTCGCACCTGAATTCGTATGTGTAATTGTGTGCAAGAAAATTAAAAACCATCAAGAGGGGCAGGGGTGTTGAACCTTCCCCCACCTATACTACTCGAACCGGGGTGCATCACCATTTCAGGTCCAGTAAAAGCTCGTTAATTTGAATCCTCAAACTGCAAAATTGTTAAAATTATGTGGAGCTGAATTAGAGGGCAAGCGCTGGAACGCAGACCTTGCACCACACTACATCAGCAGAGCTTAAGCAAGCCACCTCTGAACTCGTTACCGTAAATTAGGAGATACTAAAGGCATGTGGCAGGTGATTTCATATATTAAATTTCTGGAGATCTAACAAAAACAATTGATCAGTCAGTGATACGCCAAAAACAAGAAAAACATGCGTTCGTGTGAGCAGAGAGCCCTAATGTCAAAATATCTGTACTCCAAACAGGTTTAGTTGCGTGGCATAATTGGCTCAATTAAACTAAGGTAATCAGTCATCTGTATTTGCTTGCACTTTTGTTGCAACTCCACCAGCGTTGTTTGCAGCTTGGCCAAGAGCTCCGGTGCAGCGACCCAATTCTCATCAGCAGAAAAATGCTGCAGTTTTGTTGTTTTTGCATCTCCAGTAAATCTGGTTTGATTCTGCAACACATTGTGATCAATCTGGGAAACTTCTGCGAGAAGCGATCTGCGAGAAGCGATCAAATCTAGGAGTCTCCCAGTTCAAATTAACTGGTGTGGATGGCGACTCATTTGAATCATTGAGAGTGTTCATTATAAAAATATACAGGTTTGTGCCAGGGCATCAGCTGAATTAACAGAGTTCAAATTGATGAAATTTTCCTGTATATGTAATCTCACGTAAACAATAAAGCCAATGGCATACATTTGTAGATAAAGCGCAATGAGTCAGCCAAAAAATTAGCAAAGATACTCGTAAAGCTGTGAGGCACACAGTGACAGACACTAAAGCAAAAAAGAAGAAAAGATACACAGTACTCTTACCTGCACATGTTTTACCTGGTCATTTATGCATACTGATCCATGATATAAAAAAAGAGGAGACAGATGGTTTGTCTTCGCATTAGACACCTACTTTTACATTAACTAACAACACATTGTAAGTTCGTAGAACCACACATGCTGAAGTACTGTCACTCATGTTGAAGTACTGTGCTGCCAATATAAGTTCACAACAGCGCTAACTTGGAAACTAGGTAGGTCCGGCAGAAGCCAACAGACAACAACAGTTCAACAATTTTATTGCATAAAACACTGTTAAAGTCAGGAAACAAATAAACCTGAGATTACACAACCGAGAAGATCTCAATTTTCTTTAAATTAGTGAAGACTATCGGTACAAAATTCAGTATCACCTAAAATAACACCTCGGCTTTGCCTCAGTGTGTAAGGCACATGCCGATTTTCACTCTGCTTTTGCAGGCAATAAGTGAAAATGCATTACTTACAGAGTCTTAAGTATTCAGATACAGAATGTGCCGTTTCACTTTAATGTATGAGCCATTTTGTTTCACCCGAGTCTCCTATTTCAGGCAAAGTAAAACATGTAATAGTTAAGATCAACAAAATATTTAAATTTTAAATCTGTTTAACAGTAGGCAAACAAATGGCAAGGCAGGCACTCGGATGACATCAGCTGCTATTGTCACCACAATAGCAACAATCTAGTACACACGCGCGTATTTATATTTATATATATCCTTTGTACAATAAAACTTAATCTATGCACAGAGTGGCAAGATAAAAATTATACATTCATTTTGATCTTGATGTCACGGACTTCGACTTGAAGGGCCCTGAAACGAAACACAGCCAGCATTCAGCAGACAAACACACACTAACAAAAGTCAGCAAGCATTTGGAATGCTAACTTGTAATAAATGATATTTCAGTTTCACATACCAAAACCATGATACGATTATGAGAGATGCCCTAATGGAGGTTGACGATTTATATGAGGGGTTTAACGTCCCAAAACCACCATATGATTATGAGAGACAACGTAGTGGAGGGCTCCGGAAATTTCGACCACTTGGACTTCTTTAACGTGCACCCAGACCTGAGCACACGAGCCTCAGCATTTTCGCCTCCATCGAAAATGCAGCCGCCGCAGCCGGGATTCGATCTCGCGACTTGCGGGTCAGCAGCCGAGTGCCTTGGCCACTAGACCACCATGGCGGGGCGCCCTAGTGGAGATCTCCGAAAGTTTTGACCATCTGGTGCACTGACATGGCGTAGTACACGGGCCTCTACAACTGCGCATCCGTCAAAATTGCTACCGCCACGGCCGGGATCGAACCCGCAACCCTTGTGTAAGCAGTCGCGCATCGTAGCCACTGTTCCGCCAAGGCCAACTTCAATGCTGATTTGGTTTACACTGAATTGATAAAACAAAACCTTTATGTATGGCCTGAGAAACAACACGAGTGTCAAAGTATAATATATTTCGATGCAGATTTCGACAAAAAACTGTCTCAACATGCCTTACATTCAGGCAGCCTTCAAAGAGAGTAGAAAGAAATGTTGAAGAGCCTGTAATAAAGATTCTTAAGGATAGAAAACTTAACAAGAGCTCTTTCTCTCTATTCAAACAGATACAGCAACTAATGACTACAGCTCCAATTAGCTTACATTCGACTTCTACAAAATGAAAAAAATTAGAGGGGTTCAAATATTCAATTGGCACCAGAGTTTCACTATTCAAACTATTCGAACTTCCCAAAGACATGTACAGTTAACATCCAATTGGCAGTATCCCCACCAGATTTTCAATACGCTTCACCCTATCGCACTCCCATACTGCAGCAAAGCTGCCCTTCAAGCTCTGCTACAATCGTAAGTGTATTGACTCGAGAAAACACTGGTTCCAACATGGAAATGATAGATGTGGCAGAGGTGGGGGCTCAATGCTGTTTTAAAGCTGAAATATGGAAAACACTTTCTTTGCACCACATTATGTACACAATTGCACTTCGACCTCTACATTGCCTCATTCTCGATCAGACAACTATGAAACACCACCCCTCCAGCACTTCATCAGCCTAGATGGTAGAGCTACTCTCACATTGCTTTCTCATAAGAATATTATTAGGAATCCTCTCCAACTTTTTTTTTCTGCTATTTCACTTCGAAGCATCTGAAAAATATTTTGGAAATATTCAACAAAAATACAAAAAACATTCGATTCACACTCGCACTTCGATATTCTAATTCATTTCGAACCCAAAATATTATAATTTGCACAACTCTAAACAAAATTCATGCATGTGAACATATGTATTTGCTTGCTCATTTTTTTGTTTCCAGGAAAATTAAGTTTCTTGACACTTCGGCTTGCACTTAGACTGCTTATAATCTTGGGCTGAAATTAGCAGCTCACGGGGCACAGAGCTTACACTCGATGCAATACTTGCAAATCTATGACAACTTTCGTTTAACACACACTTTTTGCTCATCTGCTACCTAAATCAAGCTGTGGTGATTAAAAAAAAACACAAACTCTAAAAGAATCCTAAGCACAAAGGTTCACCGTAGGTGTTAGAACAAAAAACTTCGTGTCTAATTTATGGTGTTTCCTGAGCCAAAACCACGATAACATCATGAGGCCACTGTATTAGCAGCGCAGCTTTGAAATAATTTTGACCACCTTGGGTATGTAAACGTTCATCTAAATCTATGCACATGGGTGTTCTCACATTTTGTCCTTGCCAAAATACGGACCACTGTAACAGCACATTGAATTTGCATACTCAAGCTGTTGAGTTGCACAATAAAAGACCGTCAAGACTTCGGCGGATCGAAATAAATGTTTTCATTAACTGAATTCTAAATTACCGAAAGCATCATGAAAACAAACGCCTATTATGTCAATGCTCTCATTTTCTGAGGAATACGTAAATGATGCCCTTGCTAAGCATAATAGCAGTTGAAAACCTGCAATTTCCCCCACTTAAGACTTTGTCCACATTGTGACTGCAGACCTGCCTGTCCTAACATGAAGAGTGCTAACCTGAAATTAACCAGAAACACCAGTTATCATCGTTACTGTAATGTGCACACTTATGGCATTGGCGATGCAGACTGCGCCGCCTCATTTCGGTAGTCTGTGAACACCATTTTCGCTCTTGTGTGTTGTAAACTTCCAGCGCTTCGAGCTCGGTGCACTTTGAGAATTGTCTGAATTAACCAGGTTGCAGCCAACTATAACCAAATTAGCAAGAATTTAATGCCATTAAGCAATGCACATCCTGGCTGGGATGAGGGAACACACCTGAATCGTCTAATTTTCCAAATTAATGAGTGTAGAATTCACTATCTTTCGCTGCACTCAAGAGCGTCCTGTTACCTGCTGGGCAAAGAACTTTTACACAAGATCTCCTTTAGGTTCACGTAGAATCATCAGAAACGGTGCGTATATGGCTTCATCGTAAAAAACTGCGAGAGCACACGGAACAGGAAAAACTGCACCTCTTTTCCTGTAGGACTTTCTTGTCTCGTGTGCCCACACTTTTTTACGATGAAGCCATACCAACAAGCTGAAGTTTGTACCCTTTTAAAGTGTATATTGGTTTTCTCGACAGCGCAATGAGCCACTGCAGTGGACAACACGCACTGATACACACCTATGTAGCTCAGCAGAACAGGTAGGAAGATGAGCCCATGAGCAGCTCCCACTAGCACAATGGACAGGTACATGCGGAAGTAGAAAACTCTGAACAGCTGCGACTTCGAAAAGGCCAGCACCACGACACCACCAAACTTGGTCAGCGTGATGCCCGACAGCACCTGCAAACACCACGCGCAAGTACTGTTAGTTACCGTAAGCAGCGCGCACGCTTAGATGTCTTGGTATGTGTAAGAGGAAACACCTAAGCAAGCTCAATGAACAGATCTCACGATCATTAATATACATGCTCATGGCATCAATAACAATACTCATAGGCAGCTCAATTACAAACAAGAACACCAGTGAACACCAGCAATTTATGCAACAAACAACTTGCATTACATCACATAAAATGGCAATGTCATCAAGTTCCTCCTCCAGAAGATGCTCGGCAAGACTTGGTTCATGGCTGTGGAAACTTCACCTATCATTTCGCAAAGCTCCTAGCATGCACATTTTTTAATGGTAGCACATTAAGAATCACTGCTAGCATGCTTGTACTGCTGTAAGCATGTTTGCTTTGACCAATAAAAGATGAAGGCCTACTATCACTACCAATTAAAATAGATGACATTAAATTCAAGCAATGTTACATGTCTATCTGCACTTGAAGGCTCTCTGACAGCGAAGTTTTCCTTTAAGCTTTTTTACAGTAACTTGTAGCTTTGCATCTGGTAATCCCAAAATTGAATCGTAAGTGCTCTAATAGATCATGTAATTAATGATTGCATCGTTAATTTAGAATGATATTGCATCAGTTCTATACACCCACTTAAATACCATAAAAAACTAGCACCCCACAGCGAGGGAGAGCCAGAGTCTAAGTGCACTCAAGCTTCAGTAATGCTGAACACACTGTTATCAAATTGGGGGACCCGCCGGCAGTCAAGAGTGAAACAATGTGGGTGCTTTCAGCTTGTCCCTCTCAGAAAAAAAAAAGAAAAGCATTCCTGGTGTAAGCAGCCGAAACCACCTTGAGAGCAGCTCGATAACACAGTGAGAGGGGTGACAAACAATAGTCCTCGCCAAGTGTTAGTTGGGGTATCGCGCATTCCCTGCACATGTTCTCAGACGTCAACAATACTCGCCGTACTCCTGGAACGTCGCATGCGGCCTCTGCCTACGTCAAATCGGAGAAGATATTGATTGGTGCTGATTACTCATATGAGCACCCACCCTCACTTTAAAACCAAATTAAAATATCTTATAGGCAACGTTTGTCACTAATAAGTCTGTCATCATAAGTGCCCCAGTATGCGGGACTCTCAAACAACTACAAGCATCTCGAGCTTCCAAATTTAGTGCTAGGCTAAAATTTTGTTGGCCTTAAATCTATGAATTTAATGAAAACCAATAGATAATGAAAGCTAAGCAAGGTATAGGCAACATTAATTGTACCATTTTAAGTGTACTGTAGTAATTGTGATACAGATGTGAAGAAATCAAAGCGGATGAAAAGACAACTTGCCATTGGCAGAGACCAAAGATGCAACTTTCAAATCTGAAGGTTGCAGGTTCAATTCCTCTCGACAGCGAGTTCGCAATTACTACAATACACTTAAAAACAGTACAATTGACCCTATACCTTCCTTCGCTTCATTATCAGCTGTTTCTCATTAAGAATGGATCAAACAAAGAAACGATCCCTCAAAATTGCCTTCCTTCATTCATTCTATCAAAGAATATGAGAATAAAGCTGCTCCAAGCGGATGGAATGTGCTGGCTTACAACACACAGAAAGTTGAAAACTTAAGTGCTTTTTTCAGTTCACCATAAAAAAGTTATCCTCACAATATTAAACAGAAAGTTGGGTCATAATTACTTTCAAAATGACACCAGCAGCACTAGTAAGCTGTCACTAGGTGACTCACTACCGCATTAGTGATGTGAACTGTAAAAAGCACATGCTATCACTTGCCCTTTCTTTTATTTATATGTAATTATTACATTCATTCCGGTTTTGTTGATTTTTAATCACAAAGAATATTAAAGTAAACCTGTTCACTCAGTAGCTGTCAGCAGGACATAGCTTAGAATCAACGTCCACTCACCGAGCTCCCCATTGTTGCTAGAGACTCTTCAGATCGCGAGACACGACAGGGCTGTCCACTCACGAGGAAAGCCCGGACAATGTGGGAGCAGAACTCCACAGATATGCCGACAGCCTGGGTTGACAACAACATAAAAAGAAAAGGAATGTGGCACTATTTCAACAGGTAAGACGTGCGGCAACAAGAAACGAAGACTGGACAACACTACTGAATGCCAAATGATGCCAAGAGAAGCTGCTGAGTAAGACACTAAAGTTAGGTAGAAATGGGAGTCTAATCTCTTCATCAATTTCCATTTTGTTCTTTAGTGTTCATAAGTGACACAACATGCCACAAAAGACAAAGTTGGCACAGTGAACAGCAATAAAGCATGACTGTCCTCACTAGTCCACAGCAAACTAGGAACTTGCTTATGCCTAGTTTTCAATGCTAAGAAATCAAACATAAGCAAACGAATTTAATATATTTGATATGCTAAACTATAGGCATTCATCGATTGTGCAGGTATCCTGGTGCTTCAAGCTAGCACTCGCCAGGGTGTGAAGGCAGAAGAATTAAATCCCCCAGCTTTAATAATGAATTGTTGGAGTGGTGCCTCATCACTTCTAGTAAAGCCAGTTCTTGTAAAGGCACAGAAAGGCCAGATGATTGGCACTTGGAAGACGTGCAGCATGGTTTGCTGGTATACTTGCATGAATCGCACATTATTTTTTTAGAACTTACGAACACAGCGAAGAGGCTGATTTTATATTACTATAAAAGAAATGCACTAATAAATGTAATCCTTTTCTTTTTATTTACCAATGTGCTGCAACCTCAGGCCACAAGACATTTGCAGAACAGAAAAGCTACCATTTAGCTGTTAAGAAAGGGCGCACAAAAGATACACCTTTGCAAGGAAGTAAATAGTTTAACAAAGCAGACAGATGCAACAGTGACGTATGGTGGCGTGCATTTGCATGGACCAACGCATGGCAGCCTCCGTTGAGTTACGCAGTATGGTACTAATCCTCAAGAAAGTCTTAGCAGCACTGAAAAAGTGCACAGACGAAAGGGAGGCGACATGGACTAGTGCCGACTTCCAACTGATTTTCAATTCAGGAAAGGTACACATACGCAGTGTAAAAACTGCACTGTGAAAAAAGAACATGAGACAAGCTTCGCACATAAAGGCTAAAAGGCGACAGAGTTAACAAGTTCGAAATGCCATCTGCATAAAATAGATAATAATCTACTTCCTCCTTGCAAAAATCAGTGGAAGACATGGTGCTGGATGCCTTCCCCAAACAGACAATCTGGGCCGCCTCTACATTCTCTAAGTAAGGCGTATCACGACTTCCGGAAATCACTTCTGTTTGATTGTAAGAAGGAATACAACCACCCTTGGTGCCATGCGGCAAGAAACAGGTCTGCCAAACTTCAAAATGCGTGGCAACTCCGAACAGGGTAGCGTGCATTGCAGGGGGTGTGGTTGGGGGGGGGGGGGGAGTGTTTATGTTATAAGAAGGAAAAGAAGAGAAAAGTGAGCCCCGTAACAGTCTGCATCAGGGTGCGACACCTCAACAGTAGCTCACAAGGAATGGGGGTGAGGAGGGATTAAAAGGATAGGAATGAAGGTGTAGAGAGAAAGAGATGCGCTAAGCCAGCGAGCGAGAACATATCGAGGGTATAGGAGAGATAGGAAAGATGAAAACACGGTCACAGGAGTCTGAGGACAGGGCACCACTTGCGAGAGCTCTAGTTGGCGTCAGGAGATGGCATAGAGCAAGTCCAGTAGGTCAGAGCTACGCTGTCGTCGGAGATCGGCGTCAGGAGATGACGTAGGGAAGAGCCCAGTCTGCCAGAGCTACGCTGACGTCGGAGATCGCGAGGGCACAACCGGTCGGCACGGAATACAGCGAGCGAAGAGACCAGGGGGTGTGGTTGCATTCCTGCTTACAATGAAACTGAAGTTATTTTCAGAAGTAGCTATACGCTCACTATTGAGATTATAGAGGCGGCCCAGACTGTTCGTTTGTGGGAGGCATGCAATTGATTTGCACAAGAAGGAAGCAGGATCTATGCAGATCGGTGTTTTCCATGTTTTAACTTCGTCACCTATTAGTCTTTAGGTGCAGTGCTGCTTATGTTCTTTTGTGCAGTGCAATTTTTGGACTACGCATATGTGTCTTCTCCAAAAAAAAAAATCAGTTGGAAGTCAACATTAGTCCATGTCGCCTACTTTTAGTCTGCCCGTGTTCTTTCCAAACTGTTGAAACGTTTAATTATAAATTACCTACTTTTCCAAATGCTCACATTAATGATTGTACTACACACTGCACGTTCCCATATCTGCTTAGAGACTGCGTACCATGCTAAGAAGAAAGAAAAATTACGGGAGATGGAGCAATAAACTCTAAGGAATATGAAAGTGAAAGTCCTAACTGGACTCCTGGCACGTCGATTGGAGATCCGAGACCATGCAGCAATGTGCACAATGCGTGCGAGTGCACTTGGGGCATAGTGCCGCCATCTCCAGATAGTTCTATGGGTGCTGGGTGCTGCAGCTGGCATCCCCCTCCCTTCCAATGCTATGGTTGCCCTTTCCCTCAACTAATCGAGCGCAATCTATCCCCTCTTTCTCAGAAAGTCTCTACCCTTTGCCCCTATCATAAGTAACACACAAGTGCACAACATGGCTTGTGATATATCATATATGAATTATGCGGCACACATGATTTTCTGTACCTCACAAGAGGTCCTTGCAACAGATAAGACTCACGCCTGGAAAGAACAACCTTCTATAAGTCAATGCTTACTAACGCTAATAGCAATGCATTCATTTCATTCATTAAGTGGTCTGCCAAATTCGCATCTCGAATCATAGCTGCGCGAGTACTTCAGCAGAAGGATAGAGTGCTCACCATGACGAGGTTGACTAGAGAGATGGCGTTTAGTGCAATATCCCAGAAGTACATGATGCCCAGCAGGTCCACTATGATCATGACGATCGTGAGGCAGACAATCGCGGCCGCGTTCAGGTTCAGGTCGAGCAGCAGAAAGGTGATGCCAAAGATGCCCACCAGCGAGATGCTCAGGTGCACCGCAGACTCTGCCTCGATTGTCAGGTACTGCTCGTAGAACACGTGGAAGATGCTGCTGTGTGTGCAAGAAGAGAGAACAAAGACGCAGGCCTTTAGTGAAACGTACAGAAGTGTGAAGTAAGCTGACTTAACTCGGATAGGGATCCACACAAAGCTTGGATTTGGCCAGCCTGTAAAGTTTTATCTTGCTGAACTAATTTCACCCAGTTAGTTTTGTCTTTTCATAACAGTTCGAGTAGCTTCCTCTTGCTAAAACAATGAACTGAGATATCCACATGTTCGAGCAATACAGGGACACTGAAAGAGCAACTTCAAAATACTGGACACGTGGTACACCTGCACTTCGGTCCTGAAAGAGAAGCAGCTGTAGAAATATGTTAACCTGGCTGACCCAGATGCTGAGTGAAAAAGCCTGTAATGGTATATACGAAAAATGATAAATACTGTAGGGGTTCATCTTTCTTTGTCACACACAACATTAATTAAAACAGAAGAAAGCACTGTGGCATATTATTCCGTAATAATTATAAATGTGAAGGAAGTAGAGTAGTTAAAAAGATGATTTGTCGCAGGCAAGGACTGGACCTATGACCTTCGAATTGCACATCCGAAGCTCGACTAACTGAGCTACAGTGGCAGCCATTTCCCCGTTCATTTCCTGGGATATATATGTGCATTTAAACGTGGGAGTGTTAGCACCGCTAGTAGCCATCATGGCGAGTGTGGAAAACTTTCTGCCGGCTGCCGTCACGAAGCACAACACTGAAAGCCACTCGCAGGTTTAAATACACACACATACCCCATGAAGTGGAAAGGTACCACAGCTGCAGCTCGGTCAGTAGAGAGTCGGATGTGTTATTCAAAAGATTGCAGATTTGGTACCTGCCAGAGGGAAGTTATCTTTTTGCTCGCTTTACTTTCTTCACATTTAAATTATAACTACAAATACATCCCATCTACTTTCCTTGGCTTCCTTGTCAGTTCTAATTAATGTTGTAATGGCATAGTGCCAGAAACAGAATGGAACAAAAACATACATATATTTTTGTTATCTTAAATGAAGCTCTGCAACATTCGTTCCATGCCAAGTCAACATTAGGGTGAAGATTGACCTCATGTTTTATGACTTTTCCCACCTCAAAACTCCTAACCGACCTTGAACAGGTCAGACCAACTGGCCTTATCAGCCACCTTTATGCATGATCTTTTTCCACAAAGTAGAGAATAGCGCTGCCCATCTACTAAAGAGGACACTACGCTTCTCAAGCATTGCTGCAAAGTGTCCATGGAACGCAGTGGCCACTTTTGTCAAGAGTCAAGATGGATTGTTGATGGGAGATGTGATCAAGCATAACAGAAGTGAGTGACCTTTTCAGAGTTGCACAACTGCTTCCAAGAGCTACATCAATATTTTCAATTGCACACATAGGCGCATGCAGCGTATGGTCCAATTCCGTTGGGCAACTAAGGTAGTGGAAACAGTTACAGGTTAGAAGTAATGCTGATGAAGACATGCATGTCTTAGAGGCAATGTACAGTGCAGTCCCATTATGAAAGAAAACCTATCTGAACAAAAGTTGTGGTACATTAAACATTAGCAATATGAGCAATGTCAATCTGGAATCACGTTGGGAATGGAATCACGTTGGGAATGTTTTTACTTGTTTTACAGCATACAGTATTCATTCCAGGTAATTGTGATACGCTGATTTCCTTTCCCACAATCACCAGTTTAGAAATACGTTTTGCTCCTAACACTATAGTACATAAAATATTTGATATTTCAAGAATAGCAAGCTGTACTAAAAAAATAATTCCATACTTGAAATTGAAACATCAAAATACATAAGCTGCGAAAGTTTCATTGACATCTACCCAAAAACAAAGTGATTTGCATTTCCAGCAGGGTCTCCTCGTAACTCTCGTGTTCTCTAATTACACAAAGCAAGGTTATACAGACCTATAAGGAAACACTGTGGCATTATGGGAGGACGAGGAAGCTTGGAGCTCGTGTGTGATGTTATCGGCCACAAATCGCGCCATCCTAAGCGCACGCGTGAAGTCGTCAGAGCCTGACAATGCTGTGTGATAAGTCATGAACTGCGTCGCTGAAAAAAAGAATGCATAAGCAAATGAGTTTCTGGACATCAAAATGAGCATAAGAAGACAGGTTAATAAGAATTTTTTTTAACTTCCACTTTACGACGTGTCAATGCTCCCTTTTCATATACATAACAGTGAAGACTCGTGCTCCGATTTCAGCTAATTATGCGCACTTCTTTTTAAACAACATTGTTTGAAATAATAATACACAGGATTTCATGTGCCAGAACTTCAATATGATTACGAGGAGGGCCGTAGAGGAGGGTTATGGAAATTTTGACGATTTGACGTTGTTCAACGTACATTGACATAACACAGTATACAAGCCTATGACATTTAAATTCCATCAAAATACAGCCACCAAGACCGAATCAAACCCAAGAGCTTCGAGTCAGCTGCCAAGCACTGTAACCTGCTACACCACCGCGGCAGACAACAGTCTTTTGGAAGTCTCAACATATTTATGGTACATCCAAAAATCGGATGACTCTTAAGCTTCAGCTTGAAGAGTTGAACTCGAGATAGACATTGCATGCACGCATAACATGCACTATCGCCTTCCCTATCACTGACCTGGCTTTGCTCCTCGGCGTAGACCTAAACTGCGCCACATGAAAAGCCAAAATGCCCCTGCTCCAATCTTTATCATCACCCACCTCAAATTTTCACTTACAGCCAAAGACACCGCGCCACTGGCACCGACGGTAAAATGTCTGCAAAACGAGCTCATACTAATAGTAGCATACAATTAATTTCTTTATTTTCAAGCACGCCATAACATTTTTATAGCGGGCTACTGTTTTTGGTTGTGTCTCTGCCCAAAGTTCTGCTTAAATAGTATGTTTTTTCCTAATAAAAAATAAAATGAAATGTATTCACATTGACGTGATTGCCCCAATTCCTGCGTACTTTGAAGTGTCACTGCCAAGAATAAGAGTTAAAAGCGCACCATATGCAAAATCTTCCCACTGCATCTTGGCACAGACACAGTTGATGCCACATCATAATTTTTCTTTTATTTTGCAACATTTTTCCAAACAGTTTGCGAAAATGTTTTAAATAACACAGTCACATGCTAGTAAACATCATAGTCTCACGTGTAAGCCTAGTCACTCGGCAGGCTGTGAGTTTTGAGTGTGTTCAAAGCTAGGGCTTTAATGACGGACAAAAATTAGAAGTGAACGAAAAAATGGCTGCCGATACACAAGTCAAAAGCATGGAAACTGCTTCCAGTTGAGTGAGCCTGGCCCGTATTTGACAAGCTTTTCATTGATAAACATCCCATTTACAGCACTGTAAAAGTAGCAAGAAGAAGGAAGACTCACCTCCGATACGAGAGCCGTTCTTGTAGATCTGCACTGCATTAGCATAGGCAGCATGACCCCTAGTAGTACGAAAAATAAAGGTTGCTTTATCAATGCACTGTTTGAGCAGTGCGTTCCATGAATGACACTGTGTAATCAATGACACAACAGCCAAAATCTAACAGCAACAAACTGCAGCGTGAGAGAGTTCTATTGACCAGTAATACTCGCACAAGAATTATGCATTGAATGAATATACGATTCAACTAGTGCTGTTGAACCACATACACACACAACACAACTAAGTAGTTGTGCTGCGCACACAACTAATTAAAAATCATTTTCACATTTTACCGAGTATACAGTATTAATATGTAACTATATCATTAATATCTACAGTTTCATATGCCAGAACCACGATACAATTGTGAGGAACGATGTGGTGGGACGCGTCGGAACTTTCGATCATCTGGTGTTCTTTAATGTGCACAGACATCACGCAGTACACGGGCCTCCAGCGCTTCTTCTCTATCAAATATGACCACCGCGATCGGAATCGAGCCCGCAACCTTCGAGTCAGAAGCCGAGCACACTAACCGCTACACCACTGCGGCGACACGTGGTTAACAAGCTTCTGTAATAAACTGCAGATTACGGAGCACCACTAACTCAAATTGGAGAATCCAAGAGAGATGGTCAGCTTGTCAGAAACCCAGGACAGTTAGAAGCTGTAAACGATCAGGGTTTAGAAGAAAACATCAGACTCCTTTCAATGACATATCGCAAGCTTCACAACACCAGTTACAAAATTTTATGTTTGCTTGTCAGGCAGGTTATGATGACGATGATGGCCAGCAGAAAAGAAGTGCACTTTACATTTTCTCCAATTTTATGACTGAGTGGGCAAAGTCAATCAACTGTCAACATTAGTGTTTGAATACCAATAAGAAGCCGTATTTTCAAAACCCAGATAATATTAGGTTCAAGAGCAGTGTCATTCCTTGTTCAAAATACCCTCGTAGTCATGCCTATCTACCCATTGTCAATTAGTACTTGAAATTTTCATCTTCCTGTTAGCTCTTATCCTTTTTTGAATTTATAATGACAGACATATCGGCATAATACTACAGAAAACATCTAATGTGCTTGAGCTGGTGAAATAGGCAAAAGTAACAAAATGTGATACTAATCAACCAATATATTACTTAATTGACATGTATTATTACAGACACGTGAGCATGTTACGGCTGGCCTGGTATCACACATGTTACGTGCACCTTCACTTGTATCAGCCAGTCTACAATGTACGCCTGACTTTGAACAAAATTTGCATGCACAATGTGAGATTTTGTAAGCTGCCAGAGTTGCTTTCTTTAAATATTGTACTGCCAGAGTGTTTAAAATCTGTTTCGCTGCTGTGTTGCAGGGGTGTGGTTATCACGGTGTTGTATAGTTGCTGATGCAAGCACTTATAGTTTTGATGCGTTAATATTTCTCATCTAACTCATCAGGTGTTTGGCTGTTTCAGCACAAACAAGGAGTCTGTCATCTTTATTTAATTTAAACAACAATTTTTTTTTATCCTGGCTTCGGTTAGCACAATTTAGTTGATAAGTGGATTACCTGATGTGACAAATGTTACTCGCAAAATAAATTCATGTGTTCAGATGAATATAAATCGAAAATTACAGTCAATTATTAGTTATAGAGTGCATGCAGCAATGCAGAATAAAATGTTAGTGGTGGAGTAGTACTTGCATAACAGGAATCTTGAATCTAGTGTCATCTTCGAAATATCTCCTTTTGTAAATGTACTGCGAAATACATACACTGCGACCTCTGTTAACAGCTTATCAAAGACATACATCAAGCTGTTTGAGATTATCGTAACTCTTATTTCAGTGCATAGTGCCACATATTTAATGGCCGGATATCGCTGTTTCACAAATACATGTCTACCATCTATTTTCACAATTGAAAGTACACCCTGAACTCGCTTATCGAAAATTGCTAAAAATTCTAAAATTAGTCATGCAAGGGACATTAACCTCTTCCATTATCAATGTGAACAAACCAAATTTCAGGCTCTATACAACTTCCAAACAAAAAAAAAAAAGAAAAACAGTATAGAGGACAGGTGCAACGACGAAGAGCTCCAACAACAATGAAAGGGCCGTGTCAGAGAATGGCATTGTGGAGCCCAGAATAGAGCTGTCAGCAGACTGAGAATCCCCCGTCTGTCTCTGGGATTTCTCACAGAACATTTTTCTAGGCTCTTTGAAAGCAGCTGCCGTGGAGAGGCGACGAGACAGAAGCGTTGATTTTGCTAACCAAATGACAGTGCTTCAGACATGCTGCTTCAATGAATAATGCAGAATAATGCTTCAGACAGCTTGACAAGTGAAGTGTTATACCTGCAGTAAATGAAAAAAGCAAGACTGTGGACTCTGTGCTTGGCTAATTATTTTAGAATATAAGACATTCATTTCATGAGGTAGTGAAGCTCATGAAGAGTGAGAGAAATTGCACTATATTCTACATTGCTGTGCTACTATATACATTTTAGCCAGTAATTGTGTGTGCTCCATTCAATAAAATGATGTACAGTTAAACCTGCTTATAATGAACCTCCGTATAACAAATTCCTCTATATAATGAAGTTTTTCTATTTCCTGCCGTTGCTCCATAGAAGCACATGTATTTGTGACGTCTATGTAACAAAGTAACAGTGGGAGACAACCTTGATATAAGAATTTTCTCCACGGACAATCTAAAAATTTTACTCCGCATTTTGGTACGACTATGTATTTTCCGCGACTGCCCGCCACAGCCAAAGCTGCCAGGCGAGCACGTTCACTCATTATTGGGCGCGGAATGGGTTAGCGCGAGACATGCAGACGGGCCCACACCCCACCAACCAACGTTGCTGTTCTCAGTGTGCCCCCCCCCCCCTCCAAACAAAAAAAAAAAGAAAACTGCTTTTGCGCGTTGGCAGTACCACGCTTTTAGTTAGCGTCACATATGCGGAGCCGCACTGCACATAGGGGGTTCTTTACTGTATAGTTTTCCGCGGTGTCTGTGTCGTTCGTTTTTGACGCCGTGCGCGCGTGCAATTCACTGCGCGCGCATGGTGCAGCCCCCGACGACATTCAGCTTTGCTTTTTTTTATTATTGCGATAACAATTATACGAACAGTCTCAGCTGGTTTTTTGCCATTACCATTTACCATATACAGTCGAGCCCACATGTAACGGCCCCACTTAAAACGAACTTTCGCTTAAAACGAACAACATCCACGTGACTGTGAAAATATACATTGGTTCAATGCCACAAAATCGCACTTACAACGAATACCTCCGAGCGCCACCGATCGGTTACAGCGAACAGGATCGGCGCTCAGCCGACTTTTCGGGAAACCACTTTCGTCCACCCATCAGGCATCAGCGAGGTGCCCATACATTTTTATTGTTGGGAGATGATTTAGACTCCAACCAAAAGTTTTGAGGAAACCCGACGTTTCGAAACGGACTTGGTTCCTTCCTCAGGGGTGACTGCGGGAACTACGTAGCAGCGGCGTCTTCAAAGCACTCATCCTCATTATCCGTCCCCAGAGAATCGTGTGCCTTCGACTTTGACCGGAACGATTTCGTTTACTTGCCAGGCACACAAAGATCACTTCGCTCGCAGGACAGGCGCCGTATGCGAAAAGAGGGCGCTTTTCAAACACAGCGAAGTGACAATTGGGGCACATTGTTGGTTTGTACTCATATCGGTACCTGTGATTACTTTTCGTGCCTCGCTTTTGTTTAAACAGCACATTAAGTGTCGAGCAGTAAAAGGTGTTATTTAGCTCTCATCTTGTGTGTTGTTTCCTTGCATCATTTATGCATGAGCAGCGCGCTGCACGTTTCGATCTGCTTGCCGTTCTCAGCGTTAATTCCAAGCTGTTGCTATCGTATTCATTGCTTCGCCCTTGTGGCAAAACTGTGACTTTTCTTGATTTCTGACAACCGTGTCGTCACCACCAAGGGGATGTCAGATTAGGCACTGATGAAAACTCTAAGACCACGGTGACGACGAATATTCGGAGGTCGACTCGTCACGCGCTTCTGTCTTGCGCCGCACCGTGAGTATACAGACTGGTAGCTTTCGCGATTAGCAGATTAGTTCAAGCAACAACACGACAGCACGTTGAATGGAATGCAATGAACACAATAGCCAAAATTATAATGTTATAAGAAGTAAGGCTGGCAGCAACTCTTTTGGATTTGATATTGCGGAACTCCTACAAAACGCTGGTGTGAGAAAATATGGCTGCTCCAGGGAAAAGTGCTCTTTTTAAACAGTCCCTTCGCGTTAAAACCGCACTGATACTCGCCGAGATAGCAAGCGCACCAGCGATCGCCACCACCCTTAATATCCAAGTTCATTATTACTACTCGAGGGATTCCCCTCCCCGAGTTGTTACATGCTCGTTCAAGACAGGTGGTTGGTGGTTTACTTTCTGTTTGAGCATTCGACGGCAGTTCTAACACGCGGGAGATGTTATCTTATGCCCTTTCCAGGCAATAGGGATGGGCCAACTCATTTGATCGCTGCTTCAGCAGCGCTCGCGCACTTTTACCCACTCGTGAAAGTTACGATGTGCGGGGAATGTTATCGATTTGGGCTTGTTATGGCAAATGGCGGCCACGGCAAAAACCCGCTGAGAGTGTCCATATAATTTGTATCGCAATAATAACGCAGTTTTTTACTGTAAAATTAATGTTTTGGGTTAGCCCTGCCTTCAGTACCCCTTTTGTTTAGTTTGCACACTTGTTTTCTAATTTTTGATATCGAACCTGCATACAACGAAATCCTTTTTAGAACAATTTTTACCGGGAATGACTCAGTTTCGTTATATCCAGGTTCAACTGTAATAAAGGTGCTTTACAGTTTTGCTCTACTGAAGGTTTTTAAACAAGTTTTTACAAAAAGTAGTACAATCAACAAGAAGTCTAACAAAAAAAAACGGTGTTTGCAAAGGTGTCTTCATAATTTTCAAAGCTATTCATTATGGTGCTAAAGAAAAAAGAAAAGCTAGCCAAATAAAAAAAAGTATGAGAACCATTGTCAAGTGAGGATCTACAACATACCCTTTGGGGCACGTGGCATCAGGGTTGTCATTCAAGAAGTCCAGGAGGAATCTCTGGAATGTATCGCCAACAGGACGCTCCTGGTGCTTCTGTTTGGACAAGCAGGGCACGCAGGTCTTCGGCCCTAATTAAAAAAAAAAGTACAACTTAAATTTTAGCCAGAATATAGAGAAAAAATTTTACTTCGAACGAATCAAAAACCACATCGGTGCATTCTGACCAGGTCTGAACCCCGAGACTGATCCTAAAACACCAGTTCTCTAACCAGAGAACGCTTTAGAATTAAATGCAAGTCTTTTTATTGTTAATACTATTGCACAAAATAAATACCGTGACCAAGATTGTCAAAATAATGGTTCTGCAATGGCAATACTGCAATGACATTGCAATCTTGTATCGATACGGTTTTGTTTTGCCAGAACTACTCACTTTATGTACAATAAGTCTGCATGAACTATGTGTCTACAATATTCGATAAATAAAATGAAAAAAATATGGCCAGACTGTACATCCTGCAAAGCGACATACCTGTGTGATTGCGAGGACAAAAGACCATTGTAGCGTTGTCCATTGCACAACAAGATGATGTCTTGGTCCAAGTGGCATAGTCATCAAGCCAGGACATAGGGGGCTGGGATATGGTTGTCCTGTGGACAAAAAGAAGAGGTGCAAAAGCTAGATTTATTTTCAGCCAGCAAAGACCAAACAAACAATGCAAGGCAGAAAAACTAAAAAGATAAAGAGCTTATCAAACAGACTGCACACACGCATGCACACATGCACACACAAACTCACACATGCTAGACAGCCTGAATGCGTCGATATTGTCTTTGAATTCTCCGTCTAGCCAACATGCTTGAACCAATGGCATGGCCATTAAATAGATAGCATAACAGCTCGAGCACTTGGACCAGACACTCCATCAAAACCATTACACCAAAAGTGCTGTAACTGGGTGTGATATAACAAAAACAATCTTCTTATATTACCCTGCTTTTCAGAGTATTCCAAAAAGAAAGAAAGCGCATTATCTAGTAAAATTTCATTAGATGTGAAAATGTAGCCACTTTTTTATTATTTATAAAGCCAATCGCACAATAATTAACTAATAAAGCTGCATTTAATAATATAATAACATGAATGAATATAAAGGTATGTTCATTCACCACATTTTTGTGAAATCAAGCTTGTTCCTTCCCCTGTAAAAACGTTTCTAATCCTTTTTTTTCAGGTCTATGTTAAAAAATGAAAGGTCCCACTTCACTAATGTGCAAAGGTTGCCTATTGGAATAAGTAATTCTTGAGTTCCCCATTGACGGCAATGGGCAACTTCAATAGCAAAGCTGCCACATGAAGCTAATGGAGGACTTCAAGATTTGTTTTCTTCCTTGAAACAAAAATTGTGATTACAAAAGCTGCCATATAAGAACTATTTTCTTGCTTTCAAGAGAGGCATGAAGCTGATTTTTAATTGATGCACCCCGTGTTATAAATTTCATCTAAACGTCAACCAAGATAAAGATTTCCTCAAATTTGAGATTTTTCTTGTAAGAGATTTTTCTTTACTGTACCGAAGCCACTATGCTTCGGTACAGTAAGTTATACAAGCTTCAGTGGACTGAAAATACCAGGAAATATACCACTTCTAAATTAAGTATTAATTAATGGGATATTTATATCTAGCAAGGTACTACAAGGGAAAAAATGCAAACATAGAACATTTTGGCAAAAATTGTTGAGGCATATATGGCAGAACTATAACAGTAATACAGTTGAACACTTTTATGAAAGACACACACTCATTCTTTGGGGGGGGGGGGGGGGGGATCAGAGGATGGTCTGATAGAAGTTGCTATGTATACGAGCCTCCAATTGGCAGTTGCCCCAGCAATTTGCACACTGCTGGTCAAGTTCTCGCCTGGAACACCTACTGGAAAAGCTCAGTTGAAAATTATGTTTTCCAGCCGGAACACATCGTGTCCATCATACTGACCATTATTAAATTCTTTATTTTACCAGAAAAAAATGGCAAAACGGTCGCATCATGACGTGCTCACACTAAGATGAGCTGGTAACATGCTGGCCGTGTGTAACCACTGTGTTGCAGTGAAGCATTGCTTCTTTTCCGCAGACTGACCATGAAACTGTTGTTGTTTTTGCACTGGCAGAGAGAGCGGCGAGACCCAGCGTTCCCTGTGTTTGCGGCAGAATTGGGACCGGGTATGGCTGGAAAGCGCAACCCTTGGAGCCACAGTCTACTCGGCACAGCAAAATACCCCTTCTAATGACTTTCATCAAGTTCCTTGCATCTCACTTTTTGTATATTTCGTTAATTCAAAAACCCACTTCATTCAAAGATTTTTTTCGAAGCCCCAGTGACCAATTTGACAAGGTTTGTAGTGTACAAAAAGCGAAAAATTCGCGCTCACAAGTTATTGTAGACTGCAGCAAGGCTGATCTGCGAGTACAGCGACTGCGAACTGCATCCAGGCAAGCCACAAATCAGATCCTGGTCCTCGTAGCGGGTGTAGTTGTAGCCCGGCTGGACCACAAAGTAGAGTGGCGGCCCAACGGCCAAAGCAGTCTTTTGCATGCGAAAGTAGTCCTGGAGGTATGAATCCTGTGTGGAAGAAATAGACACAAAAGGAGTGGAAAAGTACAGTAAAACCTCATCAATTCTGATTTCATGGGGCTGAAAAAACTGTCGGAATCCACAAAGTGCCTAATTATAGAAAGAATCAAGAATATATAGATATTTGATGTGGCTTGTGTATTCACACATACGTATCATGCATAGGTATAATCAAGTATCAAGTATAAATCAGTAAAAGTATATATAACAAACAAGCACAATACTAGCGAGCACGATGACGAGTATCGTTGTGACATAAGTACTTCACAAAGGGTGCCACTGTATTTACAATACAGTCAATCCCAGATATATCAAACTTGGAGATATCGAATTATTGGCTATATCAAACAGTTGAAAAATCCCCTTGAAAAATCCCCTTGAACTTCCCATGCAAAAGTACGGGACCGGTGCACCCGTATATCTAACTCCCGCATAGCGGGACATCCGCGATATCGAATGCTGCGCCGCGCCGAAGCCCAGAAAGTGCATTTTTCCTTGCAAATATTGATCAATTTAAGGTGCGTTCAAATAGATTTCGATCCTTCTTCGCGCGCAGGCGACGAAAAAAAAAAACAGTTTTACAGTCAGATCTTAACACTATATAGCAACGGTGTGAGGATTGCTAAACGTGGATTGCAAAACTTTCCTAATGACTTTTCATCATAGTAAAGACTACATCGCTAACACTTACTTTCTACACAACTACCAACAATACCAAATACCTAGATGTTCGTATCTAATCTGATCTAACACGGACTTTACATTGATCGATCTGTGGGGTTTAACGTCCCAAAACCACCATTTGATTATGAGAGACGCCGTAGTGGAGGGCTCCGGAAATTTTGACCACTTGGGGTTCTTTAACGTGCACCCAAATATGAGTACACGGGCCTACAACATTTCCGCCTCCATCGGAAATGCAGCCGCCGCAACCGGGAATCGAACCCGCGACCTGCGGGTCAGCAGCCCAGTGCCTTAGCCACTAGACCACCGCGGCGGGGCTAACACGGACCTTACACATCATTAGCATCACTAACTCAGCCAATCGAGTTCTTGGGTACCTACGTCGTAACCTTGCTTCGACACCTGCTGCTACTAAACTAATAGCTTATAAAACACTCATCAGGCCTAAACTGGAGTATGCTAATGCCATTTTTGATCCTCAGCAAGCTAACCTTTCCACTATGCTCGAATCCATTCAGAACCGCGCTTCCCGATTTATTATCTCAAATTACTCAAATAACATAAGTGTGTCAGCAGTCAAACACCAGCTTAATCTTCCTCATCTTGCCTCTCGCCATAAAATTTCACGCTTGTGCTTGTATCATAAGTTTTTTTCATTCCTTGCCACTAGGCAACGCATTTATCAGACTTGCACATCCGACATCACGACATTATTACCCTAACGCAGTATATCCCGTATGCCCCAAAAAAAAGACCTTCCAGAAGTCATTTTTCCTTCAGACAGCACATGACTGGAACGACCTTCCCGCCCACATCGCCATGCCATTTCAGTTTTATCAACTTAAAAAAGCCGTAAAAAGCTATATTTTATCTTTCCAATTATGATCTACTGCTGTTTTTCTATTTTTTGTTATTGTTTGTGCCACTTTACTTTCTTTTTTTTTGTTTCATCTGTTATGTTTTGTTTTTTTTGCCCACCTCTCATGTAATGTCCCTCGGGACGAAACCGAAATGAGAATGGCAAGTGACTCGGCAATCTCAGTTCAATGTTCGCACGTGGTTCGCATTCCCTTCTTTGTTGTTAGCGCACAATGGCATGCAAGCCTGAAAAGCATGGCCTCCGAGATGTGCTACCTTGTCACGTATTTTTAGTGTTTTCGGTTTCAAAACAAATGTCTCGGAGGCTACGCTTTTTTTTATATTTTCGCATCAAAGCCGCTAAAAGCAGCGGCTGCCATCTACAAAGTCACAGTGACATCAATATCGCCAACATGTTTACGATGAGAACTCGGACGAACTCGGCGTTGAGTCTTTTGTGCCTTGTGGTCTTGTGCACTTCTCACCTCGTTCCTAATGAATCCTGATACGGGAGTTTAACTGAACGTTGACCCGCACGTAGCGATAAAAATTATGAGTGGCGCTTGGGGCAACGTCAAGTAAAACACTGTGTTGTAAACGTTCCTTGCGGGCCACGTGGTGACTTCGGGTGCGTCATGACCGCTAATAACAATGTACGGCGCCTCAGTAAATTCTGAGACTTATCAGCATTTCCGGGCACCATCTCGCACAGTAGCGACTGCATCGGTACAGATGACGATGTCGCTGTTTCTGACTGCATCGATGCTGAGATTTGGCAACTGGTACCATGGAAGTATACCCGTGCGTGTATGATGAATAAGCAAACGCCTTCGCTGCCGCCGCTAACCAAGCTTTTGCCGTGCTACAAAGCTTGCACCAGCGCTCTGCGTCAACCAACGTTGTGGCCGAAGGAGCTAAGTTCGCTTATTTAAAAAGCTTCAACAATATCAAGGATGACTGAAACTTGACAGCGCATAAGAAGCAAGACAAGTTTACGGACTAAATAAAGTGTGGTAACCTGCAGTTCGCACCTTGTTCTTGAGCGAATCATTATCTTAGCTTTTGCAACGATTTCAAAGGCCTGAAATTCTTCAATTCAAACCTTAAATATGCATATTTTGTATTTCGAATTCTTGGTACATCAAACTATATTACGATCCCCTTCGAGTTCGATATATCCGGGATCGAGTGTATATGTCTAGGGTTGGCACCAAGCGCTGCAGCTGTTCTACAAAGTGGAGTACATGCTTCATCATTCAAAGCTCACTTTCACAACTGCAACTTCAAATACGTACTTTTCTCTAAAACAAAGTCACTGGTCTATTTGAATAATCAATCATGACTCCGCTAACAAAGATACAACTCACAAGAGGCATAGATATCTCCTGGTCCAAACCTATCTTGGTGTTTCCAAGAGCCGCAAATGAGAAGCACGCCCATCCAACGAACACCAACATCTGCAATTTGAAGTGGGAAGGAGAAAAAAAAAGATGGAGCAGTTTAAAGAGTAAGAGTGCTTTTTTTTCAAGCCCCTTGTACCCTCCTTTAAAAGCTCTGCTGGGCAAGACTTCCAGCTCAAAAGAAACTTCTCTAAATGAATGTAAAACATCAATCAATATATTAATTCTCTTAGAAAACAAAAAAATACTTGCAATCCAGAAATTCATATTTTTAATTTGAAATGCTAGCATTCTTCTATCGTGACACCAATTGTGAAAGGGAAAATTTGAGATAAGCCTTATGACACTAGGCATTCTTCAACACATTTAGATAGCAGAATCATCTCTGGCTTTGAGAGGGATACTTGAATAAAATTGTCATGCATCCAAAGTGAAGCATCAAAAGCAAGACTTCACAAATATGAAGTCATGCCCTTAGTGCCTTCTTGCGTTTAGCCTTGCAGTGTAAGAAAAATTAATTCTGGCATTCCAGTTTGTAATGTATTTCGTCCTCGCACACTTCTCACTTCCCTCCCCTTGCCACTGGCTCACATCAGGCTAGTCTATTTCATTAAAGGCAATATAGACCAAACAGGTGCAAAGAGTACTGTTATAAAGCTACACTTTTGAGCGGCAAAGCTTGATTAACGATGGGCAAGCTTTATCATTCCAGGAACAGGGCCAGTAAACAGCCCTGAGGTTCAAAAATTTTGAAAAAGAGGTATATGTGCAGTTTTTCTTTGTGGAACATGCTGCCACAGGAATTTTTGAATATGTGCAATACTAAGGAAGTTACAGAGGTTAGAACACCAGTCTAAGCTGGTTTAAAATTTTCGCGCCGGCACGCCCCCCTTCTTCCTGCCATGAAGGGGAAGGCGTAGCCCATCGTCGTGACTCTGTCCACTTCGGCAACGTGACACCACATCAGCGGTTGACTGTCATTGGCGAACTCGATCAGTCGCAACGCACTTCCACTTGTGCGAAGCGTGGTTGTTTGTTTACCGTTTGCCGTACCAGCTGCGGGTCAACCGTGTAAGCGTCAGGTGCGAAGTGTCGACCACAAACGATCAGGTCCCTGGCGTAAGTCGCTGGATGGTCGATTCGCTTCAGCCATGCAGCGCACAGCGCCTCATCACGAGGCACCCGGTGCCGATGCTTCTCCGCTGCCCAGTCGCTCGATTTTCAGCCGACGACAGAGCAACGCTTTTTACCCGAGTTGCTCATGTCAAGGACGAAGTACGTTCGAACGTGCGCACAGGCACTGCAGTTAAGCGGGGAGTGTACCCGTGACAACTGCGAGGCTGGTTCTTTCACCGCAGTGCCAAGAAACAAGGGGCAGTTTTGTAGCTGTGGGTAGGAACAGGAACTGACGTTGGCTTTACTAATATTTTTTCACACCTGGTTTATACCAATCGGCGAGCTGCATGCCACGTCACATCTCCGAGTTGACGTCACTGCGCGTGCAAGGCGGTTGGTCAAGCGTAGGAAAGATGTGCGGGACTTTTTTTTGAAGTAGAGGTTCTGCATGGCGCGCAGCACTGTAATACCGTATTTTTGCGCGTATAACCCGCCCCTGCATATAATCCGGACCCCCACTTTCAGCTCATCGAGAAAGAAAAAAAAATAATCCTCCCGTATTGCCCACACATTTCATATACAGGAAAGGCTGTACAAAAGCTACCGCTCAAGCAACATAGCACATATGTAGACAGAAAAAGCTTTATTTAGCAAGCAGAATACGCTGTCTGCAAGGCCAGTCACAATTCACTCACTGTCGCTGCTTTCGCTAGAGCTATCACTTGAGCAGCAGTCCTCACTGTTATGCACAAGGTCATCTTCGGTTCCATCCATGTTGTTTGTGATGCAGCATTTCTTGAAACTTTTTCGCACCATCTCACCAGGAATGGCCTTCCATGCCTTGACAATCCACTTGCAGAATAGGGCAATATCAGGCCTTCAGACTCGTCCTGTCGGCGTCAAGTCTTAGAGGCCTTCGGCCATCCACTTGGCGTAATAGCGCTTGACATGCGCTTTGAAGGGCTTGTTAAGCGACACATCTAGAGGCTGCAACATTGACGTCATTCTACCGGGTATAACAACTAAGTCGGTGCTGTTGCGTGAAAGGCGGTCCTTCACTTCCTCAGTTATGTGGCCGGGAAACGAGTCAAGAACGAGCATGGACCTCTTTGCGAGCATCGCACCGGGCCTCTTCTCCCATACCGTCTTGATCCAGTCTACGAACAAGTCACTGTTCATCCACGCATTCTCCTGTGCGCGCACCACCACACCGGCAGGCAAATGAATCTTTGGCAGAGTTTTCCTTTTCAAGATGACGTACGGTCGCAGTTGCGTGCTGTCGGCGAGGGCACAAAGCAAGACTCTGATGCGCAGTTTCGTGTTCCCGCCGGTCAGCACGCTCACCGAACTGCTGCCTGTCTTCTCAATCGTTGTGTCCAACGGCATTTCAAAATAAACAGGAGTTTCATCCGCATTGCCGATTTGCGAGAAAATGCAATTGTGCTGCTTTCGCAGGCCAATTACATATCTCTGGTACTTAAGCAGCTTCTCCTCATAAGAAGCCGGCAAGCGTTGACATATTGTAGTCCGCCGTTTGATTGAGAGCCCTTGCCACTTCATAAAGCGGTGCAGCCATCCGCGGCTCACACGGAACTCGTGAGGTAGGCCTAGCTCCCTCGAAAGTCGCCGCGCTTCCACGTGGGCCATCTCGGTCGATACGGCGTGACCCCTGCTTCTCACATCTTCGATGAACTTTACTAGCTCCGCCTCCAGCTCAGGGTAGGCACCGGTCTTGGGGCCACGAAATGACCTACGGTCGCGGTGCGCGGCTTGTAGGCTCTCTTTCTTCTTTCTCCACAGTCGCACGCAGGACTCGTCCACATCGTGCCGTCTTCCCGCTTCGCGATTTCCGAATTCCTCGGCGACGGTGATGATCTTAAGCTTTTGCTGTGCCGTGAAGGACTGCCGCCGTACGCTACTCATGGCGACAGAACAGATCGACTTAGGGTTCCACGACTTAGCACTACCCCTTCTAGTACACTGTAACAGCACCCTGGAAACAACAGAACCGAAATGCATGCCTGCTACCGCGTCAATAAGTAGTACATAAAATTTACTGATAATAACTCTATCTCTCTTGCGAACGTCCATAAAATATACTTGTGGTGTGACAGTGAGATTTCACACTGAACAATCGAATTGTCTCTCCCCAAATGTTTTTTTTAAACGCTTCAATGATGCAAGCAAGCGAAACCAAAATCGGCCGCAAGCTGCCGTGCTACTTGCAGAGCAACACGAATTTGCGGAAACCGCCTTCATAACCTTCGCTACACTGTTAAAGGGCTTCACAGCACAACACGCATTGCTGTGAAGCAGCACTATAGGAAAAACCCCACGTATTATCCGCACCTCCACTTTGCCTCTGAAATTTTTGGGTTTTTGGTGCGGGTTATACGCGCGAAAATGCGGTATTCAGAAAACGTAATCGCTGCGGTATAATCTACGAATTGCCGAGCTTGTATGGGGGGTGCACAAAAAAGGCTGAGCCTGTTTACTGGCTCTTTAAGGACATTAAAATTATCAAATATTTAATGTATTTAATACTAAGTTTACAAGGATTGCCTTAATGAAAGTATAGCAAGTTGGTGATTAACCGGCTAACAATTTTATTATCACTTTATGTATTAGTAGTACTACCATAAAATATTTCAGTAACTACAAAAAAATAACAGTATGAACAACCCCCATGTGCAAGACACAGTGTTCAAACACCTACCACAGTCAGACGAATCGGTTCCTTCATCAATGCAGGGGCATAGTAGTTCTCAAAAAGTCTGTACAAGAATCCTTGCGAAGGCCCATCCTCAATGAAGATTGTCTGTGATCCCGAAATACAGCAGCATACATCCATTCGTTGCATCTAGACAAAAGAAGAAAAACAAAGGCCACTACATTTGAAAAAGAAAGATGCATCAACTGCTCATTTCGTAGCTATAAACTGTTGCATAAAAGTCCTCAATATTTCAGAGTAAGAGGCATCGTGCATCTAGTTCACACAGCAACACTGCACATTTAGTTTAGTAAAGTTAACTAGAGGGAATTGTGGCGCTACAATCGTTCAGTGGCCATGGGAATGATGGCTGGGGCACAAATATGCCTGGTCTTCGTGTTTCCGGGCTTCGAGCGCCCTTGTGGCTTTGTTCATTGCTGTGTTTTGCTTTTGTTTCGAGTAAAAGAATAGACTGCTGTAAACTTCATGACCTTACTTGGATTGCCGACCCTAGAACGTTAAGGTGGTGAAGTGTAACTGCTGAACACTTGCCGATTGTCATCTCGTGACAAAGTGGCTCCAGGCCATGCGAAGCCAAACGAAGCCGAAGGAACGAAGATTAGGCAGATTTGCGTATACTACCCATTATTTCCAATTCTGACTGTAGCGCCATACGTTTCAGCTCTCATGAACACTGCCAGAGTTCCCTCAAGTGTACTTATGGGAAACTCTACGCCACTGCGCGTTCAGGCAGTAATACAGTAGGTTCCACAGCCTGCCAGCATGTGTGCATCTGAACGCAATGCTGTCAACTGTCACTCTACCTGAACGAAACCTCTATTCACTTTCAATACTATTAAATCGAATTCTAGGGTTTTACATACCAAAACCAGGATGCTTATTGTGAAGCATGCCATTATGAGCAACTTCGAATGAATTCTGACCACACAGGGTTCTTTGTTATGCAGCTAAACATAGCCAGATACAACTTTTGAAGACTACAACATTTGGCATACAAGCCTGCACCAATTTGCATGCACTTTAGACCAATCCAGTGAAGCGAGGCGAGCGAGCGGGGTAATTGGTTTTCCCTTATGTTAAATGTGAAGTGCAAAATGTACGCAGTGAACAAGGAAACGACGAAGACAAGCGCTCATCGTTCCCTTGTCTGCTGTGTATATTTTGCTCTTCGATTTCCACATGATGCAGTGAGCCACACAGTCAGTAAGTACGCCTTTGAAGAATACTTGACTGCGTGAAGGGGACAACTATTTCTTTAGTCACATAAACAATCAGCTGCGGTATTCTGGTCATTTGGGCGAAGAGTCTACAGATTTCTCAAGTCACATCACACTATATGTACGGTACTGGCAGATTATACTGGCGGATGCAAAAAAGACATCAAGTTTTTTAGTATAGTGACTTGTATTCACCATTGCTTAAGATAATCACGTCAAGTTGTAATGAATCTGGTACCTAAAGATAATGCTGTCTCTGATCAAGCCCTTTAGTCAAAATTAAACCAATATGACGCTAACTAAAGAGGGTGGAAACTGAAGTATGCTGATTACTCAGCCCCAAATTGTCCCATTTAAATCCGCCAGTACTGTATACATGCTCTCCAATTTCTGCCCCATTGAAATGTCATTACTGCGTGGTCTGGAATTGAACCTATGTCAATGGGCTCGGAACCACAATGCACTAAAGTGGCTTTGCTAAAGTTTTGCTTCAGCAACTTTTGAGGTTACAATAAAAGCGAAGAAATCTTACCCTCTGCCTCTTTGCATCGAGCGAGAGCAGAGCGACGAAGCAGGTCACTTGGAGCAGAAAATCGACAAGGAGCGCAAGACCAGCATACAGGGCAAACGTCTTCACAGCGGGCATCGTGCTCAGGCCCCCTTCAATAGACAGAAAGCACTTGTTCATTGCTCCGTACATTACACATCTGGTACACAATGTACCCAGTACACAATCACTTGGTGCATAATAATAGTTAATAACAGAAATAATAGGTAAATATTTACCTCTCGGTGTACAACTGCTTCACTTGCAGAGAAAGTTTACAAATATACTACCATGTGAAAGGGTATTCAACATAAAAGAAGTTCAGTGGAAGACGGAGAATGCTCAGAGTGACGAAAAACTGCAGAATTTTACTATTTTTTCTCTACATTTGAGGTTGGGAGAAGGTGAGCAAGGCATGCATAAGCACGCTGCTAGTGAAGGCAGTTCACTGCTCGTACGAAGACAAGTCCTAGTTGTGCAAAGTGTTTGCTTCAGCAATATTCCTCGTTCAACCTATCTAATTAACATCATATCAACTTGGAACAGAAGTTATACTAAGCAACTGTTGCAAGTTCCTACCTAGGAAAAAGCAAGTAGCTTCTGAGAAGCTAGCCAGGAGCAGTGATGGTCCAAGGTTCCCAACCACTCGTGCCACCTTGTCTTCAATAGGCTCCTCTTCAGACCCATTATCTCTCTGCACAAAGACGAGACATAAGTTCCTTGTTTTCAGCAATAATGGAGAGATTAAAGGAACGCTAAGGAGAAACAAATTACTTGTAAATACTACTATTACAATGGCAATACATTATTTCAAGGCTATTTTTTTAAATCTTGAAGTAATACGTGTATTTACTCGCATAATCCGCGCACTCGCATAATAGGCGCACCCCTAGTTTGGTTGCGAAAAATTCTATTTTTTTTTAATTCCGCACACAATAGGTGCACCCCGAACTTGGCAGTGATTAGAAACAATTCTACCCCCTTAGCGGTATAGTTGGAACGTGGTCCCCGTACCCTGAAGAAAGAAAGAATGCAAATTGACGAGCAAATAAAAAAAAATCGAAGTGCAATGACCTAACCAACATGTTTGTCAAAATAAAACTTACAAAAAAAAACGTCCATGAGCGAAAAAAAAACCGGCTGTTTCATCAATTACTGATACCCCTCAAATCACCGCACTCCTTGGAGATCACGTGTACAATGCCTGGGGCTCGATCGCCATCACCACCATCATAGAAAAAGAAAAAAACGACATTTTGCAAGCGGTGTGCATATGTTGTTTGTGGTCGTGTATTCAATTTTGGGTCCACCATGGGGAAGTAAACAAGATACACGGCTGGATTTAAACTGAAGGCAGTGCACTATACGCTGCAGCACAGCAACTGGCCTGCAAGCAGGCATTTCGGTGTTGGAGAAACGAGTATTCGGTACTGGAGGGATCAAGAAGAAAAACTTAAGGCAACAAAGAAGACCTGTCGGGCTTCCCGTGGTGCCAAGACTGGCAAGCATCAGAACGTCGAAAAGCAACTGGTCCAGCATATACATGAGCTACGACGAGACTGCTGTGCTGTGTCGCTGGATATTGTGCAGACTGAGGCGAGCCAAATAGCCCGAGCACAGCGCATCGAAGCAAAAGAGTTCAAAGCCAGCTCCGGATGGAAAACTCGTTTCATGCGGCGCCAAGGCCTTGTGCCAGCGCTTTCCCGCAGCATATGAGTACAAAGTGATGGACTTCCACCGTTTCATTATGAAGCTTCGACAGCAGAAAGACTTCATTTTGTCCCGAATCGGCAACGCGGATAAGACCCCCCTTTGCTTTGATATGCCGCGGAACATGACAGTGGAGGAGAAAGGTGCACAGAGTGTCATCGTCAGAACGTCTTGTGCTGATAAACGATGCACCGTAATGCTAGCGGTGACAGCAGATGGGCTTCATTTTCAAATGTAAGACGCTCCCAAAAACAAACTTCCGTGAGGGCATTTATGTCAGAGTCCAGGAAAAAGGCTGGATGAGCGCGGAACTTATGGTGGATTGGGTGAAAACAGTCTGCGGTCGGCGGCCGGGTGGTCTGTTGTTCCTGTCCATGCTTGTCCTGGACAGTTTTCGTGGGCACCTAGTAGACCGTGTACGAGATGAACTAAAGGAGCTGCGCACAGATCTGGCAGTGATTCCAGGCGGCCTCACATCGATTCTGGAGCCTTTGGACGTGTCCTTGAATAAGCCTTTCAAGGACAATGTTCGAAGGCTGTACACCACCTGGATGTCTGGAGGACATCAGCTGACTCCAGGTGGTAAGATTAAGAGGCCGCATGTGGAAATGCTGTGCGCTTGGATCATGGAAGTGTGGCAGGCGATCTCCGACGAAGTCGTCGGAAAAAGCTTCAAGAAGATGGGTATATCGAACGCACTGGATGCGAGTGAGGATGACATGTTGTGAGGTGTAGATGGTTCAGATCCCGAAAACGAATCTCCGCTCGGCGAGGATGAATGTGTGCTCTCTGACTCGGACTCCGAATAGGGCAAAGGAGGAACACCAACAACTTTTGTGTAAATAAATTTTACGTGTGTGTGCAGTTGACGGCTCTAGCTTGTTCATTAAAAGGTACGTAGGTATGTTTGTTTTATGCTGAATTAAGTGGTAAACGATAAAGTCCCCTTTCACTTGACAAATATGCAGATTTAAAGCACAAGAACTGAGTCGAAAAATTTTCAAAAATTTTGCCCCATGTAATTGGCGCCCCCCTAACTTCAAGCCGAATTTTCTGAAAAAAAAAAAAAGTGTGCCTATTATGCGAGTAAATACGGTAAGTCAAGCATAAGAAAGAAAGTGAAGGCCACACTTGGGCAGTGCCAGTCTGCAATTACGATGTCAATTTAATTTCAGAGGAAGGAAGTGAGTGGTAGAAGGAGCATACCTATGTTTTAGCAACTTATTAAAATTTTCCAAGTGCAGCCTTTCAAATCATATAGAAAACTTTGTGACTAATTTTGCCTATAAATATTAACTAGGCACAATGAGATGCTGTTCTCGTTTGCATATCACAGCAACTGTGATGTTGCTGGCATTGCAGAAAAGTCATTTAAAAATATCGGTCACTCTTCTCTTGGACATTCTTTCAACATTGGCTCTGCACAGAATACATACTTGTGAAGGTGTTTGCATCACATAAATACTATAAACGCGGCATTTTTATGAAGAAACTTTGCTGGATGTCTATAGTGTGGCAGAAGGAAAAAAATTGAGCTATATACAATTCTTCACAGATTTGACTGCAATGGTAACAGGAAGGAAAGGAGTTACGAGTGAATCCTTCAAAAGACAACAACCCCATGCAACCCCTAAACCTCTCTTAAAAACGCTTAGAAAAAAGGAAAGAAAAAAGACAGGCCTGTACTTTCACACAAGTTTGCAACCAACGAGGCATTCAGGTTAACTTCCACACGAGTTTGCATCCCAAGAAGGTGTCCAAGGTAAATATTACTAAGATTTTATAAAAGCTACTTTCATGCTCAAACAGTGCTAACTGTTTATCGATTTTAGTTGCTCGTAACTCCTCAAGATGAACGTATACACTTTCTTTCAAAGCAGGCCTCACAGGAATGGATTGTAGCATCTGTAATGCAATCAGCTCACCTGAAATCCCTGGACAAGAATGAAAATGTTGTCCACGCCAACAGCGAGCACGAGGAAAGGGATGACTTCGATGATGATCAGGGTGGCCGGTGTGCCCCAAGTAGCTGAACAAGCCTAGCGAGGAGGCCACCGAGGCGAGAACTATGACGAACGCCTGCCAAGCCCAGTGTCACCTGAGAGTCCACCTGTAGTGGTAACGAAATACACAGCATGCCTTCACACTGCCAGCATAACAATAGAGCACGTCTGTAAACAGAAACTAGGTTTCTACAATCTGCCATCTTAGACTGCTAGAGGCAATGCATTCGGCCAACGAGGATCTCCACATGCAGCATCTCTGAGAGCCTCGGATGCTTCAAGATGACAAATAAAAAAGACCCACTGCATTTAGGGTAGTTATATAGGTGTAAAACGTTTAACACTGCAAGGCTGTGATCAAATTCTACTTGAAACAATGCAACGTTGCTAACAACCACCACGGCACATGCCTCATTTTTTTTTCTTCTTTGAATGGGCTAAGGATGCATTAGGTTTCTAAGACGTGGCAATGGTTCACTGAAGAGATGTTATATGCCCAATCTCTTTTCAGGTGACTTGCCGGCATTATAGCAATATCACCAGGCATTCTCGTTTTGTTTTATTTTCTTTCAGCCACAAAATGTGCTTGCACATGATCTGCTATTAGGCAGTAAACACGGTGATGACAATTGAATTACAGCACCACACTAAGATCTCGAGTGGTTCGTTGAAGACTTAAGCGAGTGCTTTCACAGGTTAAACGAAAAGGGAAATATAAAATGGCGGCCACTGCTTGCCAGTACGGTCCGAAGTAACAGTAAAAACAACTGAATAGCATTGCTAGTCAAATCTCCACGAACAAAAGCCACACTATTCCATTTCACACGGCAGGAAAGTAGTACTAACCAGTGCACAGGTAGCCATAAAGCATAAGAGGTTAATACAGCGAGCAAAGAATAAAAGAAAGATTGAGGCTCCACTAACCAGTGCAGTCCTGAAGGAACGGTACTGGCCCAGGGCAAGAGACACGTATACAAACATGACAAAGTAGCTGAGCAGGACGGTAAACACGTCAGACCGACTCTCCCTCTCCAGCTCATCTTCTATGGAATTCTGTTCAAGAAGAAGAGATGGCAATGAAAATGGGCAATATCAAAGCAAGTCTAATAAAGACATTATGCAAATAAGGAAAGCAAGTATAATAAATCTCGAGAAAAAAGGAATGAGTAGCATTATAAAAAGTAAGAAGCAGTTACCTTAAGATTATGGTTAATAATACCAATAAAAGTATTTGACAATACTAACTGTAAAACTGTCACATCAGTTAGGCTGGCATGTCATGAATTCAAATGTCGATTTCCAGGGTTTTATACGCCCCAACTGCAGTATGAATATGAGGCATGCACGTTGTAGTGGCAGGCTCCAGATTAGCGATACTGGCCACCTTGGATTCTTCAATGAGCCCCTAAATCCAAGCATGAGGCTTTATCTGTGTATACAATGAGGCACAGCCGCTGTGTCCAGGAATCGAACCCACATTCTTACATTTAGCTGCACAACAACTTTCCAGCCAAGAAATCATAGCGGATCATGCTTTTCAACAGAGATCTGCTCTGATATTCAGACAATTCTTCAATGGTAAACATGGGCGGCATCGCAGTATCCCAAACAAGCCCGAGAGCGAATGCAGCAAATTTTAAAGCTTCTCAGACCACAGCAGTCCAAATGCAAGAATTTATTTTGAAACAGATCATGTCGAAGTGGCATGCCTTGTGCTGAAGCTTTGCTATTGGCAGCAAATTCGGAAGTAATACCTAGCCCTTTAGCCCCTTATTATTAAACATTTCTCCTGCCAAAGTAATAAAAGAAACTTGTGTTTGTTGAACAACCTTATCATTCAAGACTGGTTCATTGTTTCCAAAAGCCTAAAAAAAAGGTAAATGTCTTCAGTAAACCAGAATATTGCTAAATATATTCACATTTTAAAAGTTGATAGAGAATGCACGGCAGACGCCAAAGAAACAAACTTATTGTACTCGGATAAAGATTGCGATTTGTGAACTCTGGACACATAAGAACACAAATAGTTCAGATGCTAGGTGCTCAAGTCAATGAATACACATCAGCAATAAAAATGCTACTCTATGATAACCGATATATTCTCCAAATGACAACCTGCTATGATTACCTTCATTAAACTGTTTTCTGTGAAACGAAGGAACAAAACAAAAAAAAAAATAGATCAAGACCTCCATCTTTTTGTTTGATACAATCTAACTAAGCCAACAGACAACAAAGCCAAAGAAGGAAAGAGTAACATTACTTGTTATTCTTAATTAACATGTACATCATAATTGTGAATTCGGGGTTTTTATATATTGTATACGCAGGTGAAGACGCAAGACGACGTCAGGTACGAGAACAATTGCAGTATTTACAACACAGGCGTGCAAGCCAGAAACTGAACACGCGGGAAGAGCACGACGATGATGATTACAATGGTTTGTATGTGCAGCTGAAGATGATAACGACACTGTCAGTGCTCACAATATTTAATTTCCCAGATATTCAGGGAATTTTCACAGCTTCAGCATAGCAGATTAAGAAATAGACTTATCACAACGAGCAATACTTCTTAAATTCTATTCCGTGATGTGCAACTATTTTTTCCTTTGATGTTAAATGCACAATTCTTTAATAGCAAATGCGGACAGCAAGGAAAGCCCTCTCTAGTCTTTGCACTGTTACCTGCTGTGGATAAAACTGAAATAGAGTCCCTGCCAATAGTTATGGGTTTTTCTTGGCACCTAAAAAGAACAAAATGAACCTATAACCAAGTAGCCTGAAATTTATTTCTCCACAAAGGAGAGGACACGCACGACGCTTCTTTTGCCCAAATGCATCGCCCCAGCCACGAGTGCAGGAAAACTTGCCATATATTCACATTAACATAGGATATGATAAAAATGCTCGACAGAAAAAGTAAGCAAATCAAACATCTAAAAATTAATTGTAAATAATAATATCTGGGGTTTCTTGCCCCGGAACCACGATGCCATTACAAGGGACGCCAACTCTCGAAATATCGACCATCTGTTGCTCTTTAGCGAGCACCAACATTGCACAGTAGGTGGGCTTCTAGCATTTCACCTCTATCCAAATACAATGGCAGCAGCCTGGATTGACCCCGTGACCTTTCGGTCTGCAGTTGAGCACTGCGACTGCTACACCACCGCAGCAGACAAGAATTAATTGTAACATTAATGCTGGAGCTTAATTATTTATATTCAAGTGCATAATAATATACAGTCAACTTTCAATAACTTGATCATGGTGGCATCAATCTTGGTGAGGGGGCAGAAAATAAAATATACCTACCAAACGAAACATCTTGCTGTTTCATAAAGCAGTATTTGTATGCTTGAATAATACACCACCAAACCTAATGCACAACCAGCTTTCATGACCTCAAGGTAGAAAAATGTAGTAGATCTTTTGAACTCATCGAAAAAGCAAAGTTTTACACAAGCTGGAATTTTTTTTGATAAGAATAATATAGCATGTTTCTGATACCAGCATTACCATTTGCATGATGCAACCAGTAACAAGTACCTTTACAAAATAAATGTATTTACACTTAATAATGGCCACTATTGGAGGGCAGTCAATTCCACATGTGTTCAATGTCTTGCACTTATCGATCGGCTCAATAAATTTAAACAGCAAGGTAGCCACACCTCTGCCACAATTCTGTAGCAATACCATCTCTAACGTTGCTCTCTTTTGCGCTTTTCTCGCTTAGTCAGTGCTCAGAGCAACCAAGATCCTTGCAGAACAGGAAACTAGTCTAGTTCGGTGGGGACTCGCTGTAGGTAGCAGTGCATTCAGTTTTCACCTGCTTTCATCATGCTACGAGCTACATGCCCAGCATTACTGATGAAATTAGCCGGCCAAACATGGCAGATGATTGTAGTAGCATAGAAAGCACTTTCCGTGTTGGCCTTGCAAGGCTTGCAGTTCGAAATTCTCGATTGTGAGAAAAACTAGTGGAAGAAAACCACTCTCACCTCTGACAAGAAAGCAATGCTCATGTTTTCACTGGAGAAATTCTTGAGTGTATCAATAAACCTGCACACACAAAAAATGAAAATGATTCCCACACAATGGTTTCACTCTGAACACAATCAAGTATGACATAACCGTCTTAATAAATATTTCAGTGATTCAAAAACAACGGTTGGGTGCTGCAGTCGTAGCTTTGACAAGTGGAATAGGGTTTCCTTTGGATTACTAAATGTTTGCCTCACATCGTTCTAATGCCGAGTGCTAGGTTCTCCCAGCAGCTAAAAATATACCATAATACAAATCTCAATACACGTGTTTTCATCATCCCAGAGTTGCACAGCTACCGCTGTTTTTCTAATGCCAATGCATTGTGCATTTGTTATACTCGTATCACACACATTCGGAAGGCCACCCAACCAACAGTCCACAAACTCCATGGTCACACACGGGCTGCTACACGGGACTTTTCAAAGGCCATAAAGTCACAGTCCATCAAGTGAATGGACGACTCCACAACTCCGTCCAAACTTCTGATTGCCACTGAGTGACCAAAGCAGAAAAAACACCAACATTCCCTCTCACTCACAGTGTGCTCGTACACACGATTAGAAAAAGTAATCTCACTGATGACCTTTGAAAGCAGTATACAAGATTTTATTTTATTTTAACTCAAGGGCGCCTTTATCTTGAACAAATAAGCGACTGTTTATCCAGTTTTCTATATAGCAATATGAAATGATTCATGGTCATGACATGTTGAATGTACCAGACCAAGCATTTTCGCGCATTCTAAGTTCACCATAGCACTGTTTCTTCATCTGATACAGCTACAAAAATATACAATGACATAAGTCCATGAAAATGGTGTATATGCGAGTGTCGTGAATTAATAAAATGTTTTTGCCCCTTGAGATGTCTGAACTGCACATACTTTCAGTGACAGCAACGTGCTTGTCTTAGAGGATGGTGTTGACGTCTCCTGTAAAGTTGTTTGCGCCTCGTGGCGCAAATGTATCGCGCAGAAGCCGCAATCAGGGGTCGCAACAATCACGCGGTAGGTAGCGTTGCGTACGCGAGAGTTGACCACCGCTATCATCATCACAATGGTTGTTAGAGCGGTAGCACCCACGGTGACCCCTGATGGAAGGTTGATTGATATGTGGGGTTTAACGACCCAAAACCACCATATGATTATGAGAGACGCCGTAGTGGAGGGAATCCGTAAATTTCGACCACCTGGGGTTCTTTAACGTGCCCTCAAATCTGAGCACACGGGCCTACAACATTTCCGCTTCCATAGGAAATGCAGCCGCCGCAGCCAGGATTCGAGCTCGCGACCTGCGGGTCAGCAGTCGAGTACCTTAGCCACTAGCAGTCGAGTACCTTAGCCACTAGACCACCACGGCGGGGCTCCCTGGCGGAAGGCAAGCCTTGGTGGCGGCAGAGAGAGTTGAACGAGTCCCTTTTTCTGGTGGCGTTTGGCGCGAGCGGTTGTCTCTTGCTGAGGAGGCCCCGGTGCACAGCACTGCGGGCTGTCCGCCCGCGGGGCCCTTGTGGTGAGTCAAGCGTCGGCGACGCCGCCTTGGTTGTGTTATTGTGTTATGTTTTCGGAGTGTATTGTAACACTGTGTAAAGATATCTTAGTGTGTTGATCACGATTGATGTTATAATAATTTGGCTGACAATATCACTATTTCTAAAAGCAGTTAAATAAAAGTGTGTTGTCGTAGGTTTGTTTCGAACGGTGTCTACTGTGTCAATTCACTCCAAGAGCGCGGTGGCGCTCGCCACATTGAGACCCCACAGTCTTCATCATGCCATCTCCCCATGTGTCACTCACCACCGTTTCACTGCTCAAGGATTTAAAAGCTAAATATGCATTAATAACAAATAATTTATTGAAATATTTTAAGAACATTGACAAACTTATTAAGTTTTAAATTGAATTTATATTATTTGACTTTAGGTGACATGAACATGAAAATAAAAATTCGCGGCCCCCCACAATTTTCGTGATAAACAGCTTAACCACTCAACCACTGTTCAAAACTGTCATGTAGCAGTGCAACAGCTACATCTAGTAAATGGAGTTGTGGTGTTTCGATGGCCGTCGACTGGATGGCCTTTCAAAAGGGCCCGTGTGACACAAGTATTAGACTTCTCAATGCATACTTTAGCGTAATCTGGTCTTTAGGTGTTTCTGATAACAGGAAGGCTTTGTATGCCCTTATAATAATGATCAATTATTACAATGACTTTCTTTTCCATTTCTGTTCTGTTACCTACGATTGCAAAGTTAGCTAAGTGAATGAATGAGTGGTTAATTGTTCATTCATGCATCTAGCACTTTCACGTGGTCTTCTTAGTAGTTTTGTAGCAAGGCCCTTTCTTGCTAAAAAACGGTGTGTCTGTACAGGAAAACCAACGAAAGCAAAACAAAACAAGGCTAAATGGGGCAACTTACTTTCGCTCCCAGGCTATGGCAGGTCCAAGAAGCGATGCATTCACATGGTTGTTCACGAGAATCGTGATGACAAGTGCGGACGCCGAAGGATACTGGTCGCCATCGATGTTGCCAAGACCAACGTAGGGGAACACAGGCCCACCATACTCGCCCAAGCAAGGCATACCACCGAAACCTTCATCACTGGGTGACAGCGGCGAACTGGGAAAAATAGGTAAACAACCTTGAGCATTTCACACTAGCACTACGACAGTAAGCACACATTTTTTAGGAACCTACGCTATGTGCCTCAAACAAGCCAACGTATAATGAGGTTAATCGAGTCCACAAACAACCAACACTATTTTCGTGTAATGAGCGATTAGCACTACTTTCTGGTGATGCCTTTTTCTTTATTGAATGTGACGCGAGACACCGTACAGCTCAGCCGATGGCACCGCAAGAGACTTCTGTATTCCCACAGCAGGCTTTGTACAGGTTTCAACAGCCCAAGTTCGAGGATTTTCAAGGAAAAAAAAATTCCAGGAATTTCAACAACCATGAAAACATACTTTACAATTTTAGGGTTTTTCCATGTGGTTTCACAAGGACTTGCCGTATTTTTGCGCGTATAACCCGGCCCTGCATATAATCCGCACCTCCACTTTCAGCTCACCGAAGAAAGAAAAAAAAAATCTCGCGTATTGCCCGCACATTTAATATACAGGAAAGGCTGTACAAAAGCTACTGCTCAAGCAACATAGCACATATGTAGACAGAAGAAGCTTTATTTAGCAAGCAGAATACGCTGTCTGCAAGGCCAGTCAATTCACTCACTGTCGCTGCTCTCGCTAGAGCCATCACTTGAGCCGCAGTTCTCACTATTATGCACAAGGTCATCTTCGGTTCCATCCATGTTGTTTGTGATGCAGCATTTCTTGAAACATCTTCGCACCATCTCACCTAGAATGGCCTTCCATGCCTCGAAAATCCACTTTGCAGAATAGGGCAATATCAGGCCTTCGAACTCGTCCTGTCGGCATCAAGTCGTAGCAGCCTTCGGCCATCCACTCGGCGTAATAGCGCTTGACATGCGCTTTGAACGGCTTGTTAAGCGACACATCTAGAGGCTGCAACATTGACATCATTCCACCGGGTATAACAACTAAGTCGGTGCCGTTGCGTGAAAGGCGGTCCTTCACTTCCTCAGTTGTGTGGCCGCGGAACGAGTCAAGAACGAGCATGGACCTCTTTGCGAGCATCGCACCGGTCCTCTTCTCCCATACCGTCTTGATCCAGTCTACGAACAAGTCACTTTTCATCCACGCGTTCTCGTGTGCACGCACCACCACACCGGCAGGCAAACGAACCTTTGGTAGAGTTGTCCTTTTCAAGATGACGTACGGTCGCAGTTGCGTGTCGTCGGCGAGGGCACAAAGCAAGACTGTGATGCGCAATTTCGTGTTCCCGCCGGTCAGCACGCTCACCGAACTGCTGCCCATCTTCTCAATCGTTGTGTCCAGCGCATTTCAAAATAAACAGGAGTTTCATTCGCATTGCCGATTTGCGAGAAAATGCAATTGTGCTGCTTTCGCAGGCCAATTACATATATCTGGTACTTGGGCAGCTTCTCCTCATAAGAAGCCGGCAAACGTTGACATATTGTAGTCCGCCGTCTGATTGAGAGCCCTTGCCACTTCATAAAGCGGTGCAGCCATCCGCAGCTCGCACAGAACTCGTGAGGTAGGCCTAGCTCCCTCGAAAGTCGCCGCGCTTCCACTTGGGCCATCTCTGTCGATACGGCGTGACCCCTGCTTCTCACATCTTCGATGAACTTTACTAGCTCCGCCTCCAGCTCAGGGTAGGCACCGGTCTTGGGGCCACGAAATGACCTACGGTCGCGGTGCGCGGCTTGTAGGCTCTCTTTCTTCTTTCTCCACAGTCGCACGCAGGACTCGTCCACATCGTGCCGTCTTCCCACTTTGCGATTTTCAAACTCCTCGGCGACGGCGATGATCTTAAGCTTTTGCTGTGCCGTGAAGGACTACCGCCGCACGCTACTCATGGTGACAGAACAGATCGACTTAGACTTGGCGAACGGGTCGAGATGTGGAGAACTAGCGGTATCAGCGAAGTAAAGAGCACTCACACTCGGCGACAACTTGGCAGCACTACCCCTTCTAGTACACTGTAATAGCACCCTGGAAACAACAGAACCGAAATGCATGCCTGCTACCACATTAAAAAGTAGTGCATTAATTTAATGATATCTTTATAGGCACTATAACATCTCATTTGCCTTGCTGAAATAAATACTGCTTTATTTATTATGGAACTTACTTTATTTATTATGGGACTTTCTTAAACAGCACCACCTTTTCGGCAAGCCCTTTCCAAAAGTAAACATGACGTCCTTGACGTAGGGACATGTGGAGGGTCACTGAGCGGCCGCGAACGTCCAAAAATATACTTGGGGTGTGACAGTGAGATTTTACACTGAACAATCAAATTGTCTCTCCCCAAATGTTTTTCTGAACGCTTCAACGATGCAAGCAAGCGAAACCAAAATCAGCCGCAAGCTGCCGTGCTACTTGTGGAGCAACACGAATTTGCGGAAACCGCCTCCGTAGCCTTCGCTACACTGTTAGGGGCTTCACTGCACAACACGCATTGCTGTGAAGCAGCACTATAGAAAAAACCCCGCGTATTATCCACTCCTCCACTTTGCCACTGAAATTTTTGGGTTTTTGGTGCAGGTTATACGTGCAAAAATACGGTGTACAAACCCTGCATAGCCGACTGCCAGAAAAAGATGCATATCACAGGCTGTGCTACGCTATGTTTCAAAACAAACTGGATGCATGGAAGAAAAAGGGAAGCTGAAACGATGATCACAGCTTAGTTTGCGTGCGGCACAAAGCAAGTACCAACTAGCTTGAGCATTTATTCTTCTGAGGCCTGAGGAGTTAAAGGGCAGGAAATTTAAGGGCATCTAGCCTTTATGCATGCCTCTCTGCATGAAATTTTTGAAGATGTGTAGAATGTTTCAACAATTCCAGATTAATAATTTTATACTATACTCCTTCACTCAGTCTATGCCTGTCAAAAACAAGGCTTCGTTAATTTACACAGCTTTTTTTTTTTTTTCGTACTGACATCCCGTTACAATTTTACTTGACTTGAAATATGGCATCCTCCTCCTGCATCAGTTAATATTAAAACATGTAACCAACTAGCAGTGAAGTGAACTAAAGGTGGCACCCGATATGCATCCAGTGCATACCATATTCTATAATTGTTGATAGGTACATCACAATCAAGTTTACCCATTTCCAAGCTATGCCAGATACAGTCAAATCCGTTTATATTAAACTCGAACGTGCCGCGATGAGTGGTCGTTATACAGTGCAGTCCACTTATAACAATATCGAGAAAACCTAAAAATATGATCGTTATAACCGGTGATCGTTATATCTGGACTGCCGCCAAAAAATCGTCGCCGGACGTACCTTTTGTAGCTCCAGGCTTCATTTTGCTATTTTCACCAATTAATAAATATTGTAGATAGTAGGATGTCAAAAACAAGACTTTATTTCTTACTCCGAAGAACGCATCACGGGTTCGCTGAGGAAGAGAGACTGACCGACGGCGGGGTCGGAGCAGTGGGAGGAAGAAAGCACAGCCAGAGGTACACAGCCGGAATGCCAACGAGGCCCCGCCCCCATGCCGCCGCGCCGCTTTGCTTCTCGCTTTTTTTTATTTTCTCTCTCTTTCCCGCTTTTGTTCGGCAAGCTACGAGTAGCTTGCCGGCTTGCCGTTGTAGAAGGCGGGGAGCCGCGGAGCGCAGCGCTTTGCTTGTTGCATTTTTTTTTTAATTCTCTCAGCCTCTCCGCGGTCGACGCGCGGCGAGGCGCAAAACGTGACACAGCTGGCGCCATCTGTAGCGCGTCGCGCCAACTCGCGATACTCTCCTCGGCTTTTTGAACGGCCGGGACGCGCTGCCGGCGCTGTCCTGCAGTGGCGGCAGATACGTACTCGCCTACGCTAACTTTTCGTCTTGTCTCGGCATAGTTCGTTTCAGAAGAACTTATCAATCTAAATGTTATGATTATTCTGAATGAAACATGCCGTCCACGGCAAACTTTTCATCGTTGTATCCGATATGCGGTGGATAACATATCGTTATATATGGTTTTTTTCCCCATAGCCCCAATGCATAAAATGAGACTGTTAAGTCGACCCATCGTTATAACCGATATATCGTTATATGTGGTATCGTTATAAGTGGACTGCACTGTATCAGTAGTTTGTTGTATATCGACTCGCCCTTAAAAACATGCACTTAGCGACCGAACCATTTTTTTTTTCTTTCTGTGTATGTTTATTAAAAAGTGCAAACAACTCCTCCAGTCACAGGTTAGGCCTTTTTGCATGTTAAGCGACTCTCACAGTGTGCTCACGAGTGAATTAAACTACGTTCGCCACGAACTTGCACTTTTCCACTGAAGCACAGTACCACAACCAATCATCCCTGGCTAATTGCGTACAGTATGCAGGTCACTTACTCGGCTTTTGCCATTGCATGCCGGGGCCGTTTGCAGTCACAAACGTGCAGTAAGCGCACGTTTGTGCATTCTTCGCGCATGCTGCACCCCGTATCATGCTGTGGTGCGGCGAGTAGCCTATTTAACACGACGAAGATGCGTACTTTGCAAGCAACACGCAAGCGGCCTCGCACAACGCTGCGTCGGCAAATGGCAGCATGACGCGATTGTGCCACCGTCACTCCACGCAGTTTAAACACGTACGCACAGACGAGCAGATATCTGCAGATGACTGTGATAAGGATGTCTGTGATGAGTGAAAACTGCGTGTTCATTGCCACTGACCACCGCTATCATCATGCTTATCCGTTAAGGCACCACACAATCGCGTGGAAATCATTACCATTTATCTATCATTCTCTGCCATTACTGAACAGCGGAAGACCATTTGCGGCACATAGGAGCATCGGCGAGTTGAATGTCACAGTGAACTATTAAACGACAAAAAATTATTGCTTCTTGCACTTATGGCATCCTACGTTTGAAGACATTGTTTCGTCAGTCGTCGTAGGTGCGGAGAACGGCGTCAGAAAGGTTTGCCGTGGGAAAACTTCATGCTGCCTCCTTTCTCTCTTTTTTTTTTTTTTTATAACTGTTGTTAAGCCAAAGCCAGTGAAGAAATGCCTGGAAAGTAATACCCCTGTCACACGGGCACTTGAAATTCTTTTAAGTAAGCGGTCTTTTTCCGAAAAGGAGTTCCTGACAGCAGACACACGGCACAGAGCGAACTCCTTTTCAGAAGCGGTCTTTTTCGTAAATGGCATTCGTCAATCTCTTTTACGGCTCCGAACGAGTAGCCTCGAAACCAGTGGGCGCCAGCAATTTTTGAGTGGTGGGAAAAAAAAGATCGAATGCTTATTTTTCTGTCACCAAAACTCTTTGTAAAAACAAATTTCATATCCTGCAGAAGGTGTAATGAACTCTTTTAATGGTTATTTCCTTTTCTACTCTCCTGAGCAGCTACAACGCGTCGGCAATATCACGTGGTGACGCTCGGTCTCGCGTTGCTTTATCCTCTCCTTGGCGGCTTTTGCAGCGTCTGCCTCACTTTCCAGAGCGAGAAGGCAGGCCGTGAGGCTTGCGATCCTCGCTTTTTCTCCCGTACGGTCGCCCATAACGTGTCGAGAGCAGTCGAGAGCAGCGAAAAACAAATACGGTAAATAAAAGCACAGTGGTGCCAGACGGACTTGTGCACGTCGCTAGTTATGGGAATGCTTCCATATCTAGTGCAAAAACATTCACATTGGTGTTTCTTCATCTCTTATTCTTAAATTTATTTGAAAAAACGAGCAGTGCAACAAGTCTTTAATTTGTACATCGTGATACATTGTTTAATTTTCATTGCTTCTCTTTGAACTGCTAGCGCCACGCTTTCGCTAGCGTCTTCGAACGAAAACACTAAAAGGAGATCGTTGCTGCCGTGTGTCTGCGCCGCAAACACCTCTTTGTTAAAAGTCTTTCAACTTCGTAAAAGACCGCTTACTTAAAAAAGACTTTTTGCGCGCCCGTGTGACACAGGTATAAGCGACCTTGTTCGCAGCATGCGAAACCTTCGTGTGGTGCTTGCCATGGTCTGCGATATCTTCTTCGCAAGTAAACTGCAGCAAAGCGTGCACTCGCATGTTTTAAAATGCCCGTTTTAACTTTCCTTCACTTCGTATGCTCCTATTTTCTCCGCAACCATGTTGGAAGTGTTCGTTTTAGCAGGAAGAGGCTTTAAAAAATGTTCGCTATATGTCGATACAGTTTCTACGGAGAGCATAGAAAACTCAAAAGCGCGCAGCAATGTGGTCGTTATTACTGATAATTTATTATATCTAGGATCGTGATAAGCGGGTTTGACTGTAATGATGCAAGGGCATTTAATGATGCAAGGGCCAGGTGTGAGCAAAGAAGTGTCAATGTTGCAATTTTTTTTCACCTGAAGCAGAAGAAAAGATGATCAAGGTAGGTCTTGTTTTTGTACACCAAGTCCAGGTGCGAGACGTTGTTTTGAAACCAGTTGAGGGGCGACTGAATCATGCACTTCCCGTTGCTAAGAGGCGAAAAGCAGATGTCCTCCAAGGTGACTTTTCGCCCTTCATACTCTGCAGAGAGTCCCAGAAGCTTCTCCTGCAGCACAGCCACCTACACCAGAACAGGAAGCACACTCTTGATTTTCATGGCGGGTCTGAATGAATGCGACAATACTCTGTTGATCACTTCATCCCAGCATCGGTAAGAAACAACAAATGTTCATGGCATAAAGTTATGACCTCAGACCGGCTACTTCAAGCAAATGATAATATGCGAGTGAGGATGAACCATATAATAAAGTTAATTTCATTTGTAGCAAGTGGTTCATTGTCCATGGTGAGGTTAGTCATTTCATGTTTGTCTGCAGCCTGTTCTATTATTGATGCTATTACCTGTTCTAATAATGATGCTATTTTTTGCCACTATTGTGATAGGGTGCGGCCCTTCCAGGAAAGTGTGAAATTTGTTCCATTTTCGATCCACGTATAGAAAAACGAGCAGGGTACATCATATGCATTTTCTTATCAACCCATGATTCACTATAGGCACGCTGGTGTCTTTTGTACCCATTTGTCTCTTATATCAGTGTGTCTTATGAAGGAGATCAACCGTATAGCTCCCAGATAACGCCGCATGACAAAGCCATAAAGCAACTATTGTGATCGGCTGATCCCCGCGAAATGCGCCGTACGCAAGACGCGGCCATTTGCTGGTGAGTTGTTCACCCTCCCTCCATTCTTCTCCAGAACTTGGAACTGCAAAGTAGTTGGGAGCAGCACTTGCACGAGCGTGGGTCTGTATAGTGTACTATATGGTACGTGCGTCAGATGCATAGACAAAAAAACACCTAAATGGTACGATTGTCTCTCACCTGATGGAGAAACTCCTTGTCGAAAACTGCACCAAAGTTGACGGTCAGGTTGTACCGCTTCAGGTGAAGCGTGTAAGGGAATGGCTGGCCTCCATTACGTGTAATTACCACCTGCTGAACCCTGTAGAAAGGCCTGCAAAGCCAACGCAATGACCAATGTTCAATCAGGTAACACGCCTCCAAAGGGCCCCTCTGAGTGTGTTCAGATTTAAATGAATGGAAAGATACAGTGCAATACATCAATCACGATCATTAGCCTAATGTTTTAAATGTATAATGAGCATAATATCTGGTGCCGAGTGCATTAAATCGAGAAAGTTGTTCGCCAGGGGAAGGTGCATGGATATTTGTGTGTGGTGTGGTACTAACAGTAAAACTGCAGGAGGCACTTCCTTGCAATTTCATAGTTACATACGATTGTTTGGCTGCACACTGTTTCACTGCATATTCTGTGATAGCTGCCACAGTTAAAGGTACAAGAGACAATGGGAAGATCAAATTTATGCTTGTAGCAGAGCAAACAGGAAGGGCATATGACGCAAAAGCAATACACAACATATTTGCAAAAACCTGCAGAAACTGGCAGAATCTATAGATAGATTATAAGTTATGTGCTACCATTTTGTCGATAGATCCAGTGATACACTGCCCTAGAAAAGTGTCCATTGGTAGTGAACAATGTCTACTCAGTGTCTTCATTCCAAACCACGGGCTGCTTTCCATTTACTAGTATTGCAAGCACAGTGGCTAACAATGCATCTTTAACCACTAAAGTCAGCTAAAGGCATTAATTGAAGCAGGTTGATGAATCGGGAGACTACGACAATGGTGGTGTAGTGATCAATATTATGATAATTCTCACAATGTTCAACTGGCGTGAGCGAAATCCGTCAAAATAAACCCTCACTTGAATGTTACAACTTGGCTCGCAGGTTGATGACCAAGGCACTCAGTGTATATGTATGATGAATAATGTAGCAGACATACACTTGACAGTGTAAAAGAGAGAACAACATGAAAGAACTAAAAGACGGACCACTCAGTAGAAAATGTAGGGAAAATTAGGCTTAGTTGAAACACATAAACATTAAGACAAATGGAAATGAAAATGAAATAGTTTGCTGCAGACTGTAACCGAAACTGACACTCATGCGCTGTTTTGTTTACTAGGTTACTGTAGCAGCTGTGCCCACTTTATTATGAATTTTCTCGTATATTTGTGTCCCGCAAGTTTTAGAGCATGCCGACCTGGCAAGAAAGAGAAGTGTTTTTGCCTATGCAAGCCCCGGTTCATGTCCCGCATAACAGGGCTGCTAAATTTTTTGCCACACTCATCTAGCGTTGCGGCAGTCACGTGAGTACACCCACCCAAACTCTTGGTTGAACTGCTCCCGCTTCCATGCGCGCCCGGCTCATGGGCGCCGACCACAGATCAACGGGATTGGTGCGAATGGTGAAGAAGGCAAGACCGGCGCAACAGATGGCCACGGCAAGCAGGGACGTCACAACAACCGTCACGGGCCAACGAGCACACAGCCGACCCCAGTTTGAAAATTGGGCCACCAGCGCTCTCTGCAGGACGGCTAGAGTTCGATGCTGAGCCATCCTTTGCGTACAGAGGTGCGTCGTCAGAAAATTCAGAAGAAGTGCCTGTTGACAATGTAAAAAGTACAATTGAATGTCATAACAGCAAAAAGAAAAACATCGTTGATCCCACTGTCATAGAAATCAGTATAACACGAAAGTGAAACGGGCCTTTGCAAAAGTAAATTAATGTTCACTGTGCACTGTGATAAATGGGAGCTTGCACAACGTCTGCTAGTGTTCGGCGACTATAGCACCTTTTGATGTGGATGCACCTATGTTGAGCCCCACGGCCCACCATCTTTATGAGAGACATCAATGCTCATGAGTAAGCCTTTGTTGTAGCTGAAAGCGGTGAAACCCAGACAAAAAGTGTGGCAAATTTCGCACAAAGATGGCATAATCAAGCACGCAACCACTAGTAATCTAGATGCATTCATGAGAAGCAGTCGGTTGAGGAGGGGAAACAACGAGGAAACAATTCACGAGCTATTGGGTAGCTTACACTTCTGCTCATGCATACACTAGCACACAGCACTTCAAGAATGCAAGAGACAGAGCCCGTAGTTTGAACCATCAACACACGCACGAAGGCATTCCGCTGGCCACTGGCATGTTTCTCATTTCGACAAAGCACTCACTCAAGCTGTACTGAAACGAAATTCGGTGGAAATCCAGAAGCTAGCCTCAGCTGTGCTGAGACTACCGAAGCGCATCCTGTCGATGCTCGTTAGTGTCACAATGCAGTACTTCACCTCTCCGAGACGGACAACGCTGCCCCAGGCTATACCAATACCACTGTCAAAGGGAGAAGGTGTGAAAGATATGAAGTGCATTTGTAGAGGTGTATGCAAGAGCGTTGGTAGCTCAGTGGGTAAAGCACCTGGCTTCTATTGCTGTGGATTGAGACATCATCGGTTTGGCTCCAAAATCATCCAAGTCAATGACACCTTTTTTTTTCTCACTTTTCTTCTGAAGTTCTACCATAACAAAACTACGTACGTAGTTTTGTTATGGTAGAACTTCAGTAAACTCCTGGTGGTCTTCGGCACAAAAATTTTCGTGTTAAACAAAAGAAAGAAAAAACAGCAACTTACCACAGTGAAATTGTCGCACAGTGGCTAGGCACTACACAGAATGCCATCATAACACAACGCTAGCTATCCTGTCACCAACACTAGCCATCATTTAGCCATTATAGTCTACCATTTGCCATCATTACTCAACACCAGCCAACATTAAACAAGTTTAACCAACATTGGCCTACAACCTGAGCCAACATTACTAGATTAAGTTCAGTTTACAAACTGTGCCACGTTCTGCGGAACCGCCAATGATTCTGGTTCGACTGGCACTGCAATCGCATCAGGATCCCACCAGCGTCTGCCCGCGCTTATACCCCACTTGGTTCCCATTAAATCTGCGTGTATTCTTTCTTCGGTTGCCATGAGTTCGGAACTTTTCCGGTGATCCGTAGCTGCTGTGATGACTGCTAATTCGACGAAGTGTTTTATGTGCATCTAAGCCGACAAAGTCATGCCGACGTGCTGTGTGCCCGGTTGTACGAGTGGGTACCAGAATGACACAAGCCGGTCAGTCTGCCGTTTCTTTGCCGCTCCGAGAAACAACGTTCGGCGTGAAACCGGGTCATACCCAGCGCCGACAAAGACATCACAACCAAGTCCAGAGTATGCTATTTGCATTATCATGACCAGGAAATTCTGCAAACGTATATGCACCTGATAAATGGAGAAACTGTCAAAATCTCAAGGTTTAAGTGATGTCTCGTCGACGGTGCACTGCCGAGAATCTTTCTTAATTTGCTCTCATATTTATCAAAGCCAGCAGAGAAAAAACGAAAATGAAAGCGAGAAAGCAATGGGGTCCCTATAGCCTTGAAACTGCGCCACCGCAATCCAAACAAGCTTCTTGCAGCAGAACTCCTGCTGATGCCGTAGAAGACGATATGCCCGAGCTGTCCACGCCATCGTTTAACGAAATAGAATGTCCAGAGCTGGCCCCATCAGGGCAGAGAATCACCGTGAAGAATGACAGCAGTAAACTTGCAGCATTTTTCACACTGAGGTTCAAGTGTAAGGCACCGCAAATCTAGAAATGCGATGTTATAGGCAGTGAAAGAGTGTCAACCGCAAGTGGAAGAGGCTGCGAGGCGAAGGCTTTCGTGAGCGTGAACATTAGGGCTATGCGTGATTTTAGTGACTTAATCAACAATGTGCACAAGCTTCATGCATACTCCAAATACGATGTACAGGGCAACAGCTGCATTTCATTCAGATGCCAGGTACTTTCCAAGCAGCAAATTCTGCCATACTTAAAAAAAAAAAAAACATGCTTTTGAAAAGATCTCTGTAGCGAAAAATAAAGGCATGTCTGGCGACAAAAAAAAAATGTGATGAATTTGCAAAAAAATGTAATCAGGGCCGCAGCTTCAACAGTGTCACTCATGAAGAAGCACAACTTTGCAGTGGGCAAGATTTGCCCACCAAGTTAGCACGAAGCAACATTTACATTGAAGTGGGAGGGCGAGGTGCTCACGAGCATGGAAGCCATGGCTGTTAGTTGCGACGCGCATGTGTTTCTGCGCGAGTCGACTGTATTCGTCGTACTTGGCAAATACAATTGTATTAGGCACAGTGAAGAGAGGTGGGGGAGGGTTCAAACCCTGCTCCGAAAATTTTTAATTATTGCTTGTGCATATATGCATGCACACACACAAATGCACATGTGAACATAGATGATGGTTGAACGGGTTGAACCCCCTCCCGAAAGAGTTTCCGACTATGCCCCTGCTTTGTATAGAAATACAAATTCAAAATGTTTTGTTCAAATGACTCTCGTCATAACCTTAGACGAATTGCAAAAAAAAAGCAGGTCATTTGGGAAAGCAGTGAACAACGTTACTAAAAGGTACCGAAACCACTCACCAATGCAAAACGAAACACCTGATGTTTCTAGAGCTGCGGACTCAAGACTATAGAGCATGCCTGCCGCGTTTGCATGTTTTGAAGCAAGCACAGAATAAGCGCCAGTGGCCGAGATATGTTGCAGCATTGTATTTAGTGTTTCCCACACGGTTAAATGTAAATAATCGAGCACATTAGGCGCCCGAGCACATCCTTGCTAGCCTTGCGAGCGGCGAGGGTGGATCTCGATAGAACGCACCCGCCACCTGCCGGCCAAACTTAAAACGGAGATACAAGCAAAGCACGGCGCCGGCGGAGAGTTTGTAAACTGAACCTAGTCTAGTAACGTTGACCTGAGCTACCAAGTACTCGTATGTATGGATAGTATGCGAGTAGACACAGTAGGTTAGGACGTATGTCGCCATTTACTGCCCTTAACAAATCTTGAGGAATACAATAACATACGCTCTTGCAGTTCTAAAGACAATAGTCTTTGTTAAAATAGTTGATTGCGGAAACTTTGTTCTGTCTGTTTGTCTGCCTGTCACGCAATTCAGCCAGCCGGCCAAAGTTTAAGTAGTTGCTGAACGTCGCGCCATCTTGAATTGGTGGCTGCGTTCATACTTGTGAACACTGTCAATCAAAAAGCAAATATTACACATATCTGAGGCACAAAACCAACACGTAAGTATTAGGTAGTGCATTTCTTTACTATAGAAATACATAAACATGTCATTTGAAAGACAGTAACGGTTCTTACACTGCGCTGAAAATGCAACGCTATGCACAAAAAAAAAAAATGGCCAGCAGAAGACTATCGTCTTTCGAGGACATTTGCAGCAAAGTATGCAGGTACATGGCCAATATTTTATGCTATCATGCCCACAAGCACACACACGCAAACACACACATTCTTCTCCATGGTAACTTATAAAAAAATGATCTTGTAATAAAAACCGATAATAATAGCATGCTTTCATTCACAGCTGGCCAGTGCATCAATGTGGAATAATAGAACTGAAACTATAACGAAACAAGACTTCACTATGTTCTCCACTTAACAACAAAATTTCTATTCCCCAGCAAGTACACATAGGGCCCAGTGTTGTCATCAAACCAAACTTATGTACACTCAAACTTCACTATAACAAAGTTGCATCTTATGAGAAATCAGGTTCGTTATATCTGAAAATTCTTTATAAAGGTTTATTCTTTACAATATATCTATTGCAAGACTATTTTTCATTTACGTTGTTTTAACCAATATTTTGTTATATCTGGGTTTGTTATATTGAGTATACTACTTTCTTTGCCAAACTTAGTAATTTTTTATGCCTTTTTTTAACCCACTGAAAAGAATGCATTTAAACAATGACAAGGTTTTCATCACACATGCACTGTAATGCTATCACATCAAAATATCCAGGCACCCTTGTTACGGCCCTTGCTTCCCTCTGATGAGGCCACACGCCATACCCATGCACAAAGTGATAAATTCAGCAGTCGGTAGAGCTTTTGCGTATCACACGGTGCTAGAAGCAACAGTGTTTTGCTTTGGTTATTTCAGAGTTAATGGAACAGGCAGCACTGATCATCTCCTCACATCTTTCTTATTCGGTCTGCTCACTTGATCACTACATTCATTCTGTGTGCCATCACACATTGGTAGCCTGTCAATTCTCTACGCGATCGTCTATCTGGTCTCCCTTACCCGAAAATGGTGTCCCCCCATATATGAAGGGCCCTCTCGAGACATACTTTTCAGATGCACAAGTGTGGGTAGCTGGTTAAAAAAAAAACGCTGTGGTACGTCCTTCGCCATGTTAGAATTGTAGATTTTGAAGAACCGAAAAATTTCAGTCTCGATTTTACGAAACTTCCAATTTGACAAAATAATTGGAGCGTGGTCATGCCTTCATTAAATTGAATTTCAACTGTGCTTAGCATCTGTCTTATGTTGAACTTCTCAATGGACACAGAATACTATACACTTGAAGCTACAGTGTCAAAGCCCCAGAGTGCTGTTGAGTGTTGTCGCTGATCTCTCTCTCGCAACCTTTCACTATCCGTGTGCATATATATCCATGTGCGTCCCTTCGTACCAAATAAAGCTTTGGTTGTAAGCCAGCGCTTGGTCCGTCGCCGTCATCGTGCTGTTTTTGCACCACTCCCCATTATCCCTACTGTAATGTCAAGAGCACTTTTACCAAATAAAACTAATAAAACTGCCTTATATACTAAAAAACACTGGTTTCCCAGCCACCAAAGATAGCTGTTTGGTGGCAAAGTGCATGCAATGTGCTTGCAGATTTGGTGACTACCAGCTACAATGCCCGTGAATAAGGGCATGCAAGCTGCAGCTGTGACATGCAACAAAGCTGAAGAAGTTACCATGGGGAGGCATAAGCCACTGATATTAAACAAGAAGGGCAGAGTATGAAAGTTTGTTTTTACAGGAGTGATAAAAGAACTGCTGCAGTAGAATACTCTAAAAACATTGTTTACAAACTGGAGTTCTTTTTAAAGTGCACCTAAACTCAAGCACGAGAAACTTGCATTTCACCCTTTCAAAATCCGGTTGCCACAATCAAAATAAAATATTTGAGCCAAGCAGCACAATGCTTGAGCTACTGTGGTGAGTGAGGCTTGAATAGAACAAGCAGCAGAATACTCACATGCGTTGACACTACCACCAGGAGTGTGGGAATTCTTGAGACGTGCAATGAGATAGAGCGTCACGACGACCACAAAGAAGATTGCATAGACGGTGCCTGCCAGCAAGGTGAAGCCACTGATTCCGAGTATCTTCCAAGACCTGTGCGTTTCCGGGTAGTCCGATGGGACGCAGGACTCCTTGCACGTGGAGCAGCTGCACGGTGCCGCGCCGGGGGCACCGGGCTCGGAGCATTTCTTGTAGGTGGCATTCAGGGGCTTGTAAGTGTGGTTGTGCGAGGGAACGGGAGAGTCTGCGCAAAGTGGACAGTGCGTTATGGCACAAGACTGCAAGGAAAGCTAGGAGGGGCACTATTGTATGATCTCCATGTATGCCGCTCACTGAAACAGTTGCACTCTTTGGGGCATCTTTCTTTCAACACAATAATCATCGTCTGACATTTCATGCAGAAATAAAAATGATTGAAAAGGTAATCATTTGGCTTGCATGTTTATCCACACACTAAGCGGTTCATGTGAAACTTCCAGCTAACAAAGTGCCTGTGCAATATCACCGTGACAAGGCATTGTCCACTGAAAAGTAGTGCCACAGAGTTCTCAAGCAAAGAATGAAAGTAAGCCAGATTATTATTTTGTGTGATATAAATAAGCCTAAAAGAGTGCAAGTGTTTTTGGTATGCAAGCAGGCATATGGTTTGATTAGTGTATTGCAGCTATGCCAATGTCAGTATGGTCAGTATATACTCCTTCGAGTCAGTATGGTAAACAGAAAGTAAACAAATTTACCTAATTTTTTGTACACATATTCCCATACTAGTTGTATGTCCAACTTTCAGGGCATAATAGATATTGACACAAAAATCAACTGAGAAGCAAAATCCTGAGAAATATAAATGAATCAAATGAAATAACCAAACTATTGGCACTCTGACCTATTCTAGGGCCAATCCCTCTTACTATAAATTATAAAACAATGAGATGCCCAAACTGTATATTTCTTCTTCAGTTATATTACAATTAGTACTTTTAATAACATCCCCTATAATTTTCTTGGCATCATTGTCTATTACTTCCCATTAATATTGTGTCTAACAAAACGAAAGGAGCCCTTAAATTTGCACTTCTTTCCTTCACACTGTATCTAGCAACTAAAATACCTCAAAGGGCAGGTTTTGTTTAAAGGAGCACTGACATCAAATTTCAAGATCGAGATGTGCCCATCATTCAATCGCTTGGTATGCATACGTCTTCTTGGCCAAATTTGAATGGCATCCGTTGCGAGGAAGTTATTTTAATTCGATGTCAACCAGCGTAGAAAAGCTAAGGAGAAAAGACGGAAAATAGACTGCCCTGCGACATCGACACTTGTGCTACGTGTTCGGTGTGATACATGCCACGAATACCATCCTGAATGACGATGCCCTAGTAGTGATGACGTGCACGATCCTGAGTGTTCTTATCGTGGCGCCGAAGCGCAGAAACGCACTCGCTCGTCGCGTCTGATCTTCTGCGCACTGGTTTGAATGATTTCGTGAAATTATTAAGATAAAAACCACATTTAAAAGAAAGGCGAAAGAAAAAAGCATAATTAAATGTGTGCTTGTCGGTCAGCATGTTGAGGAATCGCGAGTTGCAGTCGTCTAGTTCAAAGCATGGCAAAAGCGCAATGAGGGTGTCTTTTCATATCACGTATGTGTTACACATCAACGCGACCACAAGTTATCAAAAGTGGAACAGCGTATAGTCAGATATCATCTCTAACAAGTAACACGCAGGTATCGTTGAATTTTAGTTAATCTGTAGACTTTGCATCCCCGTAAAAGTGGTCATCATAATCATCATCATCAGCCTGACTACGTCCACTGCAGGACAAAGGCCTCTCCCATGTTCCGCCAGTTAACCCGGTCCTGTGCTTGCTGCTGCCAATTTATACCTGCAAACTTTGTGAAAGTGGTAATACCGTGTTAACCACGAAAGGCTGGATAGGTGGAGCCATCTCGAGGCCCAAAAAAAACCTGGCAAGCAGGAAATGTATTCTATTTCTCCGCTGATGCTCATTCACAATAGCTACATTGCATCACCTCTGCGTACACCTGAATGCTTTACACGCCAAAACACACAAATATATATCTAACTGAGACCCACGAACGAGCATGACTGAAGCGTGCATCCTGGGGCACCTCTGCCGTGCTGCTTGGAAAGGCGTCCATTTCAGAATCACTGTTCTGCAGAAGGTCGATCGAAGCAAAAATAATTCGCGACGTCGCGAATCGCGGGATTTCCAAGCTTCAGACTATTATATTGAACCCGAGTCGGCACTTTGTACGGCGACGACAGCAATGCAGTGAGAAGGCATGACTGATGTGTCCGCCTAGCAAACGAAATGTTTGCGGAGCAGGTGAGCCCGACCTCCCTCTTTTCTGTGTAGAAGTGGTCAGCTGTGGCGTGATCTGGAGGTGACCGCGAGGTAGCACCTCTGCTGGTGCTTCCAGCGCTAAAAATGGTGGGATTGCCGGCAGTTTTGAATAGTGCTAGATAAAAATGATAGTTATTAATCTCTCAGTTGAGTTTTAGGTCGCAAATCGGTGCTACGGGGTCTATAGTTACTTGCTGACACAAAAATCTTGGCATGAGTTAACTTGATGTCAGTGCTCCTTTAAAGGCTGTTTGGAAAGGGATAATATCTGGGGTTTCACCCACCAAGACCACGATATGATTATAAGACTCTCCATAGAAGAGGGCTCCGGAAATCCATACCGTGTTGCGTTCTTTAACGTGCACCGACATCGCACAGTACATGAGCCTCCGGGATTTCACTTTCATTTAACTATACGACCGCCACGGCTGGGATCAAACAAGCAACCTTCAGGTCAGCGGTCGAGTACTTTAACCGCTGCTTTGCTGCGGCAAGTTTGAAAAAGAAAGCCCTACATTTCACAAGGTGCTGCTTGACACGCTCGGAGGCTTCATAAGCCACATGTTTGAAATGCCAAAGATATGTGATATATGTCAGGCATATAGAAAAAAAACGAAAATTAGATACACAGGCTAAGCAGTAGTTTCCTTGACTACACTCTGGTTGATCAATTTCCGCTTCGGCGCAATTTTCAAATGGTACACTGGAAAGGACTCTACATGGGGGATTGCGTCATGTGGAACCAGACTCACCACTGAACACAAAATCCATCTGGAAGGGTGAATGGAGCCCGTCGTGCATTCCCAGACCCATGAAGAGAGTCTCGGGACCACAGTCGTCACTATAGCTGCCACAGAGGGCACCCAGAGTTCCAGAATCGAGCCCCGAACACGACGAAAAGGCGCCCAAAGCATAGCGACGTGTCATGTAATAGTTGACCTCTAACACTGCCCGGGTAGTCTTGTTCGATTGCGTAACCTGCCACAAAACAAGACATTCATGAAGCAAGAGCACATTACACCTTCACATAGCACATCACTAGATTCCACTGAAAGTAAACACTAACAATTCCACATAGAAAACTACAACCAGTGGCAGAGGGAAGAAGGGGAACAGCACCTCTTCAAATTCACATCCCCTAATGAAAAGATCTTTACTCCAGTCAGGCTGTGTCATAATATAGATTTACAAAAAAAAAATAAAAATGATGAAAACTGCCCACAATTGTCAGCTCTAAATATTTTATTCGACATAGTCCAGTGCGATTATAAGGCAAGAAAGCTGTGTTGGCTCGTGGAAACTTACTCAACAAAATTTGCTAGCATATTTTATTTTTATCTACAGTACCTTACAGAGCCCTCGAGGGGCATTGTGTAATGCGGGCGGCTACAGATAATATGTTAGAAAAATATATATAGTGTTGAGAAGCTTACGAACCCTGAAATTGGTCGAACTCTCAGCTGCCTTCTAGTGGGTCTACCCAAGAAGGATGCCGCTCGCGCTGGGAGCTGAACTTGGCCGCATGGGGGATGGGGAACGACGTCGTGGAGACGGTGACCTACGAGAAGATGAAGCTAGGCGAGTTGGCGGTGGCATAGACGGCGTTTCGTCGTGATAGGTACGCCTGATCTGGCCAGCAACAGACAATGAGATATGGGGCGTCTGTACGCGAGTGCAATAACGTGCTACGTGGCCGGCGCAACCGCAGGCAAAGCAAATGGGCCGGTTGTCGGGTGCGCGCCATCGGTTCGTCAGGGTAGGTCTTGTCCATGACGCAAGAGTTGATGGACGGAACGGTGGCTGGAAAGGCTGCAGGGGGTGCTGGAGCTGAGTCTGAGAGGTCCACGTGAACATACGTAGCCGGCATACCCGCTGCAAAGGATAGAGGTCGTGCGGCAGCTTCGGCGTAAGTGAGTGGGGCGCGCGCTTGAACGACTGGAGGCGGCCTGGCGACCACTTGGGCGTAACTTGGGGGCGCAGGGGCCGGAAGCTGTTGTGGGTGGTACGCAGGCATGACCTCCGCTATTTCCTGCTCAATTGCTCGGCGGATGGGTGGAAGAATGATAGTGGCCGATTGTTGAGCAGCCGGTGGGTGGGCAAAGGGCAGGAGAGAGAACTGCCGTGCGATTTCCTCACGTATGAAGGACTTGAGGTCTGCCAGCAGTGCCACCTGATCACAGCTCGCCTCCAAGCCAGCAAGCCCTGCATCTCGTGGTGTGGATCGACGGGTCATCGAACGCTACCGGCGGAGCTCCTCGTAGCTCTGGCACAGCGTGATGACCTCAGCTACTGTGCCTGGGTTTCTAGCAAGCAGCATCGTGAAGGCATCATCGTCAATGCCCTTCATGACGTTCCGGATCTTGTGTGATTCGGACATGCTGTCGTTAGATTTCTTGCACAGGTCCAGGACATCTTCAATGTAACTGGTGAATGATTCACCGGCCTGCTGAGCACGTTCGCGTAAGTGCTGCTCGGCTTGCAGCTTACGAACAGCAGGGTGGCCAAAAACGGTGATAGCGGTCTTGAAATCAGACCAGGTTGCGAAATCGGATGCTGTGGTTGTTATACCACTTGCCGGCCACACCCGCGAGGTAGAAAACCAGGTTGCCGAGTTTACCTGCCTCGTCCCAATGATTGGGGACGCTGACGCGTTCGTACATGGCGAGCCAGTCCTCGACGTCGGTGCCATCCGCGCCGATGAAGACAGGAGGGTCGCGGATGCGGGGGACACCGGAACATGGCGTCGGCGCAGGAGGAAGCATTTGCTGAGCGGCGTCTTGGTGCATGATAGAAGGCACGGTACGGGATCTAAGCTCCAAGGGCATCGAATGCGAACCGAAGATGTTTGAAGGGCACAGCACCTCCACCAAATTGTTAAGGCGTTTATTAGCCGGCGCACAGCGAGCATGCACAATGGCGACAGTAACGGCCAAGCACGGGCTCCCAGCGCGAGCGGCATCCTTTGTTGGGTAGACCCACTAGAAGGCACCTGAGAGTTCGACCAATTTCAGGGTTCGGAAGCTTCTCTACAATACATATCTACACATACATAGGCAAATATTGAATATAATAGGAAATGCAGTTCAACTTATGAACATGTAAACAAAATACATACTAGAAAAGTGAGTTACAGTATGTGAAGGTAAAATACAAAAAATATTATTAGCATAATTTTTAGTATATAGCCACACAGGCCAGTGCTGAACATTGCCAGGTTACGGTATAAAGAGATTATTTTTGAAGGATGTGCAAAAAACTTCAAGGAAATGTGAGTTAACATGAAGAAAGAGAAAGCAGCAAGGTGTCCATGTAACCCTGATTGTGTTGCACTTTGCTTTTAACCCTGAACAGATCCACTTTGCAGAAGTTAACCGCATATGCAAAAGCTCAAAAAAGGTGTTTTTTCTCCTCCTCTCCTTCCCCTCCACCGAGGGAATTGAAGCTCTCTAAATGTTTACAAGTTCTGGCTTTCAACATTTTAAACAAGCTTTCTAAATAAAGACTGCTGGTTTACCTCCACCCACTTCAACACTAAGAAAACAAGGGGTAATTGTTTGTACAAGAGGGGAAGAATATCGAGAACAAAGAACCAAAGATTTGATGTTCAGATGGTATTAGTGCATATGGTTAGAAAGATTGGAACACAAAAAACAACTGTACCTCAAGAAAATCTTCTTGGTGAGGAGAACATGTCACCATGCAGAATACACGTGCCAGGTTGAAGAAACAAGACGGGCAATTCATGATGAGCGCACGCATTACTTCAAGATTTGTACCAAGGGCAGTAACCTGATCATTGTCGCAACAAAATTCTTTCCCCTGACCTGCAAACAGAACATGGATGCTTTCATAGTTTTTGATATACAAGGCAGAAAAGTCTAAAGACTTTCATAGATTTTCTTATTACGAGCTTATTTACTTAAAAAAAACTCCTCCAACTTTCTCAATGCCCCTCAATTGTGCACAGTTTCTGGGAATGATGCGAATTAGCTAAGAGTTCATACAACAATTAAAGCATCACAACATCAACATATGCCACTGTGTAATGAAATAGATAAGTGACCTAACTCTTTCTGATGATTTTCAACATCTCTTGCGGTCATCAAATACTTAAAGGAGTACTCGCACAGATTTTAAGTATTTTGGGATTGTTGCTCCTCACAAGAACACGGGTTTTGAAAACCCTATAATGAGTATCATGCCTGGGAATGCATTATGTATATTTTTTAATACCACTATCATAAAAACACTCATTAAGTTTCAATATTGATCTGGAAGGTGGGGGGGTGGGGGGGCTTTTTTGTGACGTGTCACGGCAGTGCAATGTCACGGGAAGAGAGCAATTCACGTCTGCCATCTGCTCATGGTACACATCAACAATGAGTGCACCGTCTCCAGTGACCCCCGACAGTGATGTTTGCTATTTAGGCTGCACGCAGCAAGCGCAATTCGTGAACTCAGTGGAACTGTATTGACTTTTTGAGATAATGCACATTGCAGTGCGACTGGCTTGCTGATGGTCAGCAATGAAAACTTTAAAACCAAGGAAAATACTCTGTAGTGCTGGCCGACCCCAGTGTGTGCAGTGTTCACACTGCATACGAAGGAGACAAAAATTGTCCCTTTCGTAATGTCTTAAAATTGTGTCAGAGCAGCTCTAATATGCAGACAAAATCTACATGTATGAAAATAGTCTCACAACTCTCAATGCTACCTACGAGCAGCTGTGAGCGTTGTGAATAAGATGCCACAGCAAGTCAGTAAATAAATTGAGTCGGTAAACTAACAAAAAAGGCCATATAACATATGAAGTATAAATACAGGGAGCCCTCTATGGTTTAGAATGTCACCACTTCTGCCCACTGGCCCTGGTATATCAACAGACATTATCTGTACTCTTAGGTCAACAGAAGACTTTCCTGCTAACTGCACGGGGTAGTAGAATTGGATGGGATGATTTTAGTTAAATTCACATAAACAAATTGGAATCACATTCATGCGAGGCAGGGTAAATTAGAGATCAATGGGAGAGGCCTTCGTCCTGCAATGGACACAAAAAAAAAAAGCTAATGATGATGATAGTTTCACGACGACATCGTGATAGCAGTGGCACCGCATGTTTCAGGTAGTTCGAAGCAGCATACTGACCTGATACCAAATCTGGACAAATTCCCTTGAGAACTTCCATGGACTTGTCACTGACAGCTTTGGGAGGACCATTGTCGACACAAGGCATGGGCTTTTCTGTCAATGGGTCTGTTCCGCAGGCACCCCTCATGACACATTGTGATCCAGCAGCATCGGCCAACGTCTGCACGAGAAACGGGAAGAAAGTGGCCAAAAATCAAACTGGCTAGGTACAACACTGCCGACACCAAAGTGGAACCCCTTTATAGGAGACACGCAACGGTGAACGTCTCTGGTCCCTTTCATGAGATGTCTTTTACAAGCAGGGTACCATGTTCTCATTTTCTGTTTGAACGCTACTTCGATGCAAGCACATTGGTGTCTTACTCCCATTTGTCTCTCACATCAGTGTCTCTTATACAGGCATTCAACTGTACTGCCAGAAACAAAAATTTTGAATTATGTAATGTAATGCTTTCATTCATAGTAAGGCATCTCATAATTTTTAGCTTTTGTGAGAATTTCTCTTGATGCAAATGCTGAAAAATTGCAGGTTCACTATGTCAAGCATAGTCTGCTTAAATCACCCCACTGCTGTCTTTTCAAACCAACACATCTCAACTGTACCAGCTTCTTTTCAGAAAATCGAGCACCTGAGTTACTTAAGAACATCAAAAATAACAAAACGGTGATGCCATGTAAAACTTTTAACAGCCTTGCACTGTAAACAGCCAAACTTCGAAGGCCAAGAGTCATTTTCATTCGTACTGATACATTAAAGAAGTTACTCATAACAATACATTTGATCAAGTCCCTGTCTAAACAATTAGACTCAGACTACAATGTATAGACTCCAGAGCGCAATACTACAATGCAGTGTGTATGAAGGAAAAATGCTGTGCCCACGGCAACGAGGCCAAACTTTCTGAAGTAAAGGCCACTTTAGGGGGCATCTCACCAATTTTAGTATTGCACTCTTCATAAAAAACATACCTTGTAATGAATGATTAATTACACTTAATTTATGCTATGACAATTGGCATTGAAATGTTTATAACTACATTCACACTTTCATATCCCAGAAAAAAAAATGTCTTGGCAGCCATCAATGAGCCTATAAAGATGTCAGTAATGCAACCACGACTAAGTTGTACTAAGGAACTATATTTTCAGGAAACTGAATGGTGGTGTTCTTCATCCCCACCCTTGGGCAACATTTATGCTGGTCAAGCCTGTTGCTCCTACTATAGACAAGTGCTCAGCAAGGCAGAGGAAAATAAATAATAATTTTGGGGGGTTTAACCACTACATGATTATGAGACGCCGTACTGAAGGGCTCTCGGTATTTCGACCACCTGGGGTTCCTTAACGTGCACCTCAAAGGGAAAAAAAAGTTGATAGCAAGATTTCTTCATAACTTCCACAAGAGTCATGGCAAGTTGTATTATGACACTGTCCCTTTTGGTTTACTTAAATGCTTACATATAAATTAATCTTCCCGTTGCATTTTCACTGAACCAGAGACACTACTAGCCAAACCTGGTAGTTTTTTTATGATTAAAATATATACTAAACTAAAACAGCCCGAGTTATATACTCTTCCTACAATCTATAATATAAATAGTCTTCCTACGGTCACTAGTGTAGCTGGAGGGAGGGGTGCTTCAACCACCCAATGTTTAAATTTTGCATGTGCATATATACATGCACACATTCAAATAAACACACAAACATGCACAAAGGCTGGTTAAGAACCACCCACACTCCCCCTTCCCCGCCCCAGATAAAATTCTGGCTACACTAATGATTATGTACACGTATGTCTCTGTTCCCAGTAAGAGCCCAATTTCCATGGCATATGCAGATCGTGTAGTTTCCCCTTTTCTAAATTGTGAAGTACAGAAATTAATGCTCTTGAATGTAGCTTTTGCCAATTTTCATGACATATTTCAGCTCCCCATAAATTAAAAAAACAATTTTAAATATCCATCCTAATACTATAAACAAGTTTATTTCTGTACCTTTAATAGAAGCCTAGTAAAGTAAGAAAAAAAAAACTTGGAAGGGAGGGTGTAATGAAAGTAAAAAACTAACAGCAGTGGCGGCTAATATGTTCATTTATCCACCATAACTTGCAGTCGTGGCTTAACCAGATGTTAATGGATGCAAAAAAGCTCCATGCGTTTCAAGGAGTCCCAAAACAAAGCAGAGATCAAAATTCAGTTATGTTGCAGCGGCGCAAAAGTCTACAATGAACATGCAGCTGGGAGAATTTTATAAAATTGTGCAGTAATAGCGGAGTAGCATGGGTTCAATGGTCTAATGCCTCATTCATTTTACTTTTTGCTTCGCTTTGTTGGTTCTTTGTTCATTGGCTCTTCTCTCCAAGTGCCCCTCCTAACCATGCGAAGAGGAAGAGCAGGCAGCACGCGTACATGCTAGCACAGATTATTGATTGTCACCATCTGCATTTTTTACAAGGGACGTCACGGCCAGCGCTGGCTATACTCTAAAGGCGTCGTCGAGAGGAGACAGAGATTGCTTTATTTCATTTTGTGGTTCGCCCACCAAGCGTAGCGCCACCACATGTTGAATGTGACGGCATTCTCAACTTGACTTGCATGTTCACTTGAAATGTTTTAAAACTATCCCAGCTGGTTTAGGAGCCCAGTAACTGGAAACATTTCAGCTCCAGTGTCCATTATCACCGCGGCATACCCACTGCACATGATGAGCAAAAAATGTCAAACACTAGAAACATATCCAAGCCCCTTAATTACAACCCCCTACCCAAATTCGACCATGACAACAAGCCGCCTGATCAAACTCTCAACAAAAGAATGCCTATAAGCTGCTTTTATGTCCTTTGGAGTGGCTCATGCCGTTCTCTGCTGCTTATCTGAGCTAATCATTGCTCTTGTCTTAGACCTTGGTCCAATGACTTGTTTGTTCGCATACAAGCTTGACACTGCAGAAGAGGCACCCACTAGACCACTTTCCTTCAGGAAAACCTTATCTTGCAATCTGTTCTTTAAGTGCTTTGGCAACCCAACACATTCCGAAAGACTTTGGAAGCTGGCAAAAAAGCATCTCCCAGAGTCACTGTAACTCTCCAATACATGAATATAAGGAAACTTTAGGCTTGTACTTCCAACAACAATGGCTAACAGCTGTAACTAACTGAAGTGCCCAAGTTCCAAGTATACCTCGGCATAGAAACCACATATGAGGGAATAAATTGAAAATTCACATTCAGGGTAATGGAGATTCAGGCTAATCAAGAGCTGAAACTGTAGCCAGCGAAAAATATTTGAACAGATCATGAAGTCAAAATCAATCTAGTCTTACTCAAAGCTTTATCAGATTTCAAGTAAGCTGACAGGATGAGTTTAATTAAGTATTCATAATTGGAAAACTCTTACTAAAGCTGCTGAGTATACCAATGAGTTGAAGTGCAATATAATACCGTGAACTTCATTTGTTGCTATGAATCCAAGTAGGCATTAAATCTGTGGTAATAAGCCACAATTTTGTATGGAGGCATATCTTTTATTCAAGTTGAATAAAGTGTGGTACCCAAGCATTTCAATAGTATAAGCCACTTTTCACAGAGTGATATTTTAAGGCAAGCCTCCAGAAATGCCACGAACACATCACATGTATCTCAAACTGTTTCGCAATGCTCAGTACCAACATCGAAAAGGACTATCCGCAATTACCAACGATGGTGCTCTATAGACAACAGTCATTTTTCAGCAGTAGTGCTTCCATTAAGCTATTACGCTTCATTATTGTAACACTCATATTTACAGTTCACACAGAGATTTGAAGAATCCACACAACCCATTCAGTCTTCCATTTGCCTAAACATAACACGACAACCACAGCAAGAGCTACAGTTTGTGTCAGTTACATAGGAACAGCCTGGGAGTAACTGTTCTCTGCACTAGTCACCTACATTGCACAAAATTTTACAGCCTTCAAAACAATGTCATCCTGATCTGGTTGGCCTCCGGTTCCCCTAAATCTCTGTTTTCCGAACTCAAGTTCTTGTCATGTCACGTCAAACAATTTGCACTACCAGAGTCCTTCAATAACCTGGTACTACTAGATCGTTAGTGATCTCCTTGTCCAGTCAATCAAGAAAAGACTTCACAGGAACAATGACAGTTGAAACTGACAATCTAAGTCAAATTTTTAAAGCAGTTCAAAAGAGAACACAAGATATTCGCAACAGTTGCCAAATAAGGGAAGCCACAGCTTGAAGTGTGCAGAAAATGTCCAGATCTGAACTCTCACCAGGAGGCCACCGGCCATAAGAGTAATCCGCCTCAGCAGATCGGTGCAGTAGTTCCCACACTGACCCACAGTCATCTCACAACAGTCCGATGCAGCAGCATCCAATAATTAAGGATCTACCAAACAAGGTACCGTACCACAAGAAACTGTCCCACGCCATCGCTACACTTTCTCTCTGAGCAGCACATCAGCTCAGCAGAAGAAGGGGCAGCACAGAAAGGGTTTTGTAACTTAGGAGAACTTGCTGCCGAGATAGTTCATACATAACCTCGATTTGGTACATATCTTCAAAGCACTTAAGGGTCCAGACTTTTCTGGAGTTCAACCAGGTTGACCACACATAGTCAAAAGTGGCTTTCTCAGGGCTTGCTGTGAAGTTTTTGTTATTCACATACCTTGCACACCAACCACGTGTGCAAAAAACAGGAGCTTTGCTTGTTTTACAAAACAAGGCCAGTGCAAGCTGACATGAACAGCATAAATCATGAGGCACACTGAGGTGGCAACAAGCCGCTTGCCAGTGTTGCATCACTTCGAGGCAATGTTCAGTTGCCAGTTACAACTGCTCACAAGACATCTGTGAATTTCAAGCATGAATAAATTATGAGGCATCCACTGCTTGTCTGCTGCTGATATCTGGCATCCAGCCAATGTCACAAATCAGAAGATCAGCCACAGCTGACGAACAAGCGCTTATGCTAGGCACATGTAGTATCACTTCCCAATTCATTCTGCATTTTTATCATGCATCTCATCACATGGCCAGTCCCAGAGATAATAGCAGTGCTCAATTGACAAAGGGTTGAGAAACAATGAAGAAAATCGTTGCAAAATTAATACCAAAGCCCTCAACGGATGTAGCGAATGGAACACGTGCCCTCTTGTGAAATGAGTTTGCGAGACAGTGCAAACATCAAGTGCAAAGGCCCGTTTTCAGACTTCAACAGACCTTCATACCTGGTCACATATGTACTCCTGAATGAAAAGGTCAGGAAACTCCAAGTACTAAGACTACCCTTTCACCTCAACCAGAGAAAGTATTTCTTTCTAAAGGTTTCTTATTTAGGAAGAGGTCACTACTAAAGTCTAAATCTTTTGTAAGGTTATTTGTGCAAAGTGTTGAAGCATTTTTTTTTTCGTACAAGGCTGCCAAAAGCATAAAAAAACCATAAGATGCTGATACAATCAACATGAATAGGTGGTTTTAACAGTGTAGAACATTTAGCCTGGTCCATTTTTTTTAACGACTTACTGTCGCTGCAGAAGATGAAGCAAACTTAACATCTTGGCGATTATGCCCTGCCTTCACTGTGCTAAACTTACACAAGGTATAAAAAAATCAAGGAATGGGGGTCAAATGCATTACGATTCGAAAGAAAACCATCCCCGCACTAAACAAAACTCAACCGGGGCCTGATCAAGAACGTAATAGTGATTGTCCACCACCTAAAGTAATCAATAGCCGCAGCTGTTACGAAACAATCGGGAGCACTTGTATGTGATGCATTTCAACGACAGCAGAGAAGCTATGGCAACACGTCACGTAGAACAAGCAGCAGAAACTTCACTGACAACAGCTGCTGAAAACCTGCGACATCATACACACAGGTCATACCGTCGGGTCATACTGCAGAGAATTTAAATTACTCATTCAGGCAGCATATATGTGACATGCACAAAAGTGGAAGGGTATCAATTAACCACAAGAAGTCAACTTTCCGCTAACAAGCGCTTGATGCGCTGCGGCGCCGTCCGAAGACCTGATTATTATATTTCATCCATTGCTCAATGAAAGTCGCCCCTGATAGCGCGCGCGCGCCAAGCCGCAATTAATTCAACACGATGCGCACGCTGGAACAAACGGCGCTAGATATGGTGTACTCTACGCTTTTGTGAATAACCTACAGGCCCAAATGGCACGCTATTCTCCGAACGTGCAGCGAGTGTAACTTACAGGAAAGAATATATGGAACTGGCGCGCTGTAAACAAAAGTTGTCTATGACAAACTTCACAATGGAGGTTTAGCACAGGTATCCCGTGGGCATAAATAGCGACGTAATGAACAAGCTCGGAAATACGAGGACGAAGAAATACGAGTAGCCGTCAACAAAAAGCGTTCGCATTTTTTCGTAGAATAGGAAAAGCATTCTGCGACGGAGCGAATGCACACGCCCCCCAAAAAATCATCTACTCAGCCCTCGTAAAACCGAACGAACGTTTATTACCATGACGATGTGATCTAACAATGTGAAGGCACGGTAGCCTCTGTGTCGCTTTTTTTGGAGGATCTGAAAATGAATGAAAATGCGAAACGGACTTACGCAGCAGGTGAACACTGCCAGGGCGCTGTAGGCTACGAGCAGACGCATTTTCCCGGTGTGTGCCAGCACAGCTGCGCAACTCGATTAACTGTCCCTGTCAGCACCCGCTGGACCACCTATGCCAAGTGAGGCACAACGAACATAGCGCTGCTTGTGCCGACGTTATCTGAAAAGTTGATCACGCAGCTACTACTGATAACGCCAAACGCCCATCTCAAGTCCCCTTTCACCGTCCAGTACGACGACGTGCGAATAGCTCTCACGCGCCGCTCCTCACGGGTTCGCAGAACTACACGTGATAATACGCGTCACATGACTCATCTAGCGATTGTTCTGCTGCCAAGCGGCAGCCGAGTGAAACGCAATGAAGGAGGGATGCTTCGCCGCCACGCGGCAACAAATTACCTGCGACAAGCGCGCGATTGCTCCCATGCATTACCAGGCCATCACCTCCGATTAACGTTGCATGCACCCAACCCGCATGCGATGACTGCACCATCCGCGCTGCATACGATTTAGCCGAACCGTTTTCTGGATAACGTAATCGATTTCGTTTGACCATGCAGCCCTCCTTTTCCCCCGTAGTTTTTTTCGAGCATGAAATTTGCATGCACAATTAGTAATTACAGACAAACCACTTTCTTAGGGTGGTACAGCTTGGCTTTATTTGCTTCACTTTAAAATAGAAACACCCATGACAACATCTCAACAGGGGCACACATGTTTTTCCTCCTGAACTCTTTGCGGTGACATTGACACAGCAACCAAACATTGAGAAACAGGGTAACCAAAAATTGAGCCAGGAGCTTTTTCCCAGCCGGGGGCCAGCATGCGTGCTGTTGCTCTTCAGAGGCCCTGCCAAGCAGCCATAGTTATTTCTTCTTCTGGGCCTTCTCAGCTGCCTTGGTGACCTTGCCACCCGACGCCTCCTTGGGTTTGACAGACTTGATGACACCGACGGCGACCGTTTGCCTCATGTCACGGACAGCAAAGCGACCAAGGGGAGGAAAGTCGGTGAAGGTTTCGACGCACATAGGCTTGGAAGGTACCAGGTCAATGATCGCAGCATCGCCAGACTTGATGAACTTGGGGTTGTCTACAAATAGAGGCATAGAGAAAAACCAGGTCAGACTGCAATACCAAGACTAGTGAATGTAGGGTTGTATGAACAAAAAAAAAAGCTTAGGTTTGAAATTTTAAGAAACAGACAACTTAAACCTACCCTCGAGCTTCTTGCCAGAACGACGGTCACACTTTTCCTTGATCTCCCTGAACTTGCAGGCAATGTGGGCTGTGTGGCAGTCCAACACAGGCGTGTAGCCGTTTGCGATCTGGCCGGGATGGTTCAGCACAATAACCTGGGCAGTGAACTCCTCCGTCGACTTTGGTGGAGTGTCCTTCGAGTCTCCACACACATATCCTCGGCGCAGCTCCTTCACCGAGACGTTCTTGACGTTGAAGCCGACGTTGTCGCCGGGCACGGCCTCTGCGAGGGCCTCGTGGTGCATCTCCACAGACTTGACCTCAGTGGTCAGGTTGGCAGGGGCAAAGGTGACGACCATGCCGGGCTTGAGGACACCGGTCTCCACACGGCCGACGGGCACCGTGCCAATGCCACCAATCTTGTAGACGTCCTGCAGCGGAAGTCGGAGGGGTTTGTCCGTGGGCCTGGTTGGGGGCTCCATGGCGTCCAGGGCCTGCAGAAGGGTCTTGCCCTCAGACTTGCCAGACTTGCGCTCGATAGACCATCCCTTGTACCAGGGCATGTTCGTGCTTGGCTCGAGCATGTTGTCGCCGTTCCAGCCGGAGATGGGCACGAAGGGAACCGTGGCGGGGTTGTAGCCGATCTTCTTGATGTAGGCGGACACTTCCTTCTGGATTTCCTCGAAACGGGACTGCGAGAACGGGGGCTCCGTGGTGTCCATCTTGTTCACGCCGACGATCATCTGTTTCACGCCCAGAGTGTAGGCCAGTAGAGCGTGCTCTCTAGTCTGGCCGTTTTTGGAGATACCGGCTTCGAACTCGCCGGTACCGGCAGCCACAATCAGCACAGCACAATCGGCCTGCATGGACAAAAACAGGCACGTTAGTCAAAACTCGAACAAGTTCAATGACCCCCACCGGCCACAAAATCTGACAAGCAGGCTTACCTGCGACGTTCCAGTGATCATGTTCTTGATGAAATCACGATGTCCGGGAGCATCAATGACAGTCACGTAGTACTTGGGCGTCTCGAACTTCCAGAGGGTGATATCGATGGTGATACCACGTTCACGCTCGGCCTTCAGCTTATCCAGCACCCAGGCGTACTTGAAGGAACCCTTGCCCATCTACAATACATCAAGAAGACACACCGGCGAAGAGTTAACGACCCGGGTCGACCACGCCGGCCGGCGTGCCGAGCAATATGGCGAACACGCGTCGCCCGCACTGAAACGCAAGGGTTAGAAAACGCGGAAAAGAACTCCGCAAGCCACTGACCTCCTGGGCTTCCTTCTCGAACTTCTCAATAGTACGCTTGTCGATGCCACCGCATTTGTAGATCAAGTGTCCGGTAGTCGTGGACTTTCCGGAATCGACGTGGCCGATGACGACGATGTTAATGTGGGTCTTTTCCTTTCCCATGGTCGCGGTTCTTGCGTGTCCCTGTCTGCAAAGAAACGCACAACAGCCGCCGAAGCGGTGAACACGAATGTTAGCGGAGAGCCGGCGAAATCGACCGTCGAAGCGATCTACCAACCCACGCCCCGCAACACAGCCGGCGCCAGACAAAAGCACGTCGGAATGGCGTGCGGCCAAAATGGCGACCGAAGATTCATTACCACGAGGCGTCAAATACTAATGAATGACTAGTATTGCGTCCCGCGTGAAAGACCGCTACCGTAAAACCAAATTCGCTCCAATCAAGTCACTTCTCGGAGGGCTCCCAGCCCAGGCGAAAATAACTGCTCCGGCACGAATGCAAAGGGCCTACGGAGCGCCATGATAAACCGCTTCACCGGCTACCTCACAAACTCCTGCAGTCTTTTAAACTCTAGAAAACACATCGTACTGGTTAAAATGAGTATAGATGAAGTACGAGAAACGATTCGGCTACAATATCCTTACAAAATTTCTCACGGATGACACTTCCGAACGCCAAATCGTGCGGATGAAAAGCAGCCCGAACTTACCAACACAACCGACGGAGAACTAAGAGGAGGTGACGATGGGTCACGTGCTATATATTGACTTGCATCTGACGTCACTAAAAAGCCAATATTTCTTTTAGTCCTTTTAAAAGTTACACATTTTTATATTGATAAAAATATTTAAGTATTTTCAAACTTGTTGCTTGTTGCCTAATTTACCGGTATGTTAGTATTAAATGTGTGCGGACTTACATTTTTCACATGTGATGGCGGCGTACATGTTGTTCATTTATTGATCCGACGCCCGGTTTCCTCTCAATATGGCAATGAATAAAGTCATCAATACCGTTAAGCTTATGCTAGGCGCCAGGTTTTCAGGCCAGGCAAGTTGCACATTTGTTCGGCTTGACTTTCACTCTTTGCTTAACACTTTTTACCAGTTCTAGACGCCTGTGCCGGAACCCTATCGCCGCTCGGGAGAGCACCGGTAGATACGTTTTGGCAAGAGTTTCTCGGACAATATAAAGATATTTTCTGAAAATTTGCGACGTGTGGCTCGCTAGCTGTCCCGTCGTGTGGTGTACACGACCTGGCAATGTTTTCTCTTGTTTAAGTTGTGTTTGCACGCGCGCGATTCCTTAACTAAGATGCACGTGAGGTTAGTGATAAATCTGCTGTGCTACGCTCTTGCAGAATGTCACGCCACTGGGGACTCTAGTGCCCTGTCGAAACAAGTACACGGACTGGCGAATGGCGCGAGATGCCAAGAGAAGAAAAGTGGTCAAAGAGTACGCGCGTCTGAGGCTAAATATCAACTCCTTGAGGAAGAACGACATCCTGCCGAAAAGTTTGCAGGTATCACTTGTTCGATATTCTTAGCCAGCATGTGCTCGATTGAACTTTTTATTGTTCACGCCTGTTCTCGTTGCATTCGCGGAAAACACGCGAAAACAGCCCACACTTTTTTTGTTCCTTTTTTTTTTTTTTTAGGTCCCGTCAGTGTCGTCTCGGCGTTCGTGTCTGATAAGGATTTCGGTGCGAATGTCGTAACATTCAGTAACATGGGCATTAGCGCCTTACTGACGCCCCGATAACAAAGTCTAGCGTGCTGTAAAACTGGAGCAGACAGAATTATTGACTTTCGCAAAGGCCGCCGCCCCCTGGTTCGTTTTGTTTTGTTTCGTTTCCTCCCTCGCTGACTGTCGTGGCTGGCTGACGCGGTTCGCCACGTGAGATGCGGATGTGCAAACGCAGCGTGCCGCTGGCGTTTCGCGTAAAGGCGTTAAGTTTGTTTCGTTCGTTACTTGTTAACCCGACGCTAATGAGACGCTCCATATCCTAAATGTAATTATGGAGGGTAGCGTTCCGCCAGAGCGAAACGAGACGTACGTTCGAACTTGCATTCATTGAGTATTGGCGTGGGAACTTCGAACAGATGTGAACGTGTTCATTGCTTACGCAATGACCTCTGCTTGTTTAAGTGCCTGACACATGTGACGCGTTTTTCGTGGCATTTGAATAAAAGAGAAAGCGGACGCGTTTCTGGAAACTCGCGTCAGCTGGTTGCCTGCTAATATAGCGAAGTCATCGATTATGCTTATCCTTGCGTCTAGGTGAGCTATGTGAACTCATTGAGGTCATGGCATAAAGATGTAAATAAGTGTGTGACGTCTTGGGAACTTAATGCAGCTCCTTTAGGCAAAACACGCCCCAACATGTTCATTGCATTGCTTAACCTCGCCAAATAAGGGGCCTGCGTATGCTAATTTGTCTCGTAGTTAACCAAGGCATTATTCATTTTTAGAAAGTTATAAGGCCAACTGTGGTCTACTTGACAGAGAAGTATTCACGAAATTGCAAACATCTGGCTCATGTTCCACTCGTCAGGACGCAATCTGAAATGTGCGAGTAACATGTGGACACTCAAAACTCTTTTTTTCCTTCTTGAAATAGCCGTTATTGCAACATGCATTATAATGGGACACTTTTACGTCATAAAAACTGCTCTGAAGGATGTCGACTTGTTTAATCGTGTTTCATTTTTACCAGCTGTGCATATGTTACATGACAGAGGTTAATAAATGGACACTGGAATATTAATAGGCCATTTTTCTACGTTAGTGACTAAAATATGACTACAAACCTAGCAACAACACATTTACTGCAATCACCTACATGAATGCAGCTGTCAGAGCTTCTGTAGGCAGAATACCCTCTCCAGACAAGCATCACTTGATGGAGCTAACCACTTGTGTCATCACTCGTGACTAGAATGATGTTTATGATGTTTTTTTTAATGCCCACATGTTTTATTATTTTTTTTTCTTTCGGGAACTGACAGTTGGAGTCTCTCTCATGATTTCATTACTTTCATACTACAAATGCAGCCCTGCTTTTGCTGTACGATTTTGTTCTGTGTTGGGTATGTATTCAGTAAGCACAAAAGCTTGGTAGAATGGTATTACTCTGGAGGGAATACAGTGCCAAAGAAGATGGAACAAGGAAGGGCGATGCCTACACAGCACTGACTTACAACGTTTTATTCAATGGAAAGATGAATATTCATGCAAATGCCTTTGGCATGCGCAACAAGCAGGGAAAATGACGAAAACTTTTTACCGAATGTTAGACATAGTGCGAACGTCACTGGTGTTCAATCATGGTCTGTTTAGATATATTTCACGAGATGAAAGTGCTATTCAAGAAGTACTGACGCATGTGCTATCCAATTTTCTGGTGAAGTCTGCCTCAATTATTTCACATGTCAACTGAAAATTGTGCTTAGCTAGTGCCACATTTTTTTTATCAATCAGGAGTGTGCAACTGCAGTCGCGACTGTACACACAATAGACCTCTGTCATCACCCTTCTTTGTCCCAGTCTTCTTTTGCAGTCTGTTCCCTCCAACATTTTAACAACAACACCCCAAGCTTCGATGCTAATGTATTACTCTGTTTTTAATAATTTTGTGAAATAACAGATTATTTTTGTACGTACACCTAAAGCAAGCAAATGACCCAAAGTGAGGCTTGGTGATTTACTTCACACCAGTGCACAGTAACTGAAGGAGTAGCTTAGCCCGATTGCTCAGCGAAATGGTGCAAAGGAAAGGCGTGACGTGGGAGGAAGGTAACGTTCAAAAGTGTTGAGAAAAAGTCGCTTTTACAACGACAATCTGGCACCATCGGCAGCCTCATACGCTAAATGACATCAGCCCGACTAGACCTGCATGGATGCTTGACTTGTCTAGGAACACGGAACTCCACGGCATCTGAGAACACATGCAAGGGATGCTCATTGGCACCTTTAACATACACAATCCACATCCCTCAAGAACGCGGTTCAGAGTTCAAGTAAGCGCGAATCGCGTATGACAAAGACGGCGAATTGCGTTTGACAAAGACGCCGATGGGTGTCCCAACTGCACGCACTCGCAAGTACCCTGAAATGCCTCGATTGGCAAGCGTCCACGCAGGTATACTCTACTTATCCTGACGTCACCTAGTTAGTGCGTGTGGATGCCAGCAGTTCTGCATTGTCGTTTTAGGAGCAAGCTTTTTACGGCTCTTTTGATGACCCATGACCCCCTTCATTTTAAGGGCTTTCCTAATTATGGTGTAAATGATTAGTCCATGTTGTAGCCTAACCTCATAAGCAGTTGGAACAAAAGGTCACAGGGTCCCTATGTCTAAGATGGCTTGAACAGGAAAGCCATCTCCTCCTTTTTTTTTTAGTTGAATATTTTAACACACTGCTACAAACTACCTGTACCTAACATGCAGCTGCACCTCCTCCGGTATTGGCCCGCGCGTGAACAAGAGACAGTGTCACGCAATGATGCTGCCATGTGACATCATGGGGATGTCACATGATTTTGTATTATGTAATGTGAAATTAAGGTTGCATGGCTTTTGGTACTCAAACGGCACGCCAGCATTTACTTGAGTATCACATGATATTTGACAGAGTTTTGTTTTGTTTTTTTGGCAATTCGTAATATCTTGCAAAGTATCATTTGGTATCCCCAAATCGTAAAAATATCTTCAGTTGTGCAGCATATAAGGCTTTATTTAACCTTAGAAAACCATCTCGGGGGCCCTTTATAAACGAGTACTGACAGGAACTTTACATATTTTCAGGTTGTTGCTCTAGGCAAAAACACTGTTCCTGAGGACACTTCAAAGAGTATTGTGGTGTTTGGAATGCATAGAATATATTTTCATTACTACTACCTTGAAAAAAAAAAAAAAACTTTCGGTTACGAAATCCAGGGGCAGCTTCTCGGTGACATGTCATTGCAGTGTGCCGTCACAGAGGGACAGCAACTGGTAACATTCTATCGGCATATCAGTCATCTGCTCATGATGCACATAAACAGTGACAGGTGAATTATCTTCTAGTGACCCTAACAGTGACTTTCTGCCATTGAGGCTGCTGCGGGAAGTTCCACTGAGTTTGCCAACTCAGTGGAACTATGTTGATGTTCAGCACCAAGAACTTTGAAACCAAATTAATGTGTTTTATATTGGTTGTCTGACTCCGGTGTGTGTAGGCAGGTTTGATTCCGGCTGGAAAGATTGCATTTCGATGGAGGAATAAAGGCTTATAGGCTTCTGTACTGTGCGATGTCTGTGCATGTCTGTGAAACACCAGATGTTCAAAGTTTCTGGAGGTCTCCGCTGCAACGTGCCTCATAATCGATCGCGACTTTGGCACATTAAATCCCATATATCATCATCCGGTGTGTTGAGAGCTTGGACACTGTGTACCAAGGAAATGAAACAAGTATCTTTAATGATGTTTTCAAAAACATATCTACACTTCTTCGATGTCACGTCGTTCATATCAGTGGCGTATAAAAAGCACATCAATCTCCACAGAAAGTCACTTATGCCAGCCTTGCTGTGTGGCGACTTGTCCCATTTGCTTGAAGTGCAGCACACTTGATCTGTGCATGCATCTTTTTTTGATGTTGACACTTGCGTGTTTTTGCCAATGTCACCTTAACTGTTAATCCAAATATAAGAAAAAACATTGTTGTAGTTGGACTGTTAATTGTAGTAAAGTTAGAAGTTTAGCTGCGGTGTGCCTCCAGCTTGAGTTTACATGTATTTTCCGTACACTTGGCATTTTCTCAAATAAAAAGTACTTATTTCTAGTAGCATGAAAGAAAGTGATCTGCATTACCACCACGGCCAGCAGGCTAGAATAAAGGAACATTATCCTAATTAGCAAGTCAGCTTATCTGCCTAGTAGCTTTCTAAGCTTAGTTTAGTATAGTTACATTGAGGTTATAATTGTCAGGTTGTCCCGAAAGAAAGAATGCAGCTTGAAGTGATAGCATACTCATTTCCCTTTTCAATTTGCAGGACGGTTCCCCTCCTCCCTCTCTCCTTGTCACCTGCACTTGTTTTAGTCTGCATTTTGGACAAACTTGCTGAAAATTTGGGGGAATGAAGAAAGAAAGCCGGTTAAGGTGTTAGTGTTCTCAAAGAGAGGCCTGGCTGATTTTTTACTTTTTACATATCTGATGGTCTTTCATTTTACGTGGCAGGTGTACAGCATAATTCACTTTTTAAGCAAGCACATAGCTTGCACTCAAACCAGCATAACTGCAATGCGCACTCAACTTTACAGAAAAGAGATTGTGTGTTGAATAATTCTGTCTTCAATTAGGAACTGAGCCATGACTGCCTTTGCAGTTTCGAACCCTGTCTCTGCTTGAAAGAGCAGTTAGAGCACTGTTTACTGCAGGCATTTTCACAATTGTGATAGCAGGATTCTAACTTTGTGTTTTGACACCTTTTTTAGCAGACCCTTTTCATTTTTCTTAGGTGGAAAAAGCTAAATCATTTG